AAAAAAAAAAAAAAAAAAAAAAAAAAAAAAAAAAAAAAAAAAAAAAAAAAAAGACAGAGAGAGAGAGAAAGAGAAAGAGAAAAACTTACAGTAGGCGGCTGTTCATCCGAGCTCCCCTCTGTCTCATCCTCATAAAGCGCACCACTCCCCTCCTTCCCACTTTGACCCGCCAGACCATCCAGAACGGCCGCATTGGACATCATCGCCGCCGCGCGGGCCCGCAGCTCCGGGTTCACGCCTGCCTGGGCATCCTCCGTCATGCCGGTGACTTTAGCCAGTCGCTCGAGTAGAATACACGACTCGAGACGCATCTTCTGGATGTACTGCCAGCCGCGACGGTTGCGTGTGCGCATCAGCTCATTTTCGGCCTCGATTTCACTTAAGCGCTTCTTGAGGGCGATGCATTTGCGTTTGTAGGCGACTTCGACGCTGGGCGGGTTGGAGGATGGGATTGATGTTGAGTGTTTTGTAGATGATTCCATTGCGACTGGCTTTTCTTATTCCGGGGGGGTGTTTTGTCGAGGGTTGTTTGTTGATTGTCAGGCTGGTAAAAGTCGAGGGTAGATGTAGAGTATGAGTTGTAGATTTGGGGTGGTTGATTAGATGGATCGAGGCTGTTCAGGCTAGTTGGTTTAGATTGCGTTGGGTGACACTTGGACTGGGGGCGTTTCTCGATCAACACGTTATTCCGGGACAAAGGGCTGATTGATCAGTGAGTAGATTCTAGGCCTTGAGGATGCGAAAGTGATCGGTGATCAATTGTCGACGGGACCGGTAAGATTCTCTTCGCCGAGACACGAGCAAACAGGGATGTTTGGGTTAGGCTGAAGCGACAGACAAATTCCGAGTCGCAGCAGGTCAGGCAACAAGTCTAAATGATAGGATTCTGCCGCAATGGCCGGGTATCTGGACGCTGGACTGGCGATGCTTTAGATTCATTCTGCCGCCTGGGGTCTGGTGTGGAGGCGGTCAGACTTGTTCGATTTATAAATGCCACGTCTAGAACGCTTGTTTTGCTACTCAATGCATCGCGAATATTCATTACTCTGCTAAACTATCTACTAAAGTTCATACTGCTGATCTCTAGCCGGATTTCTACACAGTGTTTGGCCCCTGTTTCAATGTCCACCAGTAGTGGGAAGACCAAGGAACACCTTGAACGAGTCGTAACTAGATCAACGTCAATCAATCGTGCTTCGCCGCAGAAAATGATGAACAACTTACATCAACCATTGGAATCCAGTCAAAGTACCCAGCATGACAATACGAACTGGAAGACCATTCCACAGGCCCGAAAATCCGATATTACCATAGATTCGCGACACAGCCGACACCGCTGACTCCCCAGCTAGAATACCATCAGCACCAAACAAGCCCCAACAGAGACACATCAAACTCACCCTTCCGATCCGCATTAAGCTTGCTAACCATCACATCAGCCGGATGACTGACGATGGCACAGAAGATGCCCGCAATATAGCCGCCCAGGAAACTAATACTCGTCTGCTGCAGCCCGCTACAGCTATCCTTCGACTTGCCCAAAGACCTGTAGATGGCATTGACCGTCTCCTCGAAGGTCGCGAACTTGGTCATGGTGTAGGGGATCTGTCGCGCCCAGAGCGGATACAGACCCTTGTACAGGCCGCCGAAACCCTCCTGGGCCACGATCTTGCTCCAACCCTCACGCATCGTTTGCGCATACGGCGGCAGCGTCGTCTGCATGCGCACCTTGATCGCCTCGAACGGGCAGAGGGCCATGTCGGCGAGGAATTCGGCCGACGCACTTGCGCCTAGATATACCACTGTGCGGTTCATGTTCGGGAACATCTGGTCGCCGTATAGATACTTGAAATACTCGTAGAATCCATATTTGCCTGCGCCTTGGAACGAGTACCCGATGAATGTGGGAGACCAGCCAAAGAAGACACCGCGTAGCCCTTCTTTTGCGAAGATTGAGCGCCATGCGGAGATATTTGATGTGTAGATCTTGGGGTCAACTTGGCGGCGACACTTGACAAGGTCGAGTGGTGTGACGGATGTATGGGTAGGCCCTAGCAGACGGGTTATCAACGTTAGGTTATGTGTGCGGGGGAATATGCTTAGAGGACTTACCACAAGCTTTATATCATGAAGAACGGGGAGAAGAAAGGATATGTTAGCATTGATTTTTCTCTTGGGTTCAAGGACACAGATTGTTTCCGAGAAAGCCTACCGATAATACCACCTAGGGCGCAATTGACAAAATATTTGGCTGTATTCGGCTCGATCTTCCCCATGGGAAGCGTGCGTTCCTGGGTTGCCATAATGCGGAGTCTTTTAGAGAATGAAAAGGGTTTGATTCTAGAAGGAAGGCCTCACACAACTCCGTTCATAGTCTAATGCAAGTGTAACAAGAATTCGAACTAGATCGATTGAAAGAATAGACTAGGATGAAGGGAGAAATGGCCCAAGGGAGAGGTGAGTATATATGGACAAGTCGGAATGCTCGGTCGGCTATATAAAACAGTAAACGAAGGCCATGTCGTCAGCAAGCATCCAGCCTTATCGGGACCAGTCAACATGGACTTCAAGAGCGGCTAGACCGGCAAGTGACTTGTACTCCTACGCAAGCCACCTCGGAAGTGGAGTGCCGGCATACCAAGGGGATTTGCTACGAATGTTACATTTATGCATCCTAAAGGCCAGGCTAATTCCCTGATTGTCTGTTTTACTATGAGTATGGCAAAACAATTTCGGTAGTGGACGGAAATGATGACGTCATGGATACAGGGTCCACTTTGAGGAAAAGCTAGAGCAAAAAGAAACATACTCCATTAAAATAGTACATACATAAATAGTATCAGCTCATTATACAGGAGAAGAGAGCCGATCAATCCCATCCGCTAATAGCACCACAACCCGTAGACATCATACATGGTAGTCATAAAACATATATAGTCAACGACAGGCTTCATATGCAAGAGACCTCGCCCATCGATGGCATTAACTGGAAAGAATTTGGCGTCAACGCAGCTGTATGTCCGGAAACGCTGCCATGCTGCGCTAGTACAAGCGCCAGTTTGATACCCAGTACCGAACCGACCCGGCTCAGAGAGCTTCGAATCTGCTCCATCTGTGCCGCGGTTCCTAGGCCGAACGTTAACACGTACCACAGCGGCCACTGCATCAGATACCCGTAGATGGCGCGGACGGGAGGCCGTCCCTCTATAGAAGCTGGAATCGGCTTCCCCAGTGCATCAATGTCCCCCAGAGAGAAGGGGATTGCCCGACAGGTGTCCGTGGTCAATTCTTCAATCTCCTCTAGCGCCGCTTCACGTTGTACGGTCTGGCTGTCATTGACGATTGAAGCAAGTGTATCGCGTAGATCAAGCATATGTCTTTGGAGGGCAATCCGTGCCGCGCGGTAATAAGTCCAGATTGCTGCAATAGATATATTCTGATAAGTCAGAAATGATTCACCCGTCCGGGTATGGACGACGAGGGGGAGCCAATTGTCTGGCAAATGTTGGCCCCAGTCAGCCATTTCCAGGGCTAGCAGGCGGCCGGTTTCGATCCACCCGGTAATTTGCGTAACGGTATCTACCTCTGATGATCCCTGACCAGAAGAACTCTCGGCGAACAGATGACCAATCTTCGTTGCCGTTATCATTAATCGAGGCACCGGTTCCGAAGGGTCAAGCTGCCCGAAAATAAGATCAGCACTGCTGTACCGTATATTTGCTCGCAAAACTATGTTCTCAATAAGCTAAGCAGCTTGTTAGCTTCTCCATACAGAACCAGATCTAGCTGATACTAACAGTATGCACATAAGCACAGATGAATAGGTCGCGACCTTGTGCATGACTGAGTTGACCTTCTCCTCGCAGCTTCATTAGAAACCCAAACCCCTTTGTGTGTGAGCTAGCGAGTCCAGTCCGTTCTCCAGAGATATCTTCAAAGATGGAGAGGATGACCATGGTCGCGAAGGTCTCGTCCTTCACTGCCTGGGATCGTGAGCTCAGAATGTTCCGAAGCTCATGAAGCGCCATTCCATAATACGCTCTTGCTTTGAGAAGAAGTGGCGACGCGTTCATCTGGTTGCTCAGAGCAATGAGAGCAGTTGCCTCAGTTGCCAGCCGCAGGCAGGAAGATACCGAGTCGTCTCGCCCGCTGTCCCGACATGCAGCATACAGTGACGGTAGAAACCCCAGGTGGTTCAAACATATATCGCTCGCGTCACTATCAACCGTGAATTGATCAAAAAAGTGGCAGACTGCTCGTTCCTCCCACGTAGAGTCGACGACGTGGGGGAGAAGTAGTAGCGATTCCTGCCGACTAAGGCTAACCGAGGTGCTTCGACTGCTGGGTTGACTGTCAGGGGGGGTGCTACTTCTCTTCCTCATCAGTCGGGCCACTTTCTGGTTCTCATTGCGGAAGATTGTGTCTGGTCGATAACCTGGACATGGCCTTCCGTATACAGAGCAGTTTCGGCATCCGGGTAGCGCTTCATCACACTTTAGGTTGCGCTTAGCTTTGTGGACCGAATCAAAATGAATGTGGACCCTTGGATTCCATAAGAATCCAACCGGGTATAGATAGGAAAAGTAAGGCTAAGATAACAAAGTTCTCATTATAATCCTACCTTGATTTTCCGTTTGCGGCATAAGTGGCATCCTGTGCTCGGTTTCCCCCCGTATACCATGTTCACCTATCCGCTGTATAGGTCCGGTACAGGAAAAGATAATGACCAATAATCTAAATCCTCCCAAAAAGTTCAAAGGAGAGAGGAAAGAAAAGGGACTGAAGAGAACTTAAGGTAACATCTGAAGAGAAGAGAAGAAAGACAAAGAGGAAAGCCACTCGGGCTAGATTTTGTTCAGGATGGGAAAACTTTCGTCATCTATCTGCCTAGCAATTGAGCTCAAAGAGTCCGATGTAATGGACGATCTAGTCAGTCTACCTTTGACAAATTTTGCGAGGTATCTAAGGAGGAATGAAGGATAGACATGGATGATGTCGGACAACTAAAACCAATATAGCTATTGCCGTGATTGATTAAAAGCCCCGGGGTCATGGGTTTACACATCCATATATGCGGAGAAACCAACGCCACAAGAGGGCTTAGTCATCGCCGTTCCACTTTAACTTTGGAATATATAATATACACCACTGATGAATAAGTAGGATCACTCATGCAAATATATTGGATTTTGATTTAGTACAAGTTATTGGGGAGTTTCCCATATATTCTCTTCGCTTTTTATGCAACAAACAAAAGGGGGGAGGGACAACCACAAGTCCCCTTTAAACGCCAAATACATCACCTCCCGAGGTGGATATCATCTAACTTATTATAAGAATAAAAAAAAATTCTTGAGGAATTAACTCACGCTGGTACGTCGTCAGGTTAGTAATGAGTTTAGTTGCACAAAGGGAGACCGTTCCCCACTCGGAACTCCATCTGCGTGGTTTATGAGGACGAATAACAGTAAGGTTGGGACACAAATCACAAAATCAACACTCATGATGCAAATCCTGGTACGCGATGACCGGTCATGATTGATGACCGCGTACCTTGCCAAGATTCTAGAGATCGCCGGAAACAAAGTAGTTACTTTGACATGCACGCTCAAGTCAAAGTCATAAAGGCGGCGGGTTGGGGTGGGGGAATACATGATCGTCATCTCCAAACGTCGAACCAAGGGGCAAGAAAGTGCTAAGACGAAGGGACATCCAGCATTAATTGGTCATCATCGTTGCCCAGCGGAGGGTCGGAAAGGTACGCCCTATGTCGGCTGTCATCCTGAGTAGGTCGCATTCCTGGCGTACTGGAGGAGCTCTGAATCACGACTTCATCTGTATCTTCTTCTGGAGGCGAGAACGTCCAAACCTATCAACGTATGGTCGATCAGTCACATTTCCGCGATGGAGGTTAAATTGATGAATCGCTTACCTCCATGACCGTACGGCCCGATCGGCTAGCCATGATCACAGCCTTTTCCTCCTCGAAAGCCACCCTCCAGACAGCCTCCGCGGGCTGGGACAATTCTCGGAGTAGCTGCCCACTTTGCAGACTCCACACCTTCACTCGACCGTCACTACCGCCACTGACAATACGCGAGCTGTCAAATTGCAGGCTCGTTACGCTATTGTCGTGTGCCGCTAGCCTGTGGATTGGGGCCATTTTGGTCAGAGACCAAACGCGGACGGACCCATCCGAGCCGCCAGTCACTAGTGTGTCGCCTCGCATTTGGAGCTGCCCCACCAAAGACGTATGGCCTTGGAGGATAGCATGGCATTGGCCAGATTGCGGGTCCCAAATCCGTACACTGGTGTCCAAACTACCTGTTGCAATTCGCCTGCCGTCGAACGCGATTGCGTAGATTTGACTAAAGTGCCCAGAAAGAGTCCGCAGGCATCGCCCTTCGGAAATACTCCAAATGCGCGCAGTAGTATCATAGCTTCCGGAAACAACTAGATCTCCATGAATCGCTAGACACCGGACACTAGCCTGATGTCCAACAAGGACGTTTCTACAAGTTCCCGTAGCCAGATCCCATATCCGAAGTGTGGTATCTCGAGACCCTGAGATAGCCGTGTTTTGGTCAGACATCTTTAAACAGCGCACGGTTGATGTGTGGCCACGCAATAAATAGATACCGGCTCTGTTCCACATACATAGTCAGCGTCCTTACTCCCTACAGTCCGTGAGAGGATCCCCCCTTACCCGGTAGCCATATTCCAGACGCGAACCTCACGGTCGCAGCCACCGCTCACTAGTATGTCATCCCATGGGACCATGGCCCATACACCCATCACATGACCTTGCAGCGTCTTTTGATTGTCTCCATTAGTATCATAGATATGAATCTTCGCATTGTCCAATGCAACAACGATATATTTAGGCGTCAGGTGCAGGCTCGTGACGACCCCCTGGTCTGGTGTAATGTGTCGGATGGTGCATCGCCCGCCTTTATTCCAGGCGGATTCCACCATATATTTCTGCTTGAAATGGGTCCTGTAGGACAAAGGTCGAGCTCTTCGCTTTCGGGATGACAAACTCGATGGGGAAAGCCAGTCGCCCGACAGAGAGCGAGTCAGACCGGGAAACCCGTCCCGGGCCTGATGACAAGAGGTACCCGAACTCCGTGACCCAGCCAGGGAGCCTGTACCGGATAAAGCATGCATGCGCTGAGTGTGAAAAGGGTCGAGAAAATCCCGGTCATCCTCCGAAGATCGACGAGACGCATACGAATGCTTCTCACAGAGGTTCTTCCATGTGATGTCATCGTTCAGTAACTCCCGCCAACGTCTTGATACTTGAGATGCTCTTGCTAGTGTTTTCGGATCGTCGATGAAGGAAAGAACCTGATCGAACAGATGGCCACTGTCAGCGGAGCTTGCAAGGCCCAATAACCCAGGTCACATACCCTTAAACATAATTCCGTTGGAAAGACTAGAAACGGGTCCTTCCTCAAACGAGGACCGACGTAACTAGAGACAAAACTCAGGTGTTGGCTATCACAGAGGCTGAGAATACCTTCCAAAAACTTCTGCCTTTTGAAGTTGGAAAGGGAACTGAAATGGATCCTGGCATTCAGGAGAAAAGCGTCATCATCTTCATCGGCCGACTGCCACGTCGGAGGTCTCTGATGAGGGGTGGGACTAGGAGCCGGAGTGGGAGGCGATGCGGGTGCTGAAGGAAGGAGATTCGGGGGAATCGAAGTGATAGACTTGTTTGACGATAGCGACCTCGAATGCGTACTCGAGAACGGAGCGACGGAATCTGAGACCGAACACGTTCGGGTATGGGCTGTCGCCAGCTGTTCAGGAACACTCCGCGGATTCATCCCGTTGGCAGGCCCAGTCGAGGGATAACGTCCGAGGGTGTGAGGAGGTGGCGCACTGTAGGGCGGTTATATCATCCACTAGACACTACCCAACCTTCACGAATATCGATCTATCCTCACACAGACGCCTTGGGGTTCTGTTTCGGTCATAGATTGAGAAGCGGGGAACGAGTGTAATAGGAGATTAGAGGGAAAGTGTACGCGAAATTTGAGGGTACGTGAATGTATATATATGTGTATATAAAGGGAGAAGGGGGTAGGAATATAATAGAAATAAATAGGATGGTACGCCGGGTTAGGTGAAGGGGAGGGAAAAATAGCGATGTAATAAGCGGATGATCTCCGACGGGCGGGTTGGGAAACTACTAACTAGCGATAACCCGGGAATAGGGGGGGAGGAAGGGAACAAGGGAAAAGAAGAGGTGAAGGAATAAGAAAGACAAGCTAAAAGATGTAACAGAGAAGAGAAATGGTTGTGAAAAGATGTAGCACTGACGACCATCAAACTCCAGGCCATAAATTCCAGATCGATACGATACGCCAGCAAAGTACTCGCAAAGCAAGCGGAGAAGAATGAACAAGGACTGACGAGTAATCTCAGTCTTACAATGTCGTGACTTCGTCAGGTGCTCTCAATTGGAATTGGACGCTGACTGGCCAAGGGGTTCCCGGTTCTGATTAGTGAGTTCCAAGGGGGGTCCACTTTCCAAATGGTGAATCGCTCGTGGGAATTGGTTTGGTATGTTATGTGTCAAAACGGCAGATATATCGTCATTCGGACCTTAAAGAAAAAGAATTTTCCCCCTGATTCTCTCTCGTCTTTGTCCAAAAAATCAACTCGAACCTATCGTTTTACTCCTAGAGCCTGGATCGGAATGTGTTCCTATGGCTAGCAAGATTGTATGGAAAGAGTACCTTCTGGGTGACTTGAGGGATAGTATGTACTTCAGACGCCCATGCAGTAGATACTACTAGTCAATGCAGGGATGTGTATCAAACGGCCATGGAGTTCGTTGCTACCTAGGCAGAAGACGAAAATAAATAGAAAAGGACAAAAAGAAAATCTAGGAAAAACAAGAAAAAGCAATAAATCAGAATTGCTAGCACTCAACAACCTCTTTGTTCGATGATAAATGTACTCAGTGCAGGTTCAGTTCTTGCCCATTCGTCAATCCCAAAAGTTCCCTACGTTCGTCCCATATAAATAAAAGAAGGAGGTCGACGACTTAAGGTTCTCCGGTCCAAACACTCTGTACCCCTATCTTGACCCAAGTCCTTGGATGCAGAGAACGGCAATGCAGCATCCGACCATGGAACATGTACTTCCCACGGCATGTCAGACTTGACGCATTGTTGCATCACCAGTTTAGCGAAGAGTCTGGGGTTTATGGCTTTGATATCGTTTCAACCCGACAGAGGCTCCCTCCAACTTTATATAGAGGTCTAACACACCCTACGTCAATCTGATCATGACTAGGGTATGCAATGATGACCGAGATTATCACAAGAACCCACAATATAATACGTAATGCTTCTACTAAAAAAAAAGGTATCGAGTCGCAAGGTTCAGCAAGAGCAAATTAGCCTTCCCAGACATAAACAAAAATACATGAGTCCCAGCATATCCGAGAGCCATCAAGTAGCTGAAGTAGATAAACGGACATGCCCCTTCACAAGAAGACTTCCAACTCTATATTCCCAACTTCTTGAACGCTAAGTCTCCGTGCAAATGCAAACAAAATATTGAACCATGGGTATGAAGATGACTGTGTTATCGCTATAATCTTTGAAAAGGTGAGTCTAGCCGTAACAATATATGACTGTAAAGATGATGTTAGTGGGCATGACCGAGCTGTAAGAACAGCGGCAGAATCATGCCGATAACGGAGGCAACCAAGTCCCGCATGGACTTGTTGGATTTGGACGGTATATCTCTAGAGTCGCCATATCCATTTCCTTGGGCCTCACGTGAGACGGAGTTTGGACTGTTCTCCTGCATTGTGTGCATAGCGACGTACCTGCCAAAAAAAAGTCCATTAGTCATCGTGCATTTGGAGGGAAGACCTGCGCAATGCAAGACTCACAGGAATGTCCCGGCCGAAAACAACAAAAGAACCCCGGTTCGCCAATGGGTGACAGACACATCACTGCTGGAACCTGAACCCATTACCTGCACAAATAAGAACGTTGCTAAGGCGCCCAAGGGTGCGGCCAGGCTAAAGACTAATAGATGCGCTCTTGCAGAACGACTAGAGAGACCCTGTTTGAGCAACACGGATGTAAGGCCAAAAGATGCCGGGGCCTTATGAACCATAATAGCAAGGAATATGATGAAGCTTAGGCCCGTGTCGGAACTAGATGCCCCCAGAGCGATCCCATCAGCAGCCGCATGGATGACAAGCCCAGTGGTTGTTGCAAAGCTGTGGCTGCTCTTGGAGGTATTTCCAGCATCCAACAATCCACCTTCTCGGGAGGGAGATGAATTGCGGCGTAGTCCGGAGCCTAGGTTGTCAAGAGAAATATGATATGGTGTTCGTTCCTGTTTGCCCGGAGCAGCGAATTCGGGGAGCTTGTCGATTAGATACATGAGAATGAAACCGCTAATGAGGGCGACTCCAACCCAGGCATGCGGCGAGCTCCCTTCGTCCTTGTTTTCTTTCTTCTTGTCTTCATCTGACGCCTCCTCTTTCCCTTTCTGCTCGCGACGTGTAATATACGGTGTGGAGTCGGAAACAGGCAACGCGGCAGGTACATCCGACGAAGAGACATCAGCGGGGTTGACGCCTTCTATATAATTAACACTAGCAACAGTCGGGATATTCTGATACTGCCAAGTTGTGGCCGCCGTTGTTGAACGACCGCTGAGTGCTCTCCCTTCACTCGGCGACTTTGCGCTGTATAGTGTTTCTACCCCCTCCGGAATAATAACAATCAAGGATGTTCCGACCAAAACTCCCATGCCAAGGGAGGATATGAGTCTCAATTGAGAGGAGGAAAGCGTGAATGCAAGTGGTAATGAGCCCACAACAAAAGATCTATCCAGCAAGACGGGCTCGTTAGATGACCAAGACCTGTCCAGCGGGGTAGTTGTCGAAATCCAAACTCACGTAATTGCCATCACAATGCTCAATGCGAGCAATGTGAAAAGACCCTCCATGGCTGACCTCTTCTTCCAGAGCTTTGTCTCCGTTTCTCTAGAGGCCTTCGATCATCATGCCAAATGCGGAATAATTAACACAGCTGTTATTTCCCACACTCCCTTTCTATCGGCTTTTCTGGGCCAAAGTGGACTGGAGGAGGAATGTTGACAGCGCGGAACAACTGAAAAACTGGAGAGAAAGAGAAAGACTGGTCAAATAGAATTTTTCTTTTCTTTTCTGGAGATGCGTCAAGGTAGGACTGAAGACGTGGCGTGTGGTTAGAGAGATTGCGATCCGCCGCAGTTGGAAAAGGAAGCGCCCCAGCGACGGGAAGACCCACAGGCGCCAGGGGACGTTTGACCAGGAATTTACGGAGATAAATATATAGAATGTAGAACAACAAGTGGGTTTAGTCCTCTTGTGTCTCTAATGATGAGTTCATGGTTTGTGCTCTGATGCATGTTACCTTGCTGTCCCTTAATATAGATATACTTTTAAGACTACTTTGTTCTTCTATTATCAATTAACCGACCTAATTTATTAAACAGATAGCAAAAGCTTCGCCTGCCGCATTCATTGTTTTCTGTTGTACAGAGATCGATGGTTGCGGGAAACAACCTCTATAGTGTTTGCGAGTACAATTCATTTGAAAATTAAGCACAAGAGGTCTCGGCTCCCTTGACGAGAGCATAATCCGACCCCTATCTTTCCCCTTGGTCATTAAGATTATGCCCGTCACTATCACAGTTATTCATTCACTGAGTCCTCAATGATAATGGAAGGCTTCACAATCTTTTTCCAAAACATTCGCTATTGATTAATGGAACGTCCAATAGTGTTTGGACTATATATTTTCGTGCATCAAATAGTCATGTAATATCCCTGGGTTGACTCGTCATGCAAACTCTTCAAATCACGTACTCTCTCATAGTCGCCTCTTGGGTTTATCCAAACACAATCACGAGGACTAGAGCCACAGCTGGAATCTTCAAAAACTGTTCAGTATAGGCCACATGCAAAAAATGATACCGAGTACACTTACTAGTAAAAATATTAACGCAACCCTGATATTCTCTGGATTCCACAAATAGCACTTCCTCTGCTGAAGATGTCTTTGTTGGTGAAAATATCGTATGGCTCCCATCAGCGTGACATATGTGGCAAACGCAAGCGATAGACAAGCTAGTACTTTCCCAGCCACTACAGAATCATGATGAAGGATGAATAGCTGGGCGACCACAATCGCAAATGAAGCAAGCGCATTTCCCGTGCGAACATACGCTAGATATGTTCTCTCAAGCGCTATGTGTTCTAGTCAGTAACAGTGTTTCAAGTGAGTATGCCCTTCTTGAACACATACCGAGGAAATCTCGCGGGTCCCCATCTTCAGCTGCCACTTCGGGGCATATCTTGGTCGACCACCACTTGTGCAAGCGAGTTTGTTTGCCCGTAGTATGAATCCCTCCGCTATGATCGGGTACTCTTGTCTCTTCTTGTGGGACTTCATTGACAACCTTCCTGCGGTCTGATGTATAATCCAACTCTATACCCTCCATTAATCGCGACGGGGGACACCCTTCTCAATTCATAGGATATTAGAGGCAGGCCCAAAGCCGAGGGCCATATTTTCAGTGAATATGTAGATCGTGGAGTGCCGGGGGTTGTTGTTGCTTAATGAATCCGCCGGAAAGAATCAACACTGAACTTGATGATGGACTACGCAAGCGGTTCCCCACCTACTCGCACGGTAAAAGGTTATACTTGCGCCCTAAAGAGAAAGGCGATCGTCTTGTTTTGAGGGTACAAAGGACAATGTAAAAATGGTAGAATATATTGGAAACTTGATTCCTGGAACCTGGTTTAGGCACTATTATTAATGATATAAAAATATCCGGTTTAAGCTAGGCTAAACCTAGGTGTTTCACCACTATAGTAATTGCATGCCATCAGTATTGACAACCTAGTATATGGAAACTTAGACCTAAAGCATAGCCACACAGTTTGATTAACCAGATAAAGTCTTTTATATGTCCAGACTCCATATCCTCTTCAAAGTGATTTTTCTGCTCGTGTCCCACTAATGACGTCATGACCGCATATATTACATACATCTTGCATTATGTTGCATGGTATAATATAACTATGCTTCAGGTTGATCGTGCCCATACTCCTTAGTCTGAATTGTCACAAAGTCCCGCAATCTATCTTCCTTCTCGTGGACTTGTGCTGGGGTCAGCGTCCCATAAGCCTCGTTGACCTGCGAGACTACCTTCTCCTTCCAACCCGTCTCTTCATTCCCTAGCACATTTACTTTTCCCAGACCATCCCACACCACCTGCATAGTTTCACCCAGTTTTTCAAGGAAAGCTTGGATCCCACCCTCGCCGCCTCCTTGTTGATAGCTTTCAAAAACGCCATTGCCCGCCCATCTCGGCCCTAAGCTGGCCATTATGATTGTATCAAGATCTTTGGCGCTCACTACGTCTTCCTGCACCAGGTAGCATGCCTCCCGTAGCAACGCAAACGCTAATCGATTCCCCACAAACCCCGGGATCTCTTTTTTAAGGACCACGGGCCGATGCCTTGATCCAGGGACGGAGAAGTACTCGCGAGCAAATTCCACACGCTCTGGCGAGGTATCAGGAGAGGGGACAATCTCCAACAGCGGCATGATATGCGGTGGGTTAAAGGGATGAACAACGAGCAAGCGAGTTTTATCATGCAAGTTTTGTTGTTGGGCGGATGCGGCAATGCCAGACGTACTGGTCCAGAAATGCGCAGACGGTGGAGCCAAAGTTTCCACCTGAGCCCAGAGGGATTGCTTGAATTCGAGATTCTCTGGTCCCTGTTCTTGGACGATAGTGGCGGACGCGCAGGCGGATTCCAGTGATGTGTGAATGTGCAAACGGCCGGAAGAGATTAGGGAAGCCACAGTGGACATTGATGATTGAGATTCTGAGGGTGTACCTTGACTCAGAAAGTGTGGCAATGTATTGAAAAGGTACTGTTTGAAGTCTGGCCGTGTGTCGAACACATCCACCGTCACATTGTCTCGAGAGAGGTGCAGTGCGGTCATGGATATACCGATGGTCCCTAATCCGATCACGGTGATCCTTTGCGGGCTGGTGACTGACATTGTTCCAAGTGTATAGTATAGTAGCTCTAGAGAGTGTACTGACTTCAAGCTTGTTACTTAAGAGACCTTTAGCAGGATACAGTCAGAGCTATGGGTGAATCTCGTCAATGGCGAGGTGAGCTGTTGGGGCGGATTAGGACTGGGGTCTGTTTAAATACACAGTATAGTCTCCCCGCAATTGGTCGCTTTGTCCTGTACTGTACGGGGTACCAGCCGAGATCAGCCGCCACATGGCTTTCATATCGAGTATATGATTGATATTCACTCCACTCCTAGTAGTTTATTATAATTGAATCCGACCGTATGTACTAACAAGTTAGCAATTGAAGTTGCCCGCTAAAGCCACTGTTGGTTCCCGTAGTGCGACACAAAAGAACCACCATCCCCATTCTCAACACTCGCTGGATTCATCACAGAAATCACATCCTTGGCAGCAGCTGCCGCAGTACTGGGCCTTTGAAATGAGGCGCATACTCTTCAAATGACTTCCATATTCCCATCAAACCTTGCAACTGTTCCAGGGTTACTATGAAAAAAGGCATCAGCTAGGCCATATGAATAATTATTCTCATCACAGATATCTGACATACCAGCGGCAAATAATCCTGTGTCAGCCATCCCGGGACAGATGCTCATGAAAACCACACCCTCCTTGCTATACTGTGCACTGAACTTGACCACCGCGGTGTTAAAGCCCGGCTTGCTGATTGAATATAGCGAAGCCACCTCTGTCTTATAATTTGGGATCATGTCCAGAGCCGCCTGACCACTGGTGAGGGCAATTACCTTCTTAACCTGTCCTTTACGTATAAGCGGCACGAATAAATTTTGAAGAGGTGAATGTTGCCGACGACATTGACTTTGAAGTATTTCGTCAAGTACTCTTCGAGGACTTCGCGTCGTTGACCCCTATTTTGTTCCCAATATCAGTCCGCGGTCATCGCAGAGTCCAGTATAAAGTTGACTTACAAAACTCCGATAGGATCATAGGCATCAAACTGGGGCATGAGACCGGCGTTAGCAATCAGGTAGTCGAGTCCACTGCCAGTGAACTGGGTTGTGTCTGCGTTTTGGCAGGATGGAATAGGCTAAAGGGACATTGTAAGGCAAAGGGGGCTTGTGGTACTTACCTGTAGAGAGCTATAGCCGGTGATATCGGCCTGCGCGAGACGTACGTTGGACTGCCCCCGCAATTCTTCCGACACCCTTTTCTCGGTCGCAGTCTTGTCCCTGACTAGTTCGATGACTGTGTTGTTGGGCTCCTTGGACAGTTGGCTGAGGAATTCCCACTAAGTATTAATAACACTGGTCAGTAGTCTTTCTTAACCCGACCCGATGCTGGGAAGTAAGACCCTCGCCAATAACCCTAGAAGCTTCCGTGATAACGTAGTTGGGCATGTTGAACAAGCAAGGAGCAGGCTTAGATGGAGGGTAGACTTACTATAGGGAACAAGAAGAAGTGCTCGAATATGACTATATTTACTGCGCGATTCTACGGACTGAGCCGACCAGGGATCAGCAAGGTGTACTTATACAGAAAAACCCCCGGTGTTTATCTACTCTCAACGCACCTGCTCCTCGATTAAAACATCAATTGGAGATTCTGGAATATTCCAAACATCGTCTAAAATAGACACTGTGATTTGAAATCCAAGTATATCGTTCATGTTTGGTATTGTGGTATATGCTTGCAGTCTCGCGCATAGTTGCCCTTTTACCCAGCTACCTGTAGGGTTGCAGCAAAGATTAATATAAGCCCTAGACGATTCATTATCAACCGTCGATTCCGATTGATGTGTAACTTTTGTTTAGAACCTTAGTTCATGTACCTTGCTTGATAATTTAGATAGCCTCCTAGCTAAATAATTAATTAGTGGCCCATGGGTGACAACATACTGTGGTGATTATTAGTACATATCTACAGTACTCTATCTGATCAGCGCACTTCTACACTACGTAGGCAATGCTGTTTAACATGTCCATTTGATTTTTTAGGTAAGATAACCCATAGCATCCAGACATATCTGATATACACATGAACAGATAGCTGATCATAACAATATAAATTGAAAGATAAGGTACATCCTAACCAGAATCTCAGCCATTCTAACAATTTCATCCCAACACAGCCAATCTTTCTCGCCATTCCTACCTATCACAGTAATGCACACGTCCATCTAAGCCTGCCCGACTCTTACCCCGCCTGAGAGCCCCAAGGCATTGTCTAGAAGCAAAAAGAACTAATAAAATGACGAATAGGAGCTGTGGAGCATGCCGCGGTAATTTTCACCATGGGGATCGCTCTATATTATGAGCTTGCTGACGTTGAGTCCTAGATCGCCGAATCCTCTATGACCGCGCCATTCCAGTTTGCGCGCAGTGCCCCCAATCAAGCCGAACCTGAAAAGGATATGGCCTCCGTCTCTCCTGGCCAAAAGCGAGCAACAGTAGGCGTGTCGTGGTAGGACGGTCGACATTGCATAGTAGGAGCACGGTCCCCCGGTTTTCTGGCATTCAGTTGGTTAATATATCTACATGAGACATCGAAATGCACACCTACCTGTCAGGTCTAGCTTCAAACAGTAAGATCGTTTATTATCATTGTGGAGGGGTCAGACAGATTAACGCAGTATAGGGTCAACACAGCCCATCCTATGTCCACCTATACCCTTTAGTTCCACCCAATTACAGGCTACAGAAAAGTACTTATTGCAATATGGTAAGTGGTTACCGCGCCTGACCACTGCATCTCAAAGCTCACCGGTCTAATAAAACCCAGTCCAATACAACGCCTCGTTCTCTGGCACTTTCGGTCATGACCCTACGAATTTAGGTAAATTACGCCTGCGCATGACCCTCGCAAATAACGCCCTCCCCCTCAAGCCACCGCAGAGCTGCAGACTTTACTCGCTCTGTCGTCTCTGCAATGTGACGGACTGCAGTCGCAGGCACCGGAGCTCAAGATCTCCGCCCTTAGAGCCCTCACAACCACCTCAAATGGTAATATTGGTGCAACACAAGCAGCTCAGCATGATGCCACAGGGATGCTTTTGTGTTCATTCGAGGTCAACGTATGAACTTCCGTTCTCTATCACATATCATGCCGTCATGCTCATCTACATAGAACCCCCAGGTATCCTACATCTCAGACCAATGGAGGCGGTACATCACAGGCGTCAAAAGCGTCATAAAGCCTCCGTCATGGGCAAGTATGATTAAGATATGGATTTCAATGACTTGCTGGACTGGGTATACTACCACGATGTACTATCACGTTTCAGCCTCATATACTGGCGCCAGCAAACCTCACCGGTCCCACCGGATGCTTGCATAGAGATTCGCATCTAAAAGCTATCGCTAACTTTTGCAAGCGAAGGGTAGCTTTTCAACTTCTGTTAGCGCCCTCATTCGGTACCGTCTCCCTATAACACTACCCTAAACCTTCTATCTGAGGTTTTCGACACAATGTCTGTAAAGTTACTACACACAGCATCCGACGAAGGCATCGATGATTGTAAAACTTCTTAAGAATCCTCGCATGGAGAATAAGAAATATTCCCTCCTCAGACACCCTCCTGAGAAACAATCCCAGTACGACGATGGCCATAAAATTGCTCCAATTAGGGATGCTGGTATACTTCAACCGGGTATCCGGAAACCTGCTCGAGCCAGCAGCCAAAGCCGACCGACGGATCAAAGGAGCCTTTACAAAACTCTCTCAACTCGGCCCTTGTGAGAGGCAAGTCCCCTTGTTTATCTCGGACTGCGAAGCACGAACTGATGGTGAGAGGCGTACGGTTCTCGATCTTGATCGGTAGGACTGAGAAGATGGCTTCATCACGATCCCTTTTTCTAGTGAGAAAGATGATCCAGGCTATTTGGGTCCAAGATGATCTTGCTAATGGGGCGATTGACTATATGGATAAATTGAGTGCGATCATTAGCTGTTGTGCTTTTTTGTCGACGTTTGTCTAGACTCTCGCGTTGTTGTCATGGGCTATTTGTCTGAGATAACTGGATATAAAAGTTTTTGCTACTTAGACAAGTTATACTTTAGTACCATTGCGGAAATAAAATAGCTCCTAATAATCATTACTTTATGTTACCGGAAAGTAATTAAATTGTCTGTGAGCGTTTGTAAGGATATGGAGTGTCATAGATCCCTCCAGGAGCTAAACCCGAAACGGTTATACCGGACCTTCGCGCAAACGCGATTCAACACGCGCCGTCATCAGTGAAAAGAAACTGACTTTATTCAGCTCCCAACTCTCATTCAAAGGATTCCTTACTTTCTTTCATCCTAGTCAACATGGCGAGCGAAGGCGACTGTAATTACTCCTCCATGCTACCCATCACCCCCATACTTTGAGAGCTACAATCCAGCTGACCGGCGTCAATCTCGTTTTAGGGACCTGCGACGCTAATGACGCCGTCCAGATCACCGTGGTCCAGCCCAGTGAACAAAAGCCGAAGACCATCTCTAGTTTCCATCCGCAGTTTACTTATCCGATTTTCGGTGATGATGAGACTATTTTTGGTTACAAGGGCCTGATTATTCGTTTGCGATTTGCTGCTCATGACCTCCGTCCGCATATTCATATCTCCTACGATGAGAAGTTCAAGCCCGTGGGCGACACCGCAGCGGTTGACCTGTTGAAGACATTAAAACCATGGATTCCAGAAGGTAGTACTTGATCTGAGGTTGAGCTTGAATCACTGTACCGCGGCTGACGAATGGGTAACCCTTCAGAGGCTTTCTCCGAACTTTCAGATTACGAGAACGCCGTGCAAGAGGACACGGATGCGAAGAACTTTGTGCCGCCGGGGAAGCTTGTCCATAACTATGTCACCCGGGGAAGAACATACGAGATCTGGGCGGGATCTCTTGCTGATCCTCAGGTGCGACGGCTGTTGGATCGTGCTCAGGTCTTTGTGTCGCTATTTATCGAGGCTGGAACGCCCCTAGAAACAGATGATCCTGAGTGGACACTTGAACGTTGGACGGTCTACTTTGTGTATGAGATCCTTTTATGCCTGGGGAGAAAGCCTGAACATGGCTGACGATAACCCGATGACCATAGGTACGAGAAGGTGAAGCCTCCGACTCCCACTGCTTCACAATATTCCATCGTCGGATATGCGACAACCTATCGCTGGTGGTTCTATCAGAGTGATACTTCGGAGAAAACCACGTTCAAGAATGATCCATTCCCAGGACCCGAAATCAGGCCTGCACAGCTACCATCACGGTTACGGATTGCCCAATTCCTCATCCTCCCCCCCCACCAGGGCTCGGGTCATGGTACCCATCTATACACAACCATCCATACTGCATGCTTCAACGACCCGACAATTGTCGAATTGACAGTTGAAGACCCTAACGAAGCGTTCGATGCGCTCCGCGATACCGCAGACTTCCACATTTTGCGCCCAGAATTCCTGAAACACAACGTGAATATCGACCCCGATCCCTACGAAGGGCTTTCTAAAAAACAACGACCCCGTCGCGTCCCAACATCCGCACTCATCCCCACAAAGCTTCTCCATGACATCCGCGCCTCTCATAAAATTGCCTCAACGCAGTTTGCTCATGTCTTGGAAATGTTTCTTTTGGGCGAGATCCCAACCAAATATCGTCATGCTGGTGGCGCAAATATGTCCCGCCTATTGATCAAGAAATATAATGCAGAAGACCCCAATGAACGACGGTACTACTGGTGGCGCATGCTAGTCAAGCAGCGTCTCTTCAAGCGCTCTCGGGATATTCTCATCCAGCTAGAGATGAGTGACCGCATTGAAAAGCTGGAGGAGACGGTGACCAACGTAGAGGAAGGCTACGAAGCGCTAATCAAAGTCTTCACTGCCCGAGAAGAGGCTTTGCTGGCCAAACAAAGTGAATCTGGTGAATTATCTGAAACTGCAGTTCTAGAAGACTCAGGCACAAGTTCTAGTGATGCTTCCGCCAGGGATCAGCGCGTTAAGAGGAAGTTCACGGTAGAGGATGATGACGAGGAAGAGGATGAACTGGAAGCTGCCAAGCGCCCAAAGGTCTAATTTATGATTTGTGTTCTCCTTTTAGGCTTCCAGAGTCGGCGAACTTGGTTCAATCTATACACAGGAAGATTCAACAAATGTAATATCAGCGCTCATGAGTCATCAAATCCATGCCGTCATTTGTATATCGTTTCTACGCATGAATCGAATCACTCATGGTAGCTGGGCACGGCAGTATCTGTAATTTCCAACGTATCTATAGTAGCAGACGAAGTAGTATCCAGATTCGTCAGACTTGTAGTTCCTATCGATGTAACTGTCGAGAGACTGGCGTTCGATGAGGCTATCGAATTTGGCGGTTTGCTTCTTACATCGAGATATTCGGCGACATTAGGACCCACATCTTTCCTAGAGGGATACGACTCTTCCAAGGTACCGTTTGGCTGTCGAACAAGTTCATCGACGTACTCAAATGCCCGTCTGAGGTCTTGTATTTCAGCCTGCATGGCCCCAGAGTTGAGAGATGGGTTAGTCACAGCCTCAGTCTGCAGGATCTGCTCCGGTTTTCGAATGGGCGGTAAGTCATGGTCAAGCGGGGCGATCTGTTCGGGTTCCTGGGTTCCTCTTTCCCACCACTCTTGCCATCTAAACCGCCGAGCTGCAGATCTATAGGCGAGCTGAGCTCGTCGTTCTTCGCGCCGTGCGGCTCGATCTACTCGGCGTCGAAGGCAGTACATGGTATTGCGACATATTTTGAGGATCAGTGCAATTATAAGACACACAAGGATAATCACCGAGCAGGTCGTGGCGAATTCCTTGACGCTTAATTGGGGTGATATATCTTGCCCTGAGTAGGAGTAGATTGTTCAACAGTGCTCGAATCAGAAAAGCTTGACGATAATGTATTGCATGAATTTTCATGGAATATATCGCTCAATCCCATGGATGATTCTTCCTGCACTATTTTAATACACTCTTTGGCATTCTGCTACATGCCGAGTACCAGGTGCATGATGCATCTGGGAGTGATGCCGGGAAAGGCCCAAATCTGTATCTTACCCCGCGGATTGCGGCGGGGATATAAGTAAAAGAGGCCTTGAATTTGCACCCAAATGTGCTACAGTCTCCCCATTTTGGGTGAAAATCGGTGCAATCGTGCTGTAGTCTCGCGAATCCTCCGCTCTTCTCGCTTTATTACCTGTTGCAAAAGATGAGCTTTTCACTCCAGATCCTGTAGATGGGCCCAATGCCATTCGAGATATTTTCTGGATTGCCCCCCCCCCGCGCCCGGGATGACTAGCATCCGACTGGATTTCTAGACATTCAGACCCATCTAAGTTCATCCAATGATCTGCTAACGAACCATCAACCGACGAATTCCATGGTTGGGTACACAGACAAAGCATTCCTGGCGGTTCAGTCTGTGTAAACAAAACAGTAAACCCAAATTCGTCCTGGGCGTCGAATTCACTGACAGGGTCCATCAGGACTGTCAGAAGCTGACGAGTTAGCTCATTTAAGCGCTTTGCCATTTGACAGCTAGTATTCCATGGCTATCGCCAAGATATGATGGAATGATCCCGGAGCCATAACCATGGTGGTCATTCCAAGCGTGAGCTAACTCGTTTCCGTTGAGAAACAAGCCTGTCCCATCACAGGCTCTATCCCCTATATGGATGCTCAGCTCAAGCGGCTAAGGCCTCATCAGCCGAAAATAACACAGAGCACCATTCAAGTCAAAACCACTATTTCACGAAGTCAATTGTTCTCTCATAGCCACAATCTGAGCATAGCAATTGAAATCCCACTGCAGTATCTCCCTTATCTATGCAGGCGTTTAAGCAAGTCGGACATTATACGAATGTAAAGGCCAATGGCTTGAACTGACTTTGACGCAGTAGCGTATAGGTGGACATGCTTTTATAGAGAGCCGATGGGCTAGCAAAGATGAAATTAGAGGGTGAGACTAGAAGAAATGGTAACGCTAAGCTCGCTGGCCACCGCATGATAGTGGTGAACTACATGTATGCGACCCGAATTTGCACGATAAAGCTGAATGATTACTGTGGGACCTTATGGAGACACATTCCCCAGCTGGGATCCAACAGATAGATGAGCAAGCTGTCAAAAAGGTGAAAGCCCAGAACAGCCGGAACTCGGGGCTGATTACTGTCCAGGTTTATTCCCAGTAATCTGACTATTTAGTCAATACTAAACGGTTCTCGGACTTACTTTTATCCAGATCTCCAGGTAGCGATCACTGCCGCTGGAAGCTCGGGCGGAGCTCCTTGGTTATCATATTCAACAAATAGAGGGCCCGCTCCTCCCCAAACTCGTTTTTCCTTACGTTCCTCTGCTTCTATTCGGTGTCACTTTGTTAGCGCATACCTGATATCGCTAAGAACAACCCGTTTAAGCCCTCGCTCGCTGCACTTTCGGAGACCAACCAATCTTTTATATCGCTCCCACTGACCAATCATCTTGGAAATGGTATTTATTCACCATATCAAAGATGGCCAACTGCACTTTTAGATCAGTGATTACTGACGGCAAGTTACCCACAGTTGCCCCTCGGACTCCTCACGGCCGCTCAAGGCCATCCAATGCTCGTGGAACTCAAGAATGGCGAAACGTTGAACGGACATCTTGCCAATTGCGATAACTGGATGAACTTAATACTTAAAGAAGTCGTTCAGACTAGTCCAGAAGGCGATCGGTTCTTCCGGCTGCCCGAAGTCTATATCAGAGGAAACAATGTATGTTGCTTAGGCGCACATGGTCTGGCCGAGTACTAATGTGGGTTAGATCAAATACCTACGGATTCCCGAAGAGATCATAGAGATGGTCAAGGAACAGCAGCAAAATCAGCCCTCGAACCGCAATCGGGGTGGGCACTCTCACCGCGGTGACAGAGGTGATCGGGGTGGTCGTGGTGGACGTGGACGTAGTCGCGGTCGCGGTCGCGGCGGCAGCAACTGAAGATATGTCCAGGTCATGATTACAAGAGATGCGAGATAAAGATAGATACCCCCGAGGTGAAGGTGTAGGTAATTTATGAGGTCCGTTGGGCGGATTAGTTGAGCATGATCCTGGCGTATCTGGCTCTGTTTTCTTTTCTTTTTTTTAATCCAATGGGGATTGTGCCATAAGAACCACTGTTTTTATTTCCCTTCTTGAATAGCCTTCTTATTTAGAATCTGGATAATAAAATCTTGTAAAAGTACTGTGCTAATCAGGGCCGCACATCTATGATTACTGCGTCTAGTAAAACTGCCCTGGATAATCACGTGATGATATGGATATTTTGACAAGCGGAATTCAGATGGGACGGCCGGCATCTCTGGTTTCCCAGAAGGTCGACATGCCGAGGCAGGCCCTTATTGTAGATGGACTCTGGTATTGCCTCTGTCCATCATTCAGCCTCAATACCATCAAACGCCCTGGTATCCCCCTCATAAGGGGGAAGCGAGCTCCCAAACCCAGGCAGTTTTCGGCATTAACTCACCCATTGTCAACATCTCGAAAATACTTCAGCAGCACTCGTATTCGGAAAGCCGGTGAACATGGGTCGACTGTCGGTGATGAAGTGCATGAGGTGGGAGGTAGCCAATTCATAATCGATCAGAAAGCTCCCTGGGAACTAGATGAGAGTCAGAACCCCGGGCATGATGTCGACGCATCACCGACAGAGAGCAACCCTGGCGCAGAGTCTACACGCAAGCGCCCGCCCGGAGTTCCCAAGACGCTCGAACATAAGTCAACATCTCATCTGGAGCAAAAGCTTCAAGAGCTAACTACCACCACCCCAAGGATCTTAAATACGAGCCAGATACTGCGCATTCTGGTCAGAGATCGCCATACACGTCCTGAGATACGACACTATAGGGCATTAATACGCGCCAACTCAGATGCTGAGCGTGGGTCGCCAGAAGTCGTTCGGCAATTACTAGCTGAAATGGAGGCGAATAGCTTAACGTTGGATTCTGGCACGTTGCACACCGCATTACAGGTACTGCGACCGCCTTGCTCTAGGCTTCACGGGAAGTTTTAGCTAATGAGTTCTCCCATCGATAGGCTCTTGCGGTTCATCCTGATTATATACTACGTCAGGAGATTGTGCGCACTCTTCGAGACCGATGGCTTCCTTTAAGTCCTGACGGTTGGCATTATGTCGTGGCTGGCCTTGTGAGGGAACATCAGTTTGAATTGGCACTGGATCATATCGCGCACATGGAGAGGAAAGACGTTCCGGTTGAGGGCTGGCTACACAGCATGCTCATTTACTACCTCTGCGAATTTGAAGAGTTCGACGAGGTGGCACGGTTAATGCGTTCGCGGCTTGGCCAGGGGTATGATATGACGACAGACCTATGGCTTTACGTACTCGATGTGGCGAGTGCCGCCGTTCACCACGAAGCCACACGTTTTGTGTGGAATCAGATGGTTGAGCTGAGATACATGTACCCGCCATATGGTGTCTGCGGAAATGTGTTGACGGTAGCGTCCCGCACTGGGGATACAGAGCTTGCTGCGTCTGTCGCCCGCTTTTTAACTGAGACTGATGTACCCCTCGGTTTGGAAGATTACGAAAAGATTACTGAGACCTACGTGATGTCTGGTGATCTTTACGCTGGGTTCGAAGTCCTTTGCGAAATGCACAAAGTGGGGATTGCGTTGGAATCAAGTTCAACAGCCGCCATATTGACTTACATGATTCAATCAAGGACCAACCCGCGGGATGCCTGGTCAATTCTCAAGCAACTAAAGTCTCTGAAATATGAAATTCCCCTTCGTTGTGCACTTGTCGTTATTGAGATGTGTGAGCACGAGGCTATTAACGACCCCTTCGTGGTAGATGAGGGGGTGGCACTCTACAAGGAGCTCTATGCGTTGTGCTCGGAAAAGGCGGATGTCTCAGTTTACAACTCCCTTATTGGTATGTGTCGCCGGGCTAAAAATACCGATGCTGGCATGTTCATCGTAAAAGAGATGGCCACGCTTGGCGTGGTGCCGAATGCCACGACATTCGAACATCTCATCATCATGTGTTTGGATGCTGGGAATTTCGAATCGGCGTACATGTACTTCCAGGATTTGCTTGCACGAGATGCATCCCCCAGCGAGGATGCACGAGCTGAGATTCGGGACCTGTGTACCGGTTCGAGCGACCAGTACGCTGTTCAATTGAAGTACCATCCACAGATCAGGGATGCGCTAGTCCGCAGGCAGGTAGATGACTTGGATCCCACACATGAGCGTGCTGGGCTCATCAAGAAGGTGCCGTCTGACGCACCCCCCGAATACGCCAATCGTTTCAGACCTGGGGGACGGAGATCTTTTACCAAAGAGGAGCGACGGGCCGAAAGCAAGGAGAAGCGAAAGCAGAAGAGAAGACGGTTGGCGATCGCAAGGGCTCGAGAGGAGGACGGATGGGAAGACTACGAGCCAGGTGGACTCATCCCTGAGGATCAAATCAAGGCCGATGCAAAATCGCCATCCTGTTGAACTGGGGTTGCTATATTGTACAGTATATCGTTCCCCATTGTAAATTAGTGCCTAGCGATACCTTTCAAAATCATCCGGAATGATGCCAGATCGGAGAATTGATGTCAATGACCACCTGACGTTTTAGCAGCTGTAGGCTAATTAGGTATTAAATGGATGTACTAACAGTTCGAACAACCCTCAGATGCAGCGGAAATCAAACGCTGCGGAGTAACAGTGCCACATCTCTATACGGGGGTTTTTATTTTAATGTGTTTTTTTTCCCATTTTTTTCCCATTTTTTTTTTCCCTTCTTTTTTCCTCTCGACTCATCCTACCGAAAGAGTTCACACTGAGACCCCGAATGCAACACCAAGGCTATTCTCAAACCACCGGCGGGTTTATTTTACCTCGGAGCCAATGTTAGTGAGTCCCCACTGTCAACAACTATGGTGGGAACAGTTCCATGCATGATAAGTCCCCGTGATTTGCTATCCCTTACAGTACCGATACAATGGAGTTCGTGGTTCGTTCTATAAATAAGCGATGAATACTAGTATAGAGATTGGGATCGTCCGCCGCGAGATAGCCAGTAAGTACTGTCTACTGCACGGACAGCAGAGGATAAGTCCCTGTATAATCCGACTTATTATAGATATAGTATGTACAATATTGACATAAATCTCATTATGATTATCTATCGCTATTATTAGTCGGGCCTGCACTCCCACCCCTAGTTTGGAGCAATGTTACATCCATGACGAAGGGATGATGTTCTTTTCTCTTCGAGATGGAAGGTTGAGAAACAATGCGGTGTTTTCTCCTTCTCTGAATGGAGCAGTCCGGCTAACTCTTCCACAGATTCCTGTGATCGACAGGATGCTGGCAGGTTGATGGTTCTGTAGCCGAAATGCTGCTCCACAGCCAGTCGGGTCGTCGCTTTCCTTTCTCGTCTTTGGATCGCCACAGGAATGGCTGCTTCCCTTCCTCCCACCCCCCTGGACCTCTCCATTCACGGACATTTACTATAAAGCATAGCGACCCTCTGAAGTGGTGAATGGTTTTTGACTCTACACCCCCTACTTCATCTTACAACCTTCAATTGTCGATACTCAATATAAAAACCTCAGTCACTCTCCCCTCTGTCTCCCGCATACCAGGACCCCTGTATACATCAAACCCAAGCATAAAGGCCTCCTACCCTCTTTTTTTCCATCATGCAACTCTCTTCGGCCGTCGCGGTTGTTCTCTCCGCCCTCAGCTTTGCCTCCGCTATTCCTCTCCACCGCCTCAGTACCAGCCCTGCCCTGTCCTGGCAGGTTGCCGACTTCAACGCCGGCTGCTCCCCAGGCGGGTGCGTCTATAACTTCAACATCACGGGTGTCGCCAGCCAGAACACTCCCGGATTCCATACTCATTGTACCGGCACCAGTGTCCAAAAGGACTTCGCCTTCTGCGATGACAAGCACGTCAAGGCCAAGGTGGTTTCTCAACTGTACCCCGTGTGGACGGTCCATGTACAACATGCTTGGTTCCACGGTGAGGCCGAATTCTATGCGGCCGGTCATGCCAACGTCACATCCACTCAGAAGAACTTCACGATTCCCGTCACCGAGGTCTATGGAGTCGCCTGAATCCGGTTTTTATGAAGAGATCAGCAGCACAGGTTGGGCCGCGCGAGTGCTCGAGAAAGGGGGCGACGATCATTATTTCAATCCGCTACGGTCTACGGGCTTCGTAACAAAGAGAATGCCAGAAACGAGTACAGAAGTGCGCCGACAAGGTGAAACGATGCTACAGAAACATGTTTGAAACAAAAAGGAAGGGTCAAAAGGAAAATAGCCTCTTATGAGGCAAGTGATATGGAGCCTCTTTGTATCATATGCATTGACTCGGAGGACATATGAAAGGGTACTATTATACTAATGTTAATGTCTGGTCTACTATGACGGTCACTCGTTTATGAAATGTTTATAATTTATATGTAACGACAAACGTTTATCTGATTAAGATAAAAGATTTAAAAGTCTGTTTTGATTCCCTGCAACTTTGAATTTCTTTTTTTTTTTTTTTTTTTTTTTGGAGAAGGTGCCGCATTTTGTGAAGAGGAAAGATGGGGAGCTGATGCTTTTTGCGGGACTGTGGGATTGTGTTTCTTACGAAGGTGAGATCTTCTTTTTTTTTTTTTTTTTTTTTTTGGTTCGTCCCGTGGCTGTGACATCATAAATCTCCCCGCCCAACAACAAAAAGGAATAAATCTTGTATCTCTTCTACATTCAAGGAGAGCGGAAGCAAGTCATGTTTCCAACTATCCTTTGGCCACCTTAACATTTTCGCAAAGAGCTGGATATTTATTCAAGTGTCCGTGCCCATAGCGTGCAGTCATTCTCCCCACGGAGTCCCTGAGCTTATTTATCGGCGATTATCTGAAATCTTGGCATATTCCTTCACAGCGGGTCTTGTGCAAATGGTCGGGAGCTTGTCGCCCTCCATTTGCATTCATTCTCTCCCAGTCCTGCAATTTAGCGCGAGGAGCTACACTTTACTGCATACCCCTTGCTTTCTCGCCTGTTGACTGGGTACCGATGGTAAGATCACTTTGTCCGGATAGATTCCCTCATTCCAATATCGTCCTGTGCCGAGACTGACACAGGGCGCTTGGCTCTTCGTCCTCTGCAGGCGTCGATCTTACGGCAAATCGTTGCTGGGCCAAGGTTACAGCACCCAGAGGCAGGGCTGGATCTATGCTATGTCACCGATAATCGTGGGTCTTCCAGTGTGCCTCCGCTATCACGGTACTTCCTAACCCCGAATCAGCGCTAACAGCCTTTTTCTTCTTTGTTGTCATGCAGTCATTGCAACGTCCGGGCCGTCCCCTAGCTACCCGAAACGTGCCTACAGGAATCCGCTCGATGACTTAGTAAAATATCTGGACTCCAAACATGGCGAGGACTGGTGTATTTTCGAGTTCCGTGCCGAGGGAACAGGGTACCCGGATGACGCAGTCTACGGGCGGATACATCATTACCCGTTCCCAGATCACCATCCCCCGCCATTTGCGCTTATCCCCGCAATGATGGGGTCTATGCATAACTGGCTACATGGGTTGGATGGCAAGGGCGAAGCGCAAAAGAAACGGAAGAGAGTTGCGGTGGTCCATTGCAAAGCTGGCAAAGGACGAAGTGGAACAGTCGCTTGCAGCTATTTGATGTCGCATGAAGGATGGAAGAAAGAGGACGCTTTGCAACGCTTTACCGAGCGGAGGATGCGGTCTGGGTTTGGCCCCGGGGTGAGTATCCCGAGCCAGCTGCGTTGGGTAGGGTATGTCGACCGGTGGGCGAACCAAATGGCCAAAACGTATACCGAGCGGCCGGTGGAGATCCTCGAGCTGCATGTCTGGGGCCTGAAAGATGGCGTCAAGGTTGCAGTGGAGGGGTTTGTCGACGAAGGCAAGAAGATTCAGAGCTTCCACCTGTTCAACCGCAGTGAGCGCTCCGTTGTGGACGATGGGAAGGTAAAGCCTTCGTCGTCGCTGAAGAAGGATAAGAATGGTAGTGGCCGAAAAAGCGGTATCAAGGAGGCCTTCTCACCCGTAGCAGAATCGTCCAGCTCATCTAGCTCGAGCTCATCCGATGAGGATTCAAGGATCCAAAGCGGCACGTCTGCCGTCCTCTTTCGGCCCAGCAAGCCCCTCATCATCCCTACCTCCGATATCAACATTGATTTTGAACGGAGAAGCAAGGCCTACAAGGATTGGGCAATGGTGACGTCCATCGCGCATATATGGTTCAACGCTTTCTTCGAAGGCGGCGACAAGCAAGATTCAGGTGTCTTCGAAGCGGAATGGGATAACCTGGACGGAATAAAAGGCACCTCCAGGAAAGGGGTCCGGGCCCTCGACCGACTCAAAGTAGTATGGAGATACCCACCTTCCTCGCAAACCGGGACAACCGCGCCAGACAAGTTAGAAACGGCCGCCACGCCGGGCAAAACCATCACCGAGCCCAAACCCGGCGAACCCATCTCCGAAAGCCATCCAGCTGACTGGCGGGGCCAAGATCCAGTAGAGCAGCTCGCTGCACCAGATCAGGAGAACATTCCAATACGGGCTCACAGGAGCCTAGAAGACCAAAAGGAAAGCAAGGAGCCCACGTCTGAATCAGATAGCCCGATCGTCACCGGCCTCACCACCGCCGCCAGCAGTGCAGCAGCGGCTGCTGCATCTTCGGTGCAGATGCTAGGCAAGGAACTAGGGCTCAGGAGGCAAACGGATGAGAGCAAAGATGTCAGTCTTGCTGAAAGCGACGATAATGACTCGGTGCTAGGTCACCGGAAACACGATAATGATGCAGAGCAAAGACAGGCGTTGAACAGAGTAGAAAGTGAAGACTTCGAAGGCGTCCAGTCATACTTTGGGAATGGCGATCAAAAAGATTTGAGCTCTCCGAAGAACACTAAGCTTAATGCTCTATGTAAATAGCATGTGGATGGCGAACACTTTGGGATATATTAATCTTGCAGGCATATATGTCCATGTACATACATACAGCATACCCATACAAAATCCGCGCCATATTAGAAAACATGGAGCCTCACCAAATCCCATAAAAATTAGATATTTACATAAGGAATATTCTAATACTACTTATATTTGTGGTAACGTATTAGTTGGGGGAGCAGGATCGTCGTCTCAAAGAGGCACAAACCCTTCCATCCATCGTCGAGCCTCTTCTTCCTCGCGCCGCAGTCGGTCAGATTTCTTGCGCTCATAAACGGCCCGGACCACGCGTTTCACTTGTTCCTCGCCTTGAGCAAAATTGGCTTTGGCAAGGCCGACGACAGAGTCGATTTGTTCGGGGCTGTACACGAAGTTCCATGTGGAGAGAAAGTCGTCAACATCCGGATTAATGGAGCCAGGATGCGGTGTCAGGGGCTTTGCTGGATCGGAGACCTTGGCAGAAGACTTTGTCTCTGACTGTTGAGCCGGGGGGCAGGGTTTAGATAGCGACGAACTGGAAGGCAATTCTGGGGCAGAGGGGTTTGGAAGCAGAGGGAAATACACGACGGCGATACCTGCGTCAGGGCGCATTAGGTGGAAATCGGACTCCGAATGGTCCTTGTGTCTGGGTTGGAAAAGACGCTTTGATGGAGGTGGTTCTTCACCGGAAACTTTCTCTTGGGTGGTTCCGACCCAGACGTTGCAGTAATCTAGATCTGTGTCTTGGTCGCTGAGACTCTCGTTGCAGTTTGTTGTTGGGTCCTGTCCATTGCTCCTAGTGTTCTTATCGTTGTCTTGGGCTTCCCGTATCTTTGCATTGAGCGCGTCCTCGGTGATGTTTTGGGCCTCGCGGAGCTTTTCCTCTGTTTCCTTCACCTTCGTCCCCACTTTCGGCCAACCAGCTCCAATTGGCCAACCTTTGACACCTCGTTGTCGTGCGTACCCATCGACAACGGAAAGCCAGTTTTCTTGTTTTATGTCGGCTGAAGCGTCAAAAGCAACAACGATGTCCACGTCTCTGCCGGGTCGGAGTAGTGGGTAAATGGGTAGATTATTGCTCATTCCCGCATCCATTAACCGCAGATGTGAACTGTGGAAAATCGACTCCGGACAAGATGGCGGCAAAATATCCTTCATGCCTAGTACATAGTTCGGTATAGTAGCAGGGTCGATCGGGTGGACTCGGACTAAGTCTTTTCTCTTCCCTTCGATCAGAGAGTCTATGCCCCCAAAACCGGCGATGCCTCGTACCAGGGGCCGTACCTCCTTGTAATAATGAGATAGGGTCGCGCAGAAAGCACTCCCCCAAACTCCCATGAGACCCGGGACACGTAGTTCAGGGATTGGATAGTGTCCCTTTGGGATTTGGTTGACTCCTTCATTGAAATGTCTTCCTAGAGCCCATGTGGGTATACCCGCACCGAGCTCCTCGCAGAAAAATTCATATGGCGTGAACTCAAACCACTGGAACCATGCTTCATCCTGAGACTCTTTTATCAGCATCTCTGGCGTCGGTTGCTTCTTTTGGCGGCCTTCTTCGTCGCTCTCAAGGACCGGGATCTCATGTCGGACGGCGGTGTAGATAGGCAGTGGATGAGCCCCATTTGCAAGGTTGAATCTCTGGTTGGACAGCTTGAGATCTCGATCCGAGACTCCAAGCTCTCCTTTTGGTACAAGCAGTCTCGCAGCTAACAACATCCCGTATATGTCTACCAAACCGAAATCCGCACCAGGGTCGCCTTTCAACTTCTCAACCAACCCACTGAGGAGGTATTTGTTGGTAGGGGCGGTTGTCAATGCATTGAGAGCCTTTGGTGGGAAGGCTATATGTACACCTAGCCGGTGTTTTAGATGATCCATCAATTTTTGAAAGTTGCACCCGGTAATGGATGAATGATACAGGGTCTGCAACCAGCAACTGCCACTGACACCGGCGGTGTAAGTCACACAGTCCCACAAGCCGGCCTCCTGAGCGGCCAAGTATGACCCAGTCCCAGCGACAAGCGCCCGCAGACCACCTCCCGAACCGCACATTGCAATGATAGGGACGTCATCGGGATGTATGTCCTCTTCAGGTATGCCCAGATAGGATGCAAGTGCTCTCACCCCGTGCTCCCGTCTTTTCCGCCTGAACTCCAATTCCTCTCTGCATAGGTCATTTCCCACCCGAACTCTTGCATTTTGCAATATTTCTGGGTTGATATCCGGATCATGGGCCTCCTTCCAGATATCATCCGCAAGGGAACCGGGGGCCATTGAGAGCTCACGCTGGAGCTTTTGGACTGTCGCTGGAAGCAACCGAGCCCAGTCTGGCATGATGTAATTTTTCAAGCTGTCAATCTCGATCCAATCAGTCGAACCCACCGTTTGCTTTACTCCGTCGAACTTCTGTAATATGTTCGTCCATATTGAGCCTGGTTCGCTATGGTCTCCGGAGCTTGATGTCCCATTGCTCCCCTGCAAGCTCACAGATGGTGATCTTCCAGATCGTCTCTGTGCATGGTAGTTTGTAGACGTGGAAAACTGAGCTGATTGATCGGATTGTAGTACAGCATGTTTGTAGTACTGGGTCTGGCCACTAGTAGAATAAAGCGCCCCACTGCCCAATGCAATTAAAATAGCCGGAGGGACGGTCCAGCGAAGACGCAATGCCTTCGTAGCAACCATGTTGTGACGGGAACTGCACAGGAGGGAGGGGAAGTACAGGGCCAACATCCGACATTTAAGGCCATGGCGAGTGGGCCAGACCGACGACGATCCCATTTGTAGCTTTTCTTCTCCAACTTTTCCCGACCCTGCAGGAATGACATCACATCACGTGTATTATTCGGGACAATAGACGGACCGGATGCCTACCGCTTTGATGCTAGCGGTTGACTGCGGAGTGGGAAAGGCAACCTATTGAAATGCCGCGGTTGGTCTGGGGTGAACAAAGCTCCAATAAATTAATTATGCGTGCTCCATGAGGCCAGCTGCCTCGTCGGCCAGCTGTTCATTTTCTTGCAACAGCTCTTACTTCGGCTCCGACCAGAAAGACATGACGTATTTGGGATAGAAGCGCGCGAGTGAAATCGTTATCTTTTCAAGTTCTTGATTGTCTCATATCATTGAGAGACCTGCCGACCATGGTTGCTCCAAGGAATACTGCTTACGCGGAGGAGAGCGCGGAAGTGGAGGTGTTGTATGCCAATCTTGAGAAACTTAAGCTTCTCACCAGGGGAATCCAAGGTTCCCTCGTCCGGCTGGAAACCGGGGGGAACGTCGTGAAACACGCCATTGGGCCCATCTACAGTAATACCCAATCACTGCAAATCACCAACAGCAACATTGATAAGGTCAATGATGCCATTGATCGCCTGCGTCAACCCCTCGAAGCAAAGAATCGGGAGGAAGATATCATTCGTTCTGGGTAAGCGAATTTCTTGTTGATGTCGTTGAAGTGGATAACCTAGCTAACACATTTGAAGCCCGCAAAATGTCGAGTTGTCGCAGTATTTGGCGGCCATAAAACGTGTAGAAAAGGCGCTCGTCGATTTAAATTCTACAAACTTAAGATCGAACCAGAAAGCCATTTCTGATTTCAACACTTTAATGAACACCGGAGCCGTTCGCCTTCAAGACTTGTTACGAAGCAAGTTGAGCGACCACGTCAACCCTATCGAGCCATTGCATTATTTGACGAAAGGTGCGGTTGGAACGCTACGTATGGCCTTGCCTTTGAAGTAACGGCACTAATCAATCTATATAGAGCTATCGTTTCCGTCAATCCCGGAAGAAACCGTTGCAGAGTTGGGACCTATATGTGCCGCAATCAATTCCGCAGCAACCCACAGCCCTCAACGTGGCGACGGTGGAAATGCTGCCCTTAATATATATGCTGACATCCGAGGACCATATATCTCTTCCAGCTTGCAAAATCTTGCCACTGCATCTCTGAATACCGTGAAAAGGAGGGCTAATGATGGCCCTTATAAACAAGGCACCAACGGTATTGGCATTTACTCGAATGCTTTGGAAAATTTCATATACATCGAACACGATATCATCTCACGAATCTTTACAGGAGACCAGCAGGGGATGGCTCTACAAGCAACATGCCAGTCGGCTTTAGCTGAATACTCGAAGACCCTGCGTGAGCTCAATCAGTATATCAGAGCCAATCTCATGACAGATTGCTTTTTGGCTTTCGAAATCATTGAGATTGTCACAGCAATGTCTTACCGTGTTGATTCAAAGACAGGGGAGCTCAAGAGCATGTTCATAGAAGCTCTAAGGCCTGTTCGTGAAACCGCAAAGTCCTCCCTCTCGGAATTGCTGGAAGAGACAAAACGGAAAGCTGCATCCATCCAAGTGCTTCCACCGGATGGGGGGTCTGTGCCTCTTGTCAACGAGGTCATGAGCTCTTTGGTCACGTTGACTGGATATTCTGGACCATTGGCATCTATCCTAACCTCCTTAGGAGACGGCAACTGGCGCTCTGCTTCAAATGCGTCGGGTTCTGCTCCTTTGGATGTCAACCCAGATAGTTCCACACTTCTATCGCACTTTATTCTCGATATGATTGAGGCCCTTATGATAGCGCTGGAGTCTCGGGGCCGGGCATTCCATCGCACCAAAGCTGTCCAGGGCGTCTTCCTATCGAATGTCTTTTGCAATGTCGACCGCTCTATCCGGTCGAGCGCCGAGCTAGCACGGTACCTAGGCTCTCCCGACAGCATCGCACGGGTAGACACCTTTCGCAAACGCGCCACCTCGACCTATCTGGACGCTTGGAAGGAAACTTCACAGTATCTACTCGATGTACAGTATACATCTCGGGGTGCTGGGGGGTCGACTCGTCCCGCATCTGGGGGTGTTGTTGATTCTAGCGCCATAGTCAAATCTCTTTCATCGAAAGATAAGGACGCCATCAAAGATAAGTTCAAGGCGTTCAATACAAGCTTCGATGAACTGGTTTCTCGTCACAAGGGTCTGTATATGGAGCGAGAAGTGCGAAATGTCCTGACGCGCGAGGTGCAAGCTGTGCTTGAGCCTTTATATGCACGATTCTGGGACCGCTACCATGAAATTGATAAGGGCAGAGGCAAGTACGTCAAGTATGACAAGGGAAGCCTTTCTGCACAGCTCGCTGCATCGGGATAAGTCTGCATGGGTTCAGTCCCATATTTTACTAGTTAGCATTTTTTGACGGGTGTGATTGTTTCGAATGCACAGCGCTCAATTTCCGGACGCTGTGATTATCATATATGATCTATTACTATTTTATAATGTTATACCTTAATCCTTACCCATATCTATCATGTGATGATAGCCCCTCCGGATTTAACTCATAACGTGACTGATAAGCGGAGCCCCGCTAAGTCTGGGCCACCGCAAGCAAAATTTCCGTTGATCACGCACACACTCCCTCCCCCTCGATATCTTTTTCCCTCTCTTCTTGCCTCTCAATTCCTTGTGGAAGTGCTTCAATTCATTTCTAGCAAGATGTCTTCAAGTAACGATGTTTACCAGACCCCTCTCAACTCGCGTTATGCGAGTAAGTGCCCCGCAATATGCTCCAATGCCCGCGGTTTGTACTAATACTGCGGGGTTTGTAGGCAATGAGATGAAGTATCTCTTCTCCCCGAGAAATCGGTTCTCTACATGGAGGCAACTATGGCTGTGGCTTGCGGAGTCTGAGAAAGGTATATATTGTTTGCATAGCTTAGTCACCAGAGAACGCCTCGTGACTAACGGCCACAGAACTCGGCCTCTCTATCTCCGACGAGGCCATTGAGCAGATGAAGGCCCACCTTACCATCCAAGATGAGGAGTTCATGGTTGCTGCTGAGGAGGAGAAGCGCCGTCGACACGATGTCATGGCCCACGTTCATGCTTTTGGCCAGGTCGCACCCGCCGCCGCCGGTATCATCCACTGGGGTGCCACCTCGTGCTACTGCACGGACAATGCGGATCTTATCTTCCTCCGCGATGGTCTCGATATCCTCATTCCCAAGCTTGCCGTCGTGATTGACAAGCTGTCTCAGTTCGCTCAGCAGTACAAGGACTTGCCTTGTCTCGGTTTCACCCACGGCCAGCCCGCCCAGCTTGTTACTGTCGGAAAGAGAGCTTGCCTCTGGATTCAGGACTTGCTAATGGATCTGAGGAACTTGGAAAGGGCACGCGATGACCTGCGCTTCCGTGGAGTCAAGGGCACCACCGGTACTCAGGCTTCTTTCCTCCAGATCTTCGACGGAGACCACTCTAAGGTCGAGCAACTGGACGAGCTTGTCACCAAGAAGGCCGGTTTCGACTCTGCATTCATCATTTCCAGTCAGACCTACTCGCGAAAGATCGACGTTGATGTCGGCAATGCACTGGGATCCTTCGGATCCACCTGTGAGCGCATTGGCATTGATATCCGCCATTTGGCTATGCTTAAGGAGGTTGAGGAGCCTTTCGAGAAGGACCAGATTGGCAGCAGCGCGATGGTTAGTAATTATACATAGTTACAGAGAGCGCTTCTTTTTATCTGACCGGATCCGGGATCACACAGGCTTACAAGCGTAACCCCATGCGGTCTGAGCGTTTGTGCTCGCTCGGAAGACACCTTCAGAACCTCCCCAAGGATGCGTTGGACACCTACTCCGCGCAGTGGTTTGAGCGTTCTCTGGTAGGGATCGATATTGAACTTTTTTCTTCCGAGATATATTAACAACCACAGGATGACAGTGCCATTCGTCGTATCAGCATTCCTGAGCTCTATCTCTCTGCTGACGCCTGTCTCATTCTCCTGAGTAAGTATACGCCAAAGTCGCCTCTACACAGTTGACTAACTCCCTGGAAGACAACGTTACTTCCGGTTTTGTTGTTTACCCCGAAGTCATCAAGCGCCGTGTAAACGACGAGCTCCCCTTCATGGCCACGTAAGCTCCCCTTCAACTCATCAAAAATAAAATCACCCACTAACTAGATGGCTAGTGAGAACGTAAGCTATTCCCGCGATAACACGATTTTAACGGATAAACATATTAATGAACCCAGATCATCATGGCCTGCGTGAAGAAGGGACTTTCCCGCCAGGACGCCCACGAGGAGATCCGTAAGAAACCCCTCATGAACGAAAACATAATATATACCCCTTCTCATGTCTAACTACTCCATCACAGGCGTTCTCTCCCACCAAGCAGCAGACAACGTCAAGAAGCAGGGCAAAGACAACGACCTTCTCGACCGTATTCGCCGCACCGCATTCTTCAACCCCATCCTGCCCGAACTTGACGCCCTCCTCGACCCCAGCACCTTCGTCGGCCGTGCTCCCCAGCAAGTCGAGAAGTTCACCTCCACTGAGGTTAAGAAGGTCCTCGAACCATATGCATCCTACATCGCCAAGGCCGAGACCTCTGCGCTAAGCGTTTAAAGTTGCATATTATGCAAACGCACATACACATACATACATAGCTTTTCCTCAAAGTGCAGGCCAGACTCGAAAGGGGGGAAGGATAAGTTACCTGTATTCGGTATACATCCCCTTCCTAAGGAATGTGAAAAGGCATGAATGGATAGGAACTCTCTATCTCATGGATCACCCGAAAACATAAAGAGTCAATTTCACGTTGCGCAAAAGTTTTCTTTTTCCCTAAAAAGGAACTCCAATTATGTATATAGTAATTGATGACTGAGACGTTTCTTGTGCTCTTCTCTCTCCTTCTCTCCTTCTGTTATGGCGGACTATCACCTACTCTACCTAGGTTTCTATCTATAGTACTTGTAATATAATATAATACCGTATCTCTTTAACTCTGCTTAGTTCAAAAAATTTGCATTTACACTAAACTCACTACTGTTTGTGTTAGATTAGGGCTATCACCAAACGGTCATCGTCCCTGTACAGAAGTACCTTCGATCCACCAACTAATAGTAAGACCGTAAGACACAGCAGGTTCCACTATTCGTGTTAACTCCAGAGTAAAACATATCACACAGTCCGTTCACACCATGACCCCGCCGTCCCACTCTAATAATGAGGGGTACCTGTGAGGTCAGACAAAAAAATAATAATAAATAAAAACAAAAGATACATGTGGATTGTATTACAAGTACAAATATATTAAGGAATACCATTTCAAACGTGTAAGATACAAATTAGTAATATACACATCAGCGAGAGGGAAAATCAGAAACGGAAATCGCACAATGATTGGTATCTTAAAAATGGACTGGGATGCTTCAAATATGAGAGTGTGGGTCCAGCTCCTGCTCTTCTAGATCGCTCCTTCTTTTTGAACTTTTGAACGTACTATACAGGATGTTGGGAATCAAAAGAGAAAAGTAGCACTGCAATGCAACAAAAGCATGCAGAAATGGAAAAAAAAATTTGTCGTTCAATGCGTCAATCTCGTGTAAGATAAGTCTATGTAGGCTGTGAAGAATAACTCAGCAAATTTTTCATGAGTAAGAGAAGGAGAAAAAAAAGGAAACAAAGAAAGAAAGGAGGAAGAATTTTCGCATTTATTGCAACAATGAAAGAAAAAGCCATTGCATACCTCACCACATCCTACCCAAAACATAGTCAACCCTAACGGTCATGTATCTTAAGCATGCCATCTAGTATGCGGTATTACATCCATGCTGCTATGACCCAGCTTTGAATTGTCCCGCGGCCTAGAGCATTGATAACCAGTTGATAACCTAAGAAGAGCCACTGTGTTAAGACAGGCATTTGATTTTGTAAAAGATAGAGAACTCACCATCATCGCCTGGATCAATGCCACCTTCTCACCATCGTGCATACCATCCCGGCTATCTGCTTGCAAAGTCGCGTTGTACATCCCCAAGGCTTCCATACCTCTAGCTCGCGCGGCTTCAGATGTGTCCAACGCGTACTGCCAACTACTCGCGTGAACGTTGTTTTCAGAGGGTTTCTGGTGGCCTGGAGCTGTTGGGCCTATCCAGAGGAAAGGCGTATCATGCTTGCTAGATTTGGCCAGTGCTAGCCATTCATCCATGCTATTTCCGGCAATCGTCAGTGAGTAGGAGGTCGAAAGGGAGAGACTCTGGATCACCGGAACAGGTTTTCCCCGGCCACTCCCTCGGCTGATGAGACGTCGGAATCTTTCATGGGCACTCTTCAAGGCAGGTGAGCTCGTTGCCGTCACGAAAGCGTGGGAAGTAGCTACATAACAGACCTTATTAGTACTTCGGACCTAAAGAGGTCAGGAGATCATCAAAGGGTAGTATGCTCACAGACTGAACAGGCATTTGGACCTGCGGGTGCTTTTCTGCCGTTCTGCTTCTCTACCTGGTCGCTAGAGGTAACCCTCAACGGCAGGCAAGAGGCGCTGGTAAACTGTGAGCCGCATCTGCATTTTTCAAGTTGCTCATTAGTCAATTCGGACTCTCTCATGGCACCAGTCGCCAGATTCCCTCGAAGAAGGATATTGAACCCTGCGTATACATCGGCGAGAGTTTCGTCGCCAACGAAAACAAGTGCGTCGAACTTTTGCAGGATGTCACAAATTTCAGAGTTGGTATACCAGCGATAGAAGCAACCTTGATGACCAGCGTCAGTCAACACCTTTAAAATAACGAAGAGGGAACAAGGAGCGAGAACTGATGAGACTTGGGGCTTCTCAGGGGCATCAACAGGTCACAGTCAACATCTCACTCACCTTTAGAAGTATACGCCTCGTCAAAACCATGTCGGCCGCCGTTACTCATCGCCGTTAGCAAGGAATCACGGGTTTGACAGTACGAATGGCTTGATACCCCCTGATCACCGATTTTAGGGGGCTCATAGAGAGCAAAGGACGATATACCACACTCCTGGTGTCCAACATACTGCTCCAGGAAACTGCTGGCAAGATGTGTCAGTTTGATTCTACATTCACGTCACGGTCCCCACAACTCCAGGGGCGTCGAACTCACTCCTGAGAGGCACTGGTGGTGATCGCTTCGGGTTGCGTACGGGTGAAGGGAAGATAGAAGATATCCCGGATGAGCCAGACGATGTAGAAGACACCCAGGACCCAAAGTGACGCCATCAGCTTGTAAGTCGAAGAGCGCCAGGTAACTCTGCGAACCAGCCTGCGTCCGTTGGGGCCTTCAATCGGACCGCGGCGCTGTGGCCGATTACTCTGCTGCATTGTGGTAAAGGAATATGCAAAGGCTTCGTTCGCCGACGACGAGGCTATTGGTTCACTATGAGAAGCACGGCGACGAGACATAGCTGGCATGTTTACATGCACCTGAGGTCGGGGGTAAAGGAGTAGTAGGGGGGGGTGGACAGTGCGGAAGTATGAGTGAGAAGGATGGTGTAGTCTTTAGAAGTGATGCATCTGTTCAGGAGTAGGTCTTTCTTAGTGGCAAAAAAGAATTAGGAATACAAGAGAGAAGGAAAAGGGGAACAAGAGGGAGTAGTTTAGCGTCAGAGAGGAGGAGGGGTGTAATTGTTGTAGTGAATAGTTAGTTGTGAAAGGAAGTTGCTGAGAGAGGGGCACTTTCAATAAGGAAGTCGTGCGTTCAGCTTCCTCTGCTATTTCCCAATTGGGAATTTTCGTGGTCTTCAAATTTATCCTTTTTTTTTCTTTGCGCTCCTTCAACACCTCTCCTTTCTCCGGCTTCTCCAAAATTGGTGTATTTGAATAATTTTGGTTCTTGTTCCTCGATTGTTAAGTCCACCTTTTTAAATCATCGCTTTTTTTTTTCTTTTCCAACGATCCTGGAAGATGAAGAAACCGTTGATTATGATTCCCCCAGCCACGCCACGACAATACAAGACGATACCAAAATCCACTACCAGGGAAAGAAAAAAAAAAGAAGGAAAGAGAAGAAAAAAAGAAAGAGGGTAAAAAAAAAAAAGGAAAAGAAAAAAGAGAAGAGACAAAAAAGGCCAGAGGGATAGTGAGAGGGGCGGTTCAGTAAGTGAGGGCCAGTAACGGGTAGAAAAAGGGCATACAACCAGCATGAGGGCGAAAAAGGTAATCTCCATGGAGTTGTTGCGGATCCTCTCTCTTTTTGCCTCATTCCCTCAGTCCAATATGATTATTATTTTTAATTTTATTTTTCATTTTTTTTTGTGTAGTAGTATTATCCTAGGCCATCGGCTGGTCCTCTAATATTTAATTAAAGACTACTGCACTACCTTCGAGAAAAACAACAGCGGAATTAAAATTCGACCTGGAAGAAACAGAAATTTTGAAAAGTGAAATATGAATTCTTTTTGTGTGTCTATTATGTTGGAGAAGCCAAGAATAAGAAGCAAAAAAAAGAATTTCTAGAATTTCACACAACAAAAAGTTTGGGGTTACCAGTAGTTTTGCATCATCATTGATTCATTCATTCAATCATTCGGCCGATTTTTTTTGGAAAACAATTTAATCCACACGACAGGGTACATCTGTACTAATACAAAGAAAGGAAAAAGAAAACATCGACTCGGAAGTATTGGTTCAGCCAACTGTCGTGCGGATCACAGTCTTTTAGTGGGCCATTGACATGACAAGTTGGATGATCTATATCTTTAGTACTTCCGTAACCCTTTTTTTCTGTTTCCGGCATGCTTTAAGCCAAGCCACATGAGAAGGGAAAAACAAAAAAAAAAAGAGAGGACAAACTGCAAGTCTTTTCAACATCCAATTCTAGTGATTGAACAGTGCTGCCCTAAGCGGGTTGCCGGCGGTGATCGTCGTGGAAATACTTCCAGCGACTGTTCTTGACAGGCGCCCGCTAAGACCAACTAGGGCTGGCTTTCCACCTCATTCTCCACACCCTCAAATTACAGTTACAGTGTGCTTAACAGCGTTGCCTTCCTATTGGCTGTCTCTTCTTGTAGGGACTCCATTTCATGAAAGAACAACTTGAACCTCCAGTTCCGACTGACAGGTCGGAATGCAGAATCTGACGCTGTTTTGCGCAAAACTTCCCACCCAATGGGCCGTCACGTGAGCAATCGTTCGTCAGCTCCCCCAGGTCCAGAGTCGCTGCATCGAAGGCAGAATAGAAACCATCTAGATCATGAAAGCGGTGTGAGCCACGATCTGTGAGCCATGATGCTATCGTGGTTAACATCTCACGAAACAGCAGACAAGGCTACGAATAAGATCCCTCCCCCAGCACCCGTCCAATTTTTCGGTGTGATGACATTACTACTGCCAGGACAGGACAATGCCACCAGGTGGCAATCCCCATCGACTCGGCTTTTGGATGAATAGACTCACTATTGCTACCCTCAAACTATATTGGTCGCTTTATCAGTACTAGCTCTCCTCAAATAGAACCGGTCAACGTAATTTGGCGTAATGTAAGCTGGTCCCTGAGAGAGCAATGCCTCCAATATACTATTGACACACTATCCTTTCTTCAATCGTCATTTCCAAATATAGAAGTATCAATTTTCCTTTTTTTTTTTTTTTTTTTAGATTGTTCTCCTACCTCGCAGCGTGAAGTTCCCAATCGAGTGAGTTGTTGTTCAAGGTACGAAACGTTTACTTCATGGGAAGATATTTGTACCAGTCACAGTATAGACAGTATAGACTAGGTTACTGAAGATATAGTCGACAAGAGACACCATGGCGTTGGGCTTCTAGAAGCTAGGCCCCTATAGCATGGTTTCGTCTACCCCGTATTTGTAAAGGCAGTCGATGACGATCGCTCGAATTTATTTTTATTTTTTTTATAGTTATATATGTATCAACTCTCTTCGAACCACCATTAAAGATTAGGTTTTAATCTCACCGTGGTTGTGTCACGGGACATGCAGGTGACAAAGAGTCAGTCAGTGCCATTAGTACGATCGACTTGTCTCACTACGGACTCTCTCCCGAAAGGCAGATCTGTCAATGCCATTCATTGGGTCTTTCGAACCCAAACGGCAATTTCTTGGCTTGTCACACCCTAAGAAATTTGAGTATAAGCTGAAAGCATATTGTGTTCCATGCGGAAAGAATGAGGATCCGTTCGTAACTATTTACCACCCTCTCTAGAATCCTTGAAAGTAAAAGCCCCCTCCCTCCAGAGGACAAGGCATTTGTCTCTAGAACACATATCCAACAAACATGTGACAATCACTCTAGACACAACCACCAATCCGGGAGCTTTGATACAACCTGATCTGGGTTCTTTGCGACCCGCGGATAGGAGAAACCCTAAAAACTCATCCCGCTGACGAAGACTTGTCTCAAGAGGGTCAGGATTCAATTCTATGATTTCCTTTCGTATTTCCGGGGAAAGATCCAGACTGGTCGGAGCACTTGGGAGTAGAAGTCGAATGATTTTCGGGCGAAGGGGAAAAACTCGGGACCAATTTTCACATTCTCATCGGCAATACTAGTTGGGCGATAAGCATCAGACAGTCCGATCTGGGGTTGAGTAACCCAAAAAAAGATTGGGGAAACACTATTATCCCGGTTACTCGGTTTCAAGCCCAGTTTAAGGCGCCCAAAACAAGGGAATTCATTTTTTGTACTGGTGAAAGAAGTAGAAAAGGGCCATTGTATTTTTGGCGGTGCTTTGAGGGTTGATGGCCTGAGGATCGGACGATATTGGTTGTCCCTCGGCCATGCACGGGAGCCCCCCACACGTGACCCCCCCCCCCCGGGAAAGACAGTCTCCGCAACAGCCAAAAGAGTCATTCATCAGCTCCTCCACTTTTTCTTCGTCTACGCTTCATTTACGCCGGGTCCTTGAGAGAATATATATCCGGGGAAATCGAAGCTCATTCCCATATGGATTGCTGAAATTTTGTTCAATCCACTTTCTACATCCTACATCTTTCTCTTTGCCGCTTGTTATCGGTCCCCTCTGCGCCTACTCCACCTGCTCCCGAGTCGTCTGTACTCCGCCATCCGTGAGCGGAGGACTCTACCTCGGTAGTAGTCATCCTGACTTCAAACGCCTCCTATCTTACAGCTTCTAGCGCCCAGCATTGTCAGCTTCACACTATACTATCCACCAAACTTATCTTTGCTACGTAATAAGGAGATTATAGAAGTTACTTTCTCGGGCCGTCTGGCCTGATTAGCTCCAAACACCATGTGGAAGCCGTCGGAGAGGCTGATGGAGACCATCAGACATTATGCCAGCTTCCCCGCCACTGGTGTCTCCCTTCGGCAGATGGTCCAATTTGGAGACAGACCTTCGACTGGTGTGTCCATCCTTCCCCGTTTGGAATCTATTGATCTCATAACAACGACTGGTGGGCATGCGCTGATCTCACGATCGTGATTTAAAGTAGGAACTCTGTTTCGCGCCTCGCAATTCCTTTCCGAGGAGCTCCCTATTCGTCTCGCACACCGTGTCCAAGATCTTGGAGAGCTCCCCGATGGACTTAGTGAAATGCCCTCTATCAAGAAGGTCCAGGACTGGTACGCACAATCGTTCGAGGTATGACTCACCACCAACTTCGTTCCCTAGCCAAGACTGCCCCGATCCTAGACAAGCCCCCTCGTTGTTCTTCATATCTAATATCAAATAAAGGAAATCATCAATCTGCCTCGACCGACTCTCACGCAAGAAGTGAAATCCCGGCTGCTACGTCCAGGGAGGATCAACGGTGGTGCTTCAAAAATTCTCTCTGAAACCACACAGAACCCAAGTATCAGGGAAGGGCAATATAGATCCTCTCCCTCCTCGGCATCAAATCACAATGGTAATGGAAAAGCTGCAGCTGCGGCGGCTCGAAGATATTTTGTCCCTTCCGATGAGCAGGGAAATTGGCCACCGGAGTTGAATGACTACAACGAGCGCTTCGCAAAGACCCTCCAGCAGATCAAACGGCGACATGATAGTGTTGTAACCACAGTGGCTCAAGGCATCCTAGAATGGAAGCGGAAACGTCAAAGGTTACAGATTGACTCGACTGTGCAGTCCTTCCTCGATCGGTTTTACATGTCTCGGATTGGTATACGTATGTTAATTGGCCAGCATATAGCTCTCACGGAGCAAACGCACGTTCGCCATCCAAACTACGTTGGTATTATCTGTACGAAGACAAACGTTCGAGAGGTCGCCCTAGAAGCTATTGATAACGCCCGTTTTGTATGCGAGGATTATTATGGTCTTTTTGAAGCTCCGAAGGTCCAGCTTGTCTGTAAAGATGACCTGAACTTTATGTACGTCCCGGGTCACTTATCTCACATGCTCTTCGAAACCTTGAAAAACTCCCTGCGTGCGGTGGTGGAGACCCATGGAGCAGACAAGGAAGCTTTTCCGGTCACTAAGGTCATAATTGCCGAAGGCAAGGAAGATATTACTATCAAAGTGTCTGATGAGGGCGGTGGCATTCCTCGTTCTGCGATCCCCCTGGTTTGGACATACATGTACACTACGGTGGAGCAAACTCCCAATTTGGATCCTGATTTTGACAAAAGCGACTTCAAAGCCCCTATGGCCGGCTTCGGTTACGGGTTGCCTATCAGTCGTCTGTATGCTCGGTACTTTGGTGGGGACTTGAAGTTAATCAGCATGGAAGGGTAAGTAATTTTCCACTTTTTTCTTTTGCCAGTGTTTGCGCTTTTTTCCCGCAAAGTCTGACTTCCTTAGATATGGCACGGATGTTTACCTTCATCTGAATCGACTATCCTCGAGCTCGGAACCCCTGCAATGACAATTACCAGTCATGAGGGATGGTCGTGTCCGGTTCTCTACTTCCCATAGACTTCATCCTTTCTATTCAGAGCCGGATCCACCACTGTCCCAAGGATTGACGCTGATGAACATTCAAGCCGTACGAGCACGTATGCAAAACAGGGAAGTTTCTGAGCGTAAGCAAGTTGGCGATGTCGAGAGCCGGCTCAACGCTGAAAAGCCTGGGAACTAAGGCGATCGCTTGCTAATAAACATGTTGGGGGTGCAGATGCTCCCACCCGAATGCACACTTGTGGCCAAATGGCCGCTGACGGGGAGCTGTATCGATGAGTCGGGCACGTCGAGTGTTGAAACCACCGACTACTACTCGTTGCTTTGTCACACATGTGTAGACAAAAGCGTGTTCTTTGTTTCAAGTAAATTTGACCAATCCTGCCTGAATTCAGGTACATTTGATGGCCGTTGAAGTCTATTCATGATAAAATAAAGGCAGAGATGGTATGGTCTATGATACCCTTGGGTACGATTCTGGAAGCAAATCGGATAGGTGGCTCTGGTGATCTACACTTGTATAGAGAGTAGAACCTACATTTTTCTTTTTCCCTTTTCTTTTGGTTTTTCTTTTCCCGCTCATTTCCTTGAGTTTAGCTATGTTGTTGTCTGTCTTTTTTGTATAGTAGATTATGGGACGATCAGGATATCTTACGGATGGGACGGCCTTAGGGATATATACATGAGCCCATTGTGAATATTCATTTCTTTCAATCATCCATACAAAATAAATGCATAAATCTAGGAAACAATGTCCATCGATAACTTAGAGAAGAAAGAGAAAGAGAGAACAAAGAGAACAAAGATCAAGACGACGAAACCCCAAACTCATCCTCCCTCTCAGCCCCACTCCATCTTCTTCTCCTCTCCCTCTCTCTCAAATGCTGGCCCCGACCCGCCGAGCCAGATCCAGATCCAGATCCAGCGGCCGCCTTCCCCTTACCTCTCGCCCGATCTGGCGTCGACAACCGCCCCTTATTCTTCGACGAAGAAGCAGGCGATGAGAACGCAGACGCGGATCCTCCAGCGTCGGTGGGCCGCCTCCAACCATCATCATCCGTTTCGTGAACGTCAACAACACTCCGATGAACAACTAAGGCCGAATTACTCGATGGAGATGGAGAGGACTGGTTCTGGACGATAAAAATGTCCGAGCGGATAGAGGCCGCTACCTCGGGGTCTTCGGGCGCAATAAGTTTGGACAAGAAGCGGCGACGGGCTTGGGGAAGAGTCTACTTTTGCCATCAGAATTTATTTGAACAGGGAAGGACATGGGTGTAGGGCGAGAACCCCAGCGCTGATGGCGATGGTTGAACTGAGCGAATGAGGGTACGATGAATGAATGAACGGAATGGAATGGAATGGAATGAGGAGCACTTACCTCCTGCGCGGCCAATGCTTGCACGGTGAGAAGTTCCCGGTCCATCAGGACACAAAGCGCAGCGTGTCTTTCTTCGCGGAGACGGCTGCGCACTTTCTTTTCTTGTTCGATGGTTGTGTGGTAGTTTGAGAGGCCGCGCATGCGGTTCATCTCTGGGTCGTATCCTGTTGGTGTCAGCTGCTTGTGTTCTTCAATACTAGATGTTGATGTGTCGGGACGGGCTTTAGGAGATGGTGACGAGGATGCTGCGTAAGAGGTTAAGTCAGTAGATGAGGGACATACCGAGACCGATCCCGGGTGGATGAGTTTGCCGTCCGGAATAATCGACGTTCATGTCGTCGTCTTCACTTTCGTCGTCGATCACAATCGGATTGCGGCTGTGAGGACCTGGAGCTGGGACGTTGCGGTTGTACATGTTGACGATCAATGTGAAGTAAAGGGGGTTCTCTATTCTGGCACGGTTGAGAGCGAGTAGTGCAACGTCGACGGACGCAATATTGGACAGTAAATCCGAGTGGGGCGTACGCCAATGGAAGAATGCCCCAGATATAATTTTCACAAGGAAATGACCCAGTTGCGATCACTAGGGACAATAAGCAAAATAGGAGCTGTCCGAGACAAGTACTCATGCAATGCGGAGGCTGGCTTCGACTGTACGCCTTGTTTAGTTTGAGCTACAGACGAGTTACGCGCTACTCACGGTATACAATTGGCGAGTTGGAGACTGTGTTCTAGCCGTGAACCTGAAGTGGGGGGAAATTCGATCGTTTATGGGAGAATAAAAAGAAAGAAAGCAAGAGAGCAACCCTGTCCAGCAGGGGAGTCGAGGTAATGTCAGGCTGATCGTCAAAATAGGGAAGAGGAAGTAGTTTGAGCCTTGATAGAGCACAACTGATAAGATGGAGGTGCACATGTGATGCCCAGGTGGCTTAGTCATAACCAATCAACATGGTCTATAAATTGTACAGATCTGAATTCAATATTATGCCTCTATATTCATAACCAATGCGAGATGAGGGCTACCCTCAACATAAATATCGTTCTCAAATGCGAAGCGCCTCCTTGCGCCTCGAACCTTCATACATATCACACCCTCGTTTCGTTGGAAAGAAGACGGTCCATGATTCGTCGGACAGCGTGTTCTATCATAAAATATGATAAGCGCAATGAGTGGAGCGCTTGGAAGAAGTTCTGCGGGAGAAAAGAGCGAACAAAAAAGGGGAAATGAGAAAGGTATACAGGAGAAATATGACAGAGCAACAAATGCGCATGTAAATGCCAGCATAACAAACAGAGTGAAGAAAGACAACATGGAAAAGAAGCCCAGCATACAACCATCGGACAGAGCTGGATGCGTACGCAGATGCGACTAGTCCTAGGTCGGCCAGCTCTTAACAGAATGAAAATCATGATAACCACCGAACGCCAAAGCACAATGCCGCTAAAACGACTCGTGAGGACCCAAAGACGCCGTTTAGCAAAGAGGGATATAAGTGAGCGAAGTAGTATCAATCGCAACCGCAGTGATGATACAGGGATGGTACACAAGGGGCTCGCAGTGTAACCAGAGGTCTCGAAAAGGTATCGGACGGAAGACTCGGAGAGAGATGCAATAGCTGGGAGAGCGAAACTGGTGCGACACTCAACATTCATTCATGAATGTGTTTTTCGGCCAATCATATCCAGCATCAGTCCTTCCAATCGTCAGTTAATATCATCCTTTTTTTTTGGAACACTGGTCGGCTTACCATGTAGTTTTGTTGAAATTATTGTACGCCTTAGGGTGTTTCGCGATGTACTCCGTTGTTTCATACCCTGGTGGGTCACAGGTAAGGCTCCTGTTGTCTGGATCCTGATAAATGCGGAGATAATCAATGCGCATGTATCCGGGCAAGAATTTCTTGATAATGTCATCGACTGGAGCGAAACTGTATGCCATACCCAAATTCATAATGATAGACAATGGCTCCATAGGAATCATCCGCTGGCCAACGTTGCCGTTGGGCCCAAGGGCTCTGCCGTCGAGAGTCCACGTTTTGTCCTGGCCGACAAACCAGGTGATATTGCCCACAGCTCCTGGTGTGTACTCGAAGGCATAAACCTGGTACTCTGTGCCGTTGTACCAGTTATTGTTGAGGTTTGTGAGGCCAGACATTGCCTGCTGATATGGGCCACCTCGATAGGCGTTGACTTCCGTAATTGCCGGGTTGTACACAGCTGCGTAATCTGCCAAACCATTAACAAGGCCAAACTTTGGAAAGTCTATCCATTTTGGGCACGTACCGTAATCAGGCATATACCAGATATCGAATGGGGCCATCTGCAAACTTTGAGAAACCGACCCTACCATCTTTTCCGAATCACCGTTCAGAGCAGCAACACTGGCTTCAATCACATCGATTTCCGGAGCACTTCTAGATTTTCCAGGGCTAGGGTGCTCTGCACCATCGCAGGAACACGCAGGCAAGCGCATTCCGGGTAGCCAGCTCAGACCATCTGTGGAACTTTGGTTTGGCGTGATTCCCGCATCACAACCATCATAGTAGCTATACGGCCACATCCCCTCCGTAGTGGCAGCATATCCCGGTCGTCCTAGATTACCCATTGCCCAGAATCCTGGCCAGAACCCGGAGACTTCCCCATTTCCTGGTAAGGATATACTAGCTTCCAGACGACCACCAGTGAAGCATAATTTATTCCAACTCTGAAGCATGCCGGATCGATACTTCAATTCGTGATTTGGAAATGCATCAAACCGGAGCTCCAATACCCCGTCTTTTGTCGTAACCGCATCAGGGTCATACCACTATAAAGTGGGTCAGCTAGAGACAAACTTTCGAAAGTCATCGATGGTGGACAAACCTCAAGATCCTGAGTCACGCCGTACCAGATATCGACGGCCTGATAAAAAGGGTCGTCACCATCATAGAACGTCCGCCCGGGCTTATTGAACTCGTCAGAAAACTATAATAATCAGCGATCAGGACCCAAGAAGCTCGTCCAAGTATCCAAACTAACCACCAGCTCCCATTCCTTGCCATCGCTCGTCTTCTTCTTCTTTGCGGAGGCCGGCGTATCCGGGTCAATCAACCCGGTCCGTAAATTCGAAAGTATGGGGCGGTCTCCAACATCAAGACACAGCGTGTCCCCAGCTTCACAGACGGAGCCAGACTTTTCCAATCCCCGGACAGCGGTTCTAGCAATAGTTAGTCGTCAGACCCCAAAGATGACCGAAGAAGGGTATACGTCATACAAAACAGGGTAACCGATGAACAACATCAAGAGGCCAAGTATCATTAAGACCAAACCCCCGCCATTGATGATGCCTCGCCGATTCCAGATGTCACAGTCACGTTCTTTGTCCTCTGGACTAGGGTTGTGCAGATAATCGTCCTTTTCTACATCCTCCGGGAATAGGAGCAGGCCTTCCGACGGCATGATGTTGAACTTCTCCGTTACCGTTTGTGTATTCACATCGTTCTCATCAACCTCCCCCTGCGACAGAGATCTCATGTCCTCGTAGCGGGGATAGAAGTATCCTCTACTGTCGCCCCCAGCCTCCGAGCTCCAGCTGGTCCGCCTTGACGATTGCGCTGACATATCCGGTGATTGATATGGCTCATATGGTTCTCGGTGTCTCTGGGGTCGTGGCGGTAATAAGAACTCGGTCGACTCCTGAGGGGTTGGCGAACCAAGCCCGGTCTGCATGGTTTGGAATGTCCCTGTGGACGGTGAATTCGGCACGCCTGGCGTCAAGGCGCGTCCAATGGCTCCCTGGTTAGAGACCGGTGTAAAAGTCTCCTCTGAATCACTGAACGGATCATGTTGGCCAGAATTGAGTCGAATATGAGGCGTTTCTCGAGCCGATTGGCCGATGGGGTCGTCCGACATCTTGCAATGAGGTGCTATAGATTATGTGATGGGTGATCTATAGGCGTTGTTGTTGTCGTTGATCTTGTTGCCCACGCGAGTTATGCCAGGGGGACGGGAAACCAACAAAGATTCCCTTCTCAGAAAGTCGACAGTTTCGCACTGCTTCGTCGCCCTTGGTATCGACAATGTATCGCACTGACGTGATCCTTCAGTCCTCGTTATACAAGCGATTAAACAACTACAGTCAGAAATTCCATCCAGATGAGCAGCAGTGCTTTGATCGTGTTAAACAATAAATCGACACCGATTGTCGGTAATGAGTGACTCTGAGACAAGAGCGTAAATGAGCGACAAGGAACGCGCGCTATGGGTATCAAAAGACAAACAAGACTACGAACGAATGGACGGGACAATAGACCCGGATGCGCAATTGTCTCAGGCGGATCGGTACACGACGAATGAATCAACGGTAAAGATCAGAAAGCATAAGAGAGGGTATGTATGTGTTGTTGGAGTAAAAGACACGGCAAGGGCGACAGGTCGGATTGGCGTTGAGACTGGGAGAAGAGGGGAAAGGGAAGAGGGAGAGGAAGAGGAAGAGGTAAAAGGAAACAAAGAAAAAGCAAAAGCGGGCGAGATGGAATGAAGATCAGGATGCCACAAAGAACGACAGTCAAGGAAAAGGAGTGGATAGTTGTCAATGCCAATCCCTGTTTGGCTTGTTCCTACATAGCATGGCAAAGCTTTTTCGTTTTTTATTTATTTATTTTTTTGGTGAAATTATCCTTTTCTATTTATCCTTCCCTTCCCTCTTTGTCTACTACTATACCAGTTAATTACGCAGGCCACCATAATAATAATAATAATAATAATAATAATAATAGGCACCTGTTAAGGCTGTGCCAGAGAAGAGAATAACAAATAAGAATGAGGAGAGTAATCGGTGAACAGTAATGAAACCATCCAAACAAAGCAGGAATCGGCATGAGAGAAAGATACCACCGACGGTCCTGTTGTTATCAAAGAGCTAAGAATGCTTTTTAAATAGTCTCCCCCCGGGGATCATTGGCCACTAGGACCCCTGCAGGTGGGGATCATCGCCATTTTTTGTGGACGATTCGCAGCCTAGAATAATGATTAAGAAGGTGGCCCGGTGGCGTAACGCTGGAAAAAAAAAGTGAGAAAAAAGAAAAAGAGAAAAAAGAGGATAAAAACTTCGACTCCTGCAGGTACCTGTTCGTAGTATGGTTTTGGGGGCCTAGAACTTACTCCCCTGATTAGTTTTTTCTCTTCGATTTGGGGTTTGTTTTTCGATTTTGATTATTATTGCTTTTCCCTTTTCGCTCTAGAACCCCTGGAGTTCGGAATATTTTCATGGATTCCCCCCCCTCCAAACCGAAACATCCACCAAGCGAGTTTCAGGAATGCTCAAGAAGAATCCCGTTGCTACTTCGGACTGTCCCAGCAAGAAAGTGTTCCATGGAATCTAAGATCGTTGCAAAGTGGACCCGAAACAAACCCTAAGGCTCGGCAACTAAGCGTTATTCGATGATTTAGCGCCTTGTTGAAGCCTTTAGAGCAGGGTTCATCACTCGGGTGGGTTCCGTATTGGTATGGTAATGGTATCGAGAAAAGAAGCAGGCAGGTTCCATGAACAATGAACCTGGGCCTCTTTTAGTTACCTAGTGCTACATACATATCTCATTGATCAAATGAACTCTACAGCTGATAATACTATATTTCATCTTGTCTGGAAGGATAATCGCAAAGATTCCCACGCCCAGAGCTCCCCTGAATTTTCTTTCCCCTCCAGAAGAACCTGCCCCTAGGCTCCAACTCATATCTATCCGCTGATCTTTTGGGAACCATTGAAAATTAAGTAAAGAAAATCCTGGAAAAAAAAATACCACCTCCGATGACTGCCTCACACGGGAAAATAGGCGAAGCTCCTGCCTATACATATCGTTCCCGAACACGCGTCCTTGCCGTTAGCCTTGGGGGCTCTGATAGATCAGATCTACGATAACGACAGAGCACGAAGCTATCGTCATCGCAACAGCAAGGCTGTGTACAAGGCAAAGAGAGAAGGTAGTGAGGCTGAATAGGAGACTCATCTCATATTTTATGGGGTACATAGCCGGTTTGACTTGGTAGAGGAATCTTGAAACCCTGTGTTTACCCTTTCCCCTCATTCCGCCAGACAAAGGCACCCCATACCAACATTCCGCGATCCCAGATGGTCTTCTAACACCCCGCTGGGACCCTCAAAATTAACCGGAACATGAAATTCCCAAATCCTCCTTCCTTGGTACCGTTGATGGACTTGAAGAACCCTCCTACCTGTAAGGTACTGTAGCGATCGCTCATCCTTTCATGATCATCAGCAGATCACCCGAGATGCGTTCGATGTCAGTTACATCATATAGTGTACATCTTTGACAAGAGTCTGTCATATAATCACCTGTGAGCTGCAAATAAGCTATACGCCCGTATCAGCTTCCATGATCATTGATGTCCCGAACTCTTCGTGCAACGGCCGAGATGCGTCCATCCCAAGGAACCCATCCGATCCAATCACCTTCCCCAACCATTCGGGCATCGAAATCCTTTCCAGTAATGATTCGCCTTGATGACGGATCAACAAGGCTTGGCCTTTTGATGTATGTATATATATCTACATACAAAAACATCACCAGTTTCCCCCGCTTCCCCTCTTGTATATATACATGCATACATGGTTATGAGAGGTACCGATGCAATACCTTAGCGCCAACCGTTTACCCTGGTAATGTATTCGGACAACCCTAATTTACTTAGTCCAGCAGGGACGCGTGTTAAACCCATCCATCCCGAGACATGCCCCATTCAATGGGCTTTTTGATAGCCGGACAAAAATAACAGCATTTTCCCGGTGGGGCCATTCATTGTTGAATTCCTTCACCAACTGAGACATGTTGCGTTAGTATCTCGTGGGGGAATAAAAATTGTAATTCACTATGCAATTGTACTACAGTCAAGAAGGAAGGTGAAAATTAATTGGAAACTCAACCCAAAAAAGAAAGAAAAAAAAGAAAAATATGGATCAAATCAGATGATAGAATGATTCCTTTCCCTCTTCAGACCGCCCCTTGCTCATTAGCATCCTCTTATTTTATTTGGTTTATTTTAAAATTTTTTTAAAAAAAAAATTATTTTACTTCTGGGCTTTTTCCTCTTTCCCATCAATTTCGGACTCTTTGTGCGACACAAACACGGACAGAATTTAGATGCCTAGATGTCTTATCTTATGCAATACATACAATCCCTTATTCCTCTCGAAACAAATATATGTATAACTTATAACAAAAATTCCTGCGCAAACCAACACTTAGTACATTATAATTATAATACATACCCTGAACTCCACACTGGGGTACAGACATAGGTATGCGATGTCCGCTGGACTCCCTTTTTCAGGGTTCCTCAACACTCTCCAAACCACAGTTCATCCCATACTCGACCTGTGGTTGCATGCATGTCACCCACCTGCGTCAAACACAAAGCTGCAGGACTTATAGGACCACATTGCGTAGTCAGATGATATCAACCTGCATACAGTAAGTAATTGGTGTATGTACCTTCTAGGGTGTTACAATCTGTATCTACCTCTACTTCTTGTTCTTTTTCTTTACGTTTTGGTGGGGCCTCATGAATCCTCTGCTTTATATTTATTTTTTTTAACGTTCTGAGACATTGGTACTGTTTGGACCACGAGGCTATCTTGACTGTTTAGGTGGCTTTGAACACAGTATCCTTGAGGTATTTATTCTTTGATTAGTGGATATATTTATAATGGAATGATCATACAGAAAGAAAGATATTTTCGTCAGTTTGTGGATCGCTATTTCTCCCATGTCCTCTAGCTCAGTTACGCAAACTGGATAGCTTTATATATATACCAACGAACGAACGTGAGTGTCTACTCATAAGCTAAAACAGAGTAGAGTAGATAGTTACTTGCTCATAGCACCCTATCTACCAAGTATAACATCGCCTCGCTATCCCCGTCTAACTTTGAAGAGGTAGATAGGATATAGGTTCCTCCCGAATGCCTGAAATATTGGGAGTTTGACTTTTGCTACAGCAAGAGCATCCAAATAAGTAACCATACAGTTTGATTCACACCCATAAGTCCAAACCACACCAGTTCCCTTATTACACGCATAAATATCCCATTATCCCAGTGAAAGAGCTTAGCGAAGAAAATAAATATTAAACAAGCCTCAAAGAAAAAGAGAAAAGCATCGCCCTCACCACCAAAATAACACCATTAAGTCTCAACAGCCTTCGCCCTCAACCCCACAAGCAACGAATTCTCAGCATCCACCGCAAGAATCCAATACTCGACCCTCGACGACCCAACCCCAACCCGATACACCTTCACATCCACAGCAGACTCATCACCCCCGGAGGCCTCCGACGCCGCAGCGCGAACAGCCCGCATTGCAGACGGGTACTGGTTCCTCGGGTCAAAGTGCGACGGCGACAAGCTCGTAATCGACTCAGAGAGATCGGCATTCGGCGAGATAAGGCTCGACAGATGTGCTGCGTGGTAGGAGATTGTTAGCATAAGCTCTTTTTTGAAAAGGTAAAGATTGTCCTGGTGTAGGGGGACCAATCACGTACAAGGATCAGGGAAGATTCCCCTAGAAGCACCGTCCCATCGCAGTGCGACCGGTTCGAACGGTTCATCGGTTTCGGAGACGTAGTAGGCGTCGACCGATGTCAGTGGAGCAGGGATGTGAACGCCCATTTCGACGGTTTCGGTGCGGACGGCGGATGAGGAACCCTGCGATTGTTGGGCTCGCGCAGTATCGAGATCCGCGTTGGCTTTGCCCAGGAAGGACATGTAAGCGTCGTCGGACATTGTGCGCGAGATGGTAGTTGGAAGAGGGGTAGTAGATGTTGAGATAGAAATGCCGTCGCGTGTTCGGCTATGACTCACAAAGAGTGTCTTGTGAGGATAATGGATTTGGCGGGAGGACTGGGGATGATTTCGAATGATCGAAGGACGAAAGGGAATGTTGAGGATCTTTGGCGACGAGGTTGAAGTTGAGGCCCAACTCCAGATGCGATCAATGACGCAATGCCCTCGGCAGCTCAGTGACATCGGTTTTGGGAAGGGTTTGCCACCGCAGATGGTATTCGAAGGATGAAGATACAGAGAAGGGGGCCACAATTGGTAGATTTCGAGAGAAAGGAGTGGTGCTAGATTATAGATAAAAAATAAACCTCACCACCGACTTGGTGTGATTGGAGCTTTTTATTTTCTTAAGTGGTTCAAAGCGTTCTTCCCGTCGCACAAACTGCACAAACCGAGAATTTCCCACATTTCAAATAAATTATACACTACAAGATCGGCTTAAGAGACATGGACATTCCTACATGGGCGTTTTGCCGGTTCAATTCATTGTTTCTGGGGTCTTGAATGTCATGAAATTGCCTTGCAGCTACGTAAACCTAACAGAAAGAAAAAGGACTATCTCCAGTCGCACAGTAGACTTGGAAGGTATTCGCTTTTTTATTGAAAAAATAAATAATTTGCACTACACCGTATCATATCCATAAACACCTTAAGCAGAAGTAACGAGGTCCTTCTTGAGGGTACCCAAGAAAGCGCGCTTCTCCTCGGGGGTCTGGAAGGCACCGTGACCGAACTCGGAAGAGGTATCGATCCACTTGAGCTCGACCTTCTCGGTGGCCCTGCGGCTGGTCTGGGGGTAGAGGGTCTTACGCAGGGTCATGACACGCTTCTTGACACCAGGGATGGAGCCCTTGAGCATGACGAAGTCGTTCTTAACCTCACCGTAGCGGACGAAGCCACCCATGCTGCAGGAACAATCAGTTACTGGATCACTAAAGGGGATAGATGCTCTTGTCGCCGGGGTAACTTACGGAGTGATCTGCTTCTTGGAGATATCGAACTCGGTGGAGGCGTTGGCCTCGTCAGTGCCCTTGCCGATACGGAAGACCTTGTGGTTGCAGGAGGTACGGTGGTGGTAACCCATCTGACCAGCACGGGCAACAGTCCACTGGACATGGTTGGGATGCCAGGCACCGATACAAGCGACCTTACGCAGACCCTTGTGAGTCTTACGGGGAAGCTTCTTGGTACCCCAACGGCTGGTGACACCCTGGAAACCATGACCCTTGGTGACAGCAATGACATCGATCATCTCGTCCTTCTCGAAGACGCTGTCGATCTCAATGGGCTTCTCGAAGAGGTTGCGGGCGAAGTCAACCTTGTCGGCAACGGAGCCACCGTTGACCTGGATCTCCATAAGGTGGGCCTTCTTCTGCTTGAGAGGGGTCTTGCGGATCTGGGTGTGGGCGAGCACACGGACGACAGTGCAGTACTTCTTGATGCGCTCCATCTCGCGGGTGATGGAGGCGCCGCTCTCCTCAGCATGCTGCTTGGCGTACTTGGTGAAGGCCTTCTTCTTGCTCTTGTACCAGTTCTTGTAGAAGCGGCGCTTGACCTCGTCGCTCAAGTGCTCAGCCCAGACGGTGGTGAGAGAGCGGAGACCACGGGGAGTCTCAATGTAACCGACGACACCGACAGCGACAAGCTAAAGAATTGTAAGTACATCAAGTACATCAAAAATACCCACATACTCGGGTCAAGAAAAGATATCTTCATGGGTAGATGAAACGTACGGGAGGAGTCTCGACGATGGTAACAGCCTCGACAATCTCCTTCTTGTGCATCTTGGCACCGGGTCTGTCAAGGTCACGGACAACAGTGGTCATACCGGCCTTGTAGCCCATGGAGGCCGTCAGGTGGACGGGCTTCTTGGGGTCATCCTTGGGGAAGCTGCCGTGGTCTTAGTATCCTGTCTTCACATATCCCATTTGAACATGAAAATTTTTATCCTAAACTGACCTCTTGACCTTTCCACGGTGTCTGGCAGCGCGCTTGCGGGGCAGGTAGGCAAGAGAGCCTGTAAAAACCTGTGTCAGTAGGACGCACACAAAACACACCCACGACCTCAAGATTCGAAGCCGTCCGAGCGAAAAACAGAGATTGACGAACCGTGCCGAGGCGCTTCGTACTTCCGGTGACTCCTGTTGTAGAAATAAAATCAGCGATTTGATACATTGTCAGTCATGATAGCCATGCGCCAGCGAGGAGACTCACATCTTGACCCTGTTGTCGTTAGTCGTCGAAGTGGTGAGTGACAATGTCTATCTTTGAAATTGGCCGCAAACTCATATTTTGCACCGCTTAACGAGTGTGGGCTGACCTAAGCGATGTCTCCGCTAAGCCCACTCCGGTTAGAGCTTCTTAGGAGGGTAAGCGACCACCCGTGAGTGTTTCTCGCCTGAGGCATCAACCTATGTCGGGAACTATCCCTTTTCGAGTAACCGCCGTTGGCGCCCCGGACCACAGCGTTTCGTGTCTTTCAGCGAAAGCCCTACCAGTGCTTCAACGGTACTACTTTAGAAGTTGTACATCTGCTTCCGGCTTTGTCAACACGGGCTGACGGTTGCACGGACAGATTCGTATCACACCACAACATATCTTTTGCGGTCTTACTCATGACTATGATAGCCACTGTCTTACCAAAGTGCCTTGCTTAATTGACCAAGTTTGCCATTTTTGTAGTTACTACCTTCAATCATTCATAGTTAAAAAGACTAAGACAGGAGATGAGAACGGATGGGTTGTCGCACGGTACACAAATGTAACAAAACAGGGACCTTAAAAATGAAAAAAAAAAGTGCAATAGATACAAAAGCGCAAGTTAAGAAACCTGCACCGCCTTCCTATTGTGCCGATCGGACTCATACAATACAGACCAAATGGCTAAGACAGCAGACGATTGTGAACACCACCAGGATATGGTGAGCCCAAAAGAGGGAGAACAGAAAAGAAAGAGGAAAAGAAAAGAAGAAGAAGAAGTCGAAGAAGTATATAAAGGGAAAGAAAGCAGAAGTAAACGAAGGCAACAGGGAAGTCTCATGCTTGATAACTTCGTATGAGCTTTTAAATCAGGCTCAATCCATAGGCAACATGGTAGTTTCATCACTGGAAATAGCACGAACACCATTCAATGAAGGAATATATTAGGCAGTAGACTCCAGTTTCGTTTGAGAAGTCTGACTGCCATTGGCATTATTAGGATTGACTGACCCACTGGTAGAAGGGCTGCCCTTTACAGCAGCACTGGTCCTTTTCTCGTCATCGCCGTCGTCATCGTAGTTCTCATCCACGTCCATCTTACGTGCAGCGGGCTCATGTGCAGGCGCTTGCTCGCCGCGCGCAGGTTCCTCTTTAACTTGTACAGGGGCGGAGGGTCCAGGCTGAGGTCCGTTGGCAGCGGGAGCAACACTCTCAGCCATTGGTGGAAGGCCAGAGCCAGAGGCATGCTGGGGCATGTGCTGAATGGATGGCAGTGTTGGAGGGTGATGGGCGGCCTCGGAGGGATGATAGCTTTCATTGATACGACGTTGGTCCTCCCGTCGAGCCTCAGACGAGCTACGGCGCTGCATCTCGCCAGGGGAAGGCATGCGGTTTGGGGGAGTGACACGGCGAGAAATCTGTTCGTCGAGGCGGGCACGACTTTCTTCATTTGCAATCTTCTTCACGGGGGCGGAGTCTGATTCCCACTCGCGACCACGCTTCATTGCGGAGGCGGGACGGTCTTCACGTTCGCGGGCAGCGGCCTCGGCAGCGGTGATGGCAGAGGGAGGTGGGGGTGCACCACCTGCAATTCCAGTGCTGCTAGATCCCTGTACCGGCACGCTAGGCCCATGATGATATTGCTGGTGTGGGTATGTGGACCCAGGGGACGAGGGGCGCTCATCACGGATGGGCCGGATCTCTGCCGGTGGGGTGAATGGTCGATGATAAGGAGGCAGAGGGCCGCCAGGAGTGGGAGCACCATTAGGCGCACCAGCAGCAGGAGGAGGTCCTGTGGGAGCGGGAGGTAACTGTCCTCGAGTACCAGAGGGGAAACCACCAGGACCGCTAGGGGCGCGTTCGTGAGATGGCGCAGGCGGGTTCGCAAGCTGAGGAAGTGCATGCGCAGGGGCGTAGACACCCGGACCGGTGAGTGCAGTCTTGGGAGACCGGGCCGTGGTTGGCTGAGTACGGAGGGCCTCGGGGAAGCCCCTTCCTGGCTCCTGACGTGGGCTGGGTTGCTGCAAGGCTGCAGGCGCTCGAACTGCATCACGGTGGTCGAACCCATTAGCAGCCTGGGCCTGAGCCTGGGACTGGAGTTCGTTGATGCCACGATTCCAATCAGCGATCTGCCTTGGAGGAGCAGGAGGCTGGGGAGGAGGGCCTCCAGTCGGTGCTGGCGCTCCCCATTGAGGAGCCGGGGGGCCACCGACGCCAGCGGGCTGGTAAGCCTGGGGATGAACATCCTGAGGTTGAGGAGCCGGAGCATTGTTCTGAGTGCTGCCCGACAATTGACTCTGAAGAAGCTGCAGACGTGCTTTGATGTGGACATTAGTTGGGTCCAAATCGGCAGCACGACCATACGCATCAAGAGCATCCGCAATTTGGTTGTTGCAAGACTCGTACTGTGTAGAAGGTTAGGTTTGTTCATTGGTGGATTCTCAGATACCGTTGAGCTTACCAAAGTTCCCAAGTCATACCAAACCTCCGAGATGTAAGGATTCAAGCGAATAGCACGCGAGTAGGCATCCAACGCATCACGGTACTGATTGATTTGGTAATAAAGCACACCAATTGAACACCAGAAAGTTGGGTTCCGACCATCCCGATAGACAGCCTGTTGATAAGCTTCATATGCCTTAGGATACTTGGCTTGCGACATGTAGCATCGACCAAGTAGGTACCAACTCTGCGCGTCGCTGTTATCTAATGCAAAGATATACCATTAGACTCAATCATTTCCGCTTCCAACCAAACCAAAAGAACCTACCTGCGCTAACCGATTTCTCGAGGTACTCAATTGCCTTTTCTTGGCTGGCATAGCTGTTGCTCTGTTGGTGATACAGCCACCCAAGCTGCTGTAGGACCTTTGCGTGATTGGGATCACGGTCGAGAACACGTCTATAAGCTTGTTGCGCAGAATCAAACTGTAACAGAGTCAGTACCGAGACGTCTTTTACTCGTAACGGGTTCGAGGAGCTTACGTCTTTCTGTTGCTCGTGGACGTGGCCGATTTGGAACCAAATGTCTTCCTCCGTGAGAGGCCTGGGAGGGTCGGTGACGATATATTTGAAGCACTTAAAATTAAGAATCAGTGAACCGGTGCATTGCCATTTCTCATCGCATCAATTCTCACCTCCAAACTCTGACTGAACTTCTGCTGCTGCTTGTAAATAATTCCCAATCTAAAGTAGATCTCATTGGCCTTCTCGAAATCGGGAGCCATTCTCATAACCTGAGAGAAGGCTTCTTCGGCGTGATCAAGAGAGCCATAACGATCGTAAAGGATACCGATGCCATACCACAACTTAGGTTCCTGAAGACACGCTAGGTTAGGTTTCGAGTCATACTGTGACGAACTAGAAATGCATACCTTAGGGTCACGCAGATGATAGAGCGCTTGTTGGTAAGAGGTATATGCCTCTTGCAAGTTGTCCATCATGAGATGGCAATGTCCTGAGCCTTTAGCAAGTGATCCATGACAAGTATAGTAGTAAGGACATACCCAAGCTTCCCCATGTTTCCCCACTGGCCGGATCCAGCTTCAGAATATTTTGAAGATATTCAATCGCCTTCGGAAATTGTTCCTTGGTACGTAGGATACATGATATCGCGTTCATGGCAGGGATCGACCATTGATTGTGTCGCAAGGCCTGTTCGTATGCATTCATTGCACCTTCAAGGTCACCCATCAACTCGGTCAGGCCACCTAAATGAAAAAGGAAACGCTGTTAGCATACGTCGCGCGATGCACATAAGCCTAGCAAGCTGTATGCGCATTGCCGTCACGTACCAATTTGAAGCCAAACCTGTTCGTTTAGCGCAGCAATTTTTTGGGCAGTGCTCATGGGAGGACCCTTCTGGCCTTGCGACTGCAAAGGGATGTGACCATTGACTTGCGGATGGGCGGCAAGATGACCATGGTGAGGAGTGACGCCTCCCGTGGGTGACGGCTGAGTGTGAGCCATAGCGAAGGCGAACAATTAACGAAATCGCACCGTGGCCGTGATTCGTGACGGTACAAATTCGGATCCCATAAAACTCGCGACACAAATGATGCAGTCCGAGTCCGTGTGACCCACGCAACGCAACCACGATATTAGATTTGGCGCGGACCAAGACCCAAGCAAATCTTACACGCACGACGTTCTTGGTTTCAAGGTGAAACTGCGCTGGCAATACTGTCAAGTGAGAAAAGCCTTGGCGCTTCAATCAGAAGAGTTGAGCAATTTCCGTTCACGCGCTTCTCTAAGAGTGAAGCTGATGTGTGGAGGACGGAAGCGCCAAGGACTGCGCACCGTCAATCGAGCTAAAATAACGCTAGAGGACCAGCACTGTGCAAAAGAAAGCTGTGTGAAAGTGATGCGAAGGTGGTTATGAAAAGGGGGAGGGTCTCGGCAAAGCAATATAGGCACTATGGGTAACAGCCCAATAGCCGAGAAAGGGAGGGTGGGTAACGGAAGAGGAGAAGAAAGAATTGAAGAGCAAATTGAGGTAGCGAAACAACTGGGGAACCAGGGAAAGCCACCGGCAAGGAAAAGCGAAGAAAAAGGAAAAGGAAAGGAAAGAAGCCGAGGAAAGCAAGAGAGGAAGAGGAGGAAGAGGAGAGAGAGAAAGGTCGAGGGGCTGGTGGTAGAGGGTGAAATTTGCCAAGCGGCGCTAGTGGTTGTGCAGCTCTTCGAGCAGTCAGCGAAAGCAAAGGAAAGCACGGAAAAAGGTGAGATGGCGGTCGTCCGGCGCCAAGCCGAAGACAGACAGCTTACGACCAGGAACGGTCTAGTGAGTGGGGACAATCTGGAGTCGTGTCCGCGGGTATTTACAGTTAATATTTTCCGGGCACCGGAATCTCAGGTGAGTGTCAATTGAATGCAGGAGCAAAGTACAACAGGGTACAGGGAAGATCATCTCCCATTATTGATAAGACTAGATCCCGGTCGAGTCCATACACGACCGAATATTTCTCTCTCTCTCTCTCTCTCTCTCTGGTACCCAACAACAATCAGGGGATTTATTTATATTCTCTTTCTTTTCCATTTCTTTTTTTGGATGTCTATCTTGTATAACCTCGATGTCGTCACTACCTGAATGTGGTGGTGGCTTTAGTTTTTTAGAACAACTCTATCTTTGGAATTCTAGCAGAAATGAGCTTTTTTTTAGCATAAAAGAGAGGAGGCTCACGCTGGCGGGCGGGGCGAAAATGTGATAATAGAGGCTAGTACAGAAAATAGTAACAAATTAGGATTATTCAAAATTAGCAGAATTAAGAGAGACTAAAATATTAACTGTAGGAAAACGGAGTAGGTAAGTACCATTCTAAGCGGGTTAAACAGAATTTTCTTTTCTCTCTTTTTTTTTTTCTTTTTAGTTCCAATCCAATGGAGTCGAACCGTCCCGAAACAGGGCAGTGTCTGACGAGGATGCAAGCGCCGGAGCCAGAAAAGCAACTCCAGGGATGCAGGACGTAAGTCTAGTAGCACGAACCCCCGGTTGTGACTCGCCGAAAGGCTGCGGGTGGACCATGGAACATGGACCCACTGACCCTCTCTTCCCCGTGCCATTAGTATTTTTATTTTTCTTAAAGAAAAAATTAAATAAAATCCTGCATTATTTACGAAAGAGCCACCAATAATTTCTGACTACTCAAGTGGGTCTCTAACCGACATAGATGACTGGCGTTTGGTCATAAGCTCAACCACCTAAGCTCCCGGCAGCCTAGTTAGGCATGAGGTATACTCCACTTGGGCCACCTGCAATATGTTGCAGTGGCCCCCAATAATCCCAGAAACTGGCTTGCCTCCTCCCGTACTAACCTTCTACATCTTAGACCGTGCCGGACAATACGCACATATGGAGAAGGACCCTCTGCGGCCCATTCTCCAATCCCCATGCTTCCAAACTTCAAGCGAGTAACAACTGTCGGATCTCTATACCAATATCCGGGTCCAACCCCTCCCCTCCTCCACCCTCCTTCTTCAACGTCTTTCCTTCCCCCTCCCTTCCCCATCTGACATTGGCATACGAACGTCAACCTGGCTTACATATTCCCGCTGACGGGTAGCACTTGAGGTGAACGGCCGATGCTAGCTTGCAGAGGATTGCATATGGTGTTAATATGGCTTTTTGTTTGCCATCTAACTCTCCTTCCCCCCTACCCCCTTTCTAGTTTGGTAAATTCGGGCAGTTTTCCAAAGAAGTCACTAGGTCCAATTGTATGGAATTAATAGTTGTATTCCATGTTTGGCAGCAGGTCCACATATCGACGTAGTGGTTTGAAACCGTAGTAACGACGTGAAGGCGGCTACGAGGAAAAATACCACCTAATCTTGCTCAGCTGTTTCTGGACTTTGTTTGCCTCTTCCGTCATTGATTGCTCAGAAGGCTACTGCGGCAACAACTGCTTACTTAAGGGCTGAGTCACCTGAATGAACAACGCATTTGCAAAAAAAAAAAAGGAAAAAGCAAAAGAAAGAAAGAAAGCCACCAGCCACTCTGGCAGCCACAGATTCCTTGATGTGGGGCTTTCCGATGTTGATCCGTCGGCTTTTCAGTTGATCTTGATAATTTGATACATCACCTGAGTGGGCCGATCGTTTCTTTTTTCTTTTCCTTTCTTAATATTTTTTGTGATTAACACCCCCTTCCGTAACAATGAATAATAGACCGTTCTAAAGATGCCCGCCTACCGCTAGCCCACATATCCATACTATTTCCCCCATTCCTTCGCTTATTGTTGTGTGCCCACCGGAGGGACCCTAACTTTGAACTTTCTAACGCGGGAATCCCAACAAACTTTAGGTGGGCCACCCGACATCCTTAACCCTTTCCCTTGTTAGGGGAAAGTGGTGCCCTAGCATACGTCTGCTCCGTCGTTCACGCTCCCCTATGTAGAATATCTTGGTACTCCATTTCTCGGCTCCGAGTCTCAGCCCTGACGCGCCGAACGATGAGCACCATCCATGGGAGATCAGAACAGCGATTATGATCGACTCCACCAATATGATACATGTTACATAGTGCATACTGCTATATACCTGTATGTATACACTACGTAGCACGACACATCTAAACAGCGTAACATAAGCTAAGGTTAACATTCTACTCCGGACTCGTGGGAATGCCACCATTCCTGGACTGTGTGTACTAAAGTCACGTGATGGAGATCCTTCAATGCGGCAGAGGCGGGTGACAGGTCGCGGCAAGGAGAGAGCGATGCTTACTTAGAATCATACTTGTTTGATGATATATTAATTCTGTATTCAATGTCATATTCTCAATCATGCAAATCAAGCTACCCCGACAGTCACAGCCTAGAGTGGTGTCGATCTCTATTTTAGTCAAGACTAGTGGTCTCTATTCAAAACCATCATAGCGCCGTTTAAGCCAAAAGGTTGTTTATTCTTTAATTTTCGTAGCGAAGGATAGCGCTAGTCTCATATCACTTAGTCAGCTGTAGACGATATCGATTGAGAATGGAAAAGGTTGGACGTATTACTCAAAAGAAATATCCTTGATGTCCCGTTAATGTTAGCATTTAACGGGAGAACTATCCTATCCGCCTTGGGTTGAAATATAGTATGTATAATTAACGGAGGCGCCCCCTCAGACCGAAGTTTCCAAGTACCTACTTTTCTCCCCCTAATGGTGATTTATTGTCTCCATTCAAGCGCGTACCGAGCCAAGGCCAACATAGCCGCCCATCTGAAACAAAGATTCCTAAAAAAGAGCACTCCGTACGGTACCTCCATCACAACAGCCCTTGAGTCAGTTAACTGCTGTTTAAATACATACAAGAATGACGATCAGTGACAAGTACTTTGTAGCCGGTTGCACTCGGAAACTGGTGGATCAACCTGAGCACACACACCCTCTTTCTTCCATTACGAATTGAACTAATCAACAGGGGTGCACAATGAACATCCCCTAGTCTAACCCCAACAATCTTTAAGCTTTGCCAACTGCAGCATGAGAATAACCCCGCCGGCAAGGATGTAGTGGCCATCCCTGCTTTTCTGGACAACCATTTGCTGCAATGCAATGCATGCATGTATGGAAATAGATGGTCCACCTTGTCACTCAGGCAAAGCTGACAGAAATGCTCTGATTGCTGATATATATGCGAGCGCACAGACAAGAGCAAGGCCGGCGTTTATTAATATGACGCTATAGTTAACCCCCAAAAGCAATTTTGTTCTTTATGAAAAAATATATTGAAAAATGAAAATAAGAGAAAGAAAAGGGAAACAAAAACAAAAGCAAAGAGTCCCTAAACCCACCTGTCATCTTCTTCCCCCATTTCCCTATCTTACTACGTTACACCACAGCATGCAGTTCACCCTTTATGGTTCTTTCCTGCTGCCTGGCCTGCGTGGTGCATTGAAAGGTGTTGTTGATAACACCGAGGGTTCCCTGTGGGTACTGTATGTACATACATACATACATACGCCACTAGAATCTCCACCGTTGCACATATTTATTATTTCATCATCTATCTTCGGTTCGTGGCTATTGACAGTTGCTATGGTATGACCGTTTTTTTCTTTTTCTTTTCCCCCTTTTTATTTGTTTGCTTCCCGTGAATACCGGTCGGGTCGGTCCTTGCTTATCCTACACTTTTTCGGGTACTCCACAATCGAAGTTAATCTAGGGTGTGGTATTCAATTAATAGTAAGCCTCCTTGTGAGCTTGGACGTTAGGCAGTTGATTGGTATGTTGTACATGGTACTTTTACTTTATCTTCTTCTTCCTCCCCCCCTTTCCTCGTTGATCAACTCTTATTCAGGGAGATGAATATCTCCCTTCTAACGGTTGACATACAAATATGTCCAGTAAAGGTTAACCCTGTAACGTACGCAACATACAACAAAGCCATTAGTAGAATTGGTTAGAATTATAGAGAACGACCAGTTCCCCCGGTACCGCCACAAGGGAGAGGAATTCCGCAGGATTTACGAACCAGGCCGGAGTGGAATGTTCGATTCCAAGAATCCAGGGTACACTTGCTAGCATTCCAGCCCTACAGTTATTATAGAATAGTCATCGTAGATCTCGAAAAGGGGGCATTTGAGCTTGGGATCGCGGGTCAATACTTTCTACATAATAATTGATAGTTGGTTAACTGGTACAAAGCTAAGCATTGACTATAATCTATCTAGTTTTAGGAAGGGAACACTGTATGGCCGTAAGGTCGGTGGCTCGTGAGGCATCAACGTGCGATACACTAGTGTCAATATATTTGGGACAAGTGATATTTTTGTGTAGTAGCTACAAAAGCGTTGGTACATATCAGAGGTTATCGGGACCGGGCTTGCGTAGGATACGGGTTGACGCCAATCGCGAGAAGTACTTCATTCTGTGCGGATGGGACCAAGGGTCTCTAGTCACTGCTCCTAGCTTCGAGTAGAATCATGTCATCAATATAGGGAAAAAAAACCCCCATGCGGATATTGTCGGAAAGACTGCGTTCCTACAGGTCTTCTAGGGAGTTAACAAGCCAACCATAGGAGCCATGGATTCAATAATCGAAGGAGGTACCCCCGAAAAGGGACATATAGGCAGACTACCTGTGCGTAGAAAAGGGAAACCCCCGAGATGCTCAACGCCAGACCCATAACCGCACCAGGAACTATCGTACCGTAAGTACATGTCCTTTCCCCATCATGACGACAAAATCAGACCCCCGGGAATGCTACATGACTCTACGTCCCACCAATCCATCAGCCTCATACCAGCCCCTGCGTAAGATCATGAATAAAAACCAGCGCAATGAACCTATATCCTATCCAATTGAAAAATCGCCAGTCAAAAGGAGGGCACAATAAAGCTTATCGAATCAATAGTCCCCCGCCAACTACCCCAGAAAAAGAAGCAGTAGTAAAAAAGGGAAGGAAAAAAGAGGGAATGATGACATCTGCGGTATCACATTCTGTCAGAACCAAAGCCCTACTGCTGGCTCGGTGTCTCCTGTTGGAACTTTTTTTTTTTCCTTCTACTCTTTCTTTTCTTGTTTCTCTTGAGCCGATGGGTCCATATTCATTCTCTGATGCAGGGGACCGCATACATATGTGTTATCGGCTCCACTGCCTCCTTGCATGTGGACTGGGCATTCGTGGTATGTATGTGGATAAACATAGTACAGAGTTGCGCAATGACAACATACGTACATGATTCAGGCCAAGATAAGGTGTTTGAAGCTGGGGATAGTGGCGATTGTCCCTTGAAGGAAATTTGAGTGATAATCTTTATTCGACGGCTTGCGTTGTATACGGAAAATTGTGTCTATATGTGCATATCTATATAGTACATAAGGCATATATAGTACATGCATATATACGTGAGTGAGCGAGGATATTTATAGATCATAGATGGGATCTTGCTTCAATGTAGGGGTAAATACGCATGTTTAGCATTTGATGTTGCTACCGGCGGAATAACCTCGGTCCTGATGGTCCCTCCGCAATCTGGCCTCATATGCAGCAGATCTAGAGGACAATTAGACTTGAGTGTTTATCCTGCCTTGTGGGTCGACATCTGCGTCGGGGAGGTGTAACATCGAAATAAATATTATTCATAGAATTGAATATCTAGTGTAATCGCGGGTAAGGTTGATAGGGGAGGGGAGATTGAAGAAATGACAAGAGTCTGCGGAGAGTACTGAATAGGAGAAGTAGGGGAGTAGCAGCAGTAGTAATCCTTAGATAAAGGTTGTTTAAGGCTGAGACAGCGGTCCAACCCTTGGTTTTCGCACGGTGGGGAAGGTTCGATTAGCAGAGCGGTAAGGCCGCTCAATTTCATGTGCTTCTCTCGGCTAACCGGCACCGTGGAACGAAGTCTGACAATCCATTGGGATGATCGCTAATGTCCACCAAAAGTGGTTGAATATAATTAAAGTTAGACAAGTGGACACTCAGCGAGGGTTTTGCACAACACATGACCGACGGGCGGTTATTCTAGGGAATTTAATGTGTCTTCTTCACTTCCTCAGAAGACATAGCGCCCAATAACAGAGATCGGAAATCTGGTTGTCATCGCTCTCATGGCTTCTCCGATACCGCTACAGTTACAATATATATATATACACTGGAGATCATCATGACTGGTTGGGCATTCATTTGACCCAGAGTCTATCGGCGCCAAGGCTGACGGAAACATGTATTGTGCCGACTATAATATAAGGTGGGCTGACGGCGTTGTTTTGGTAGCATATGATGAACTGTGCGCATTAACTGTCACCGAGATATATTGATCTGGTTAGTATAGTTATGCATGGGTGGATTGCATATCTTTTCATCTCGTCTTCCACTCACACATGGTGTGGAACGAAAGCCTTTCATATACCCCTCGTCATACAGGCAATTATTGGAGACCATACTGCCAAGCTAGGAGTACGTATGCTCCGTGGTACACACCCATAGGTAATAACATTATGGATGAATTCAGGGCGGCCACACCCGCTTCCCCAGACCTTACTCCGCTTCAGCCACGGCAGGCAACCGGCGGCGGCTATGACAAATGACATGCTGTCTCTGGCCAAGAGGAAGAGATTGTCTGGGGTTCCTCTCGGCATCACGGCCAAGGCGCCTGGAACTGCCGCGAGATATTAACGAGCCAACGGTAATCGCTGCCCAGAGGGAGAGCCTCGTAACAGTAAAAGGACGAGCCTGTCTCATCATGAGATTAGAATTCTATGCCGCACCACGCCACATGTCATATGTGTTCGAGCCGTGGGGAGATCCAAGGGAGATCTGGTCGGATACTACTGCATAGGATCGACACTTTTTCGGGCAAGCTGACGAGAAGTAGACTCATATAGAAGGACAGCTTGCAGGAGAGCCCCAGTGGAGGCCTCAGGGAGTAGACATGGTATTACTGAACCGTCGTTTGGCCAGTCGATCGACCGCAGTAGTTTTGGCGATCTCGGGGCTGGCCACGTCGAACAATCTGAAACAAAGAAATACTTCTGGCAAAATGTCTGGGTTGCCTAATTTATTCTATCCTCTCGTCTACTGCACCCCTTCGGACACGACGACGCCCACTGCAGAAATCAGCGCGTTGGCATGGTAGGGGGGAAACGATTGCCAATCTCTCGGCGAATCTGGGCAAATTTGCTCGGCGTGTGTTTGGGGGGTTCGTTCATCGGGATTCATGAAACCTGACCCCGTATCTGAGGCTTTCATTGATTCCTGCGAGCTTTGGGGCTTATCTTTGATAGGGGTTGGTTCATTCACTACTACACAATAGCGAGAGAAACTTAGCTAAGAAGCCATGTCTATAGAAGGAGGAGATGACCAACGATTCACAATCGATTTGCAAGTTGCAACAAGGAAATGAAACCAAGTCTGGGATAAAAAAAACCGCCAACCGGACTAGGGTGTGTGTAATGGTGCATACACCGGTACGCCGACTAGACCAGCCCAAGATCTGGTGGTAATACCGCCAAGCCGCTCATCCACCTCCGAACGCGGATCATAGACACATGCAACCAATGAACACTTCCCAAGTCCCCGTAGAAATCCCCGCAGAGGTCTTGGCATCTTGGCGGAGTGGCCAGGAAAGGGAAAGTGCCAATACTGCAATGACCACCTATTCCCGTTATGACTCCGTGTGGGTTACGGTATTGAATTCCTCCTTGAAGAAACACAGCATCTTCTTCCCTTTTGCCAACACAAGTCGTTATGGCGCGGGTCTTCTTTCAGCCCCCTCCGAGGATCCTTCCTCTATGGTTTCCTTCCCCCCGATTGAAGAATAACTAGATGCTGGCGAGAACATCTTTCCCATCTCGCCGATCTTCTTTCTCTTTTTTTCCCCTCCCTTCTTACTACCTCTCGAAAAATACAAAAGCCAAAGTAAAGTGATAATCCATTGACGTCGTCCAGCGCCAAGGGCTCGGCATCTGGGCGTCTTGGCGGCAAAGAAAAGCAGGAGAGTCTTTCCGCTGCATTGAACCCTGCCTTTTTTTTCTTGCCCTTGTCTTGGGCTTCCGCTCTGTCCTACGGCTAGTCGCCCATGGCATTATTATAAGTCTCCCCTTCTTCCGCTCCTCTTTCCGTCTCCTCTCCTATCCCTCTCCGTTCCACCAGCTGAATTCCCTTCTGCTTCTGCCTCGGTCCTCTATCTATATCCCCCACCTTACTGTGGGATCGTCAGTTGCCTGTCCAGAAAGTATGCCCCTTGCGCTGTGAGCCATGCGGTGAGCGTAACTTTGTCGCTCTGTGTACGATTTTGTACCACTCTGTGTCGCATTTCTGAAGGGGGGCGACCAAACGCTATCACGCCCTTGATTTCTCCACCGACTCTCCCATCTCCCCTTCCTATCATCCGCCCACACCATGAGGCAGCAGGAGATGTCCCATTCTCCTGCTTACTACCAGGAACATGACCAGCGCATGACGGCATATCTCCACGACTCGACCCCTACTCCTGCCGCAGCGCATCTTTCCCCGGAACCCTCATTATTACCTAACCGCCTCTGTGAAAACGGGCATGATTCCCGTTCATCGGAACGCAATTCGGCTGGAGGCACGAGTCCTAACGCCCATCCTTCCGATTCTTGGGATCGCTCTTACTCTCGGCACCCTTTTCGACATTCCCACCAGCCCCAGAAGCCTCCACCCCGTCAGACCCAAGTGGAGTCAATCTACTCGAATTCTGAGGGGTCGGTGGTGGCTCCGATGACGTTCGTATCCTCGCCCTACCCGGACAACAGTTCCATGTTGACACAGACTTCGTGTAGTGGTGGAGGGGCTCGCAAAGAAGAGCGTGTCCGGGGGAGTTGGACGGATCATTCGTCATATATGTCGAGCGACAATCACCATCTTGGCGCAGCTCGCCTTCAGAAACGGGCGATCCATACTGAAGAACCCTTGGCAGATGACAGTCAAGATGCCCTCCTGATGCTAGTAAGCATTAGCCTTGCATATCCTCTTCATTTGCGTTTGTCTCTAGCTAACCACCTGGCTCCCGTAGTTTCGATTGTCCCTTCCAGTCCCCGTATTCTCCTTTGGCGCGTCTTTGTATACCGTCTTCGGGTTGCTCCTCGTGCTCCTCGTCTCACCTTTTCGCATATGTCCCTGCATCCCATACTTTCGGTCCACGTCATTCCGTGAACAGCTATGTCATCTGTTGGTGCCTCAACTGCATATCCATGAGCGACTAGTTCGTTTGCGAGGGGCGTCGCGATCGTCCCCGGCCCAGTCGGTATACAATGACGCGGATGATCCATCCGTTCCGGACCTGAACGAGCACTATTCCATTATGGGCTTGATCTTGGTCCTATTGCTCTCGTCTCTTCTTTCCATTGCCTTTCTCCTCCTCGTCTGGACTGCAGCCTTTTTCTGGGTCTTTGCCATGGTTCTTGGCAATCCCGATGGTACTGAGCGCAAAGATGACGGCCGTGCTGCAGTGCTCGGTGTCTGTCGATGGTGGCATATATGGCTGCGCAAGGTCAGAAAACGGTCTCACCAATAGCCTATCCGCAGATGATCCTTACCGCCTTTTCCATCTTTCCTCCGTTCTCTGTTATTAAGCGTGAACCCGTCTTGGCTGTTTGACTCTTTTTCGATGTTGCCATGATACCAATGTGTGGAATGACTTCAGAAGGGCTTTTTCTATCTTTTTTATGTTACCCATTATTGATCTGATTGATATACTTCATGTGTATAGGAGTTTGGTTGGTCGCATTGGCGCCGGGAGCGGTTTTTTCGTCTTCTACATTATTATCCTTGTTGTTCTCTTTATTTTATCTTATTATTTTTGTCTGATATCCAATGTGCGCGGTGAAAGAACGGAAGACGGCTCCTGGTTCACAGCGCCTCAACTAATATGCAGGCCAACAGGGATCATCATCAAATCACGAATCAGGAAATTCCTGTGTACTGTACTACTACTACTACTACTACTACTACTACTTCTTCTTCTTCCTTAGTGCCTTTTCCATGAATTGATACCCGGGCTGGCCTCATACATTTTTGACTGTATCTTTTTCATCTCTCTCCGTACCCGTATTTTCGTTGGAATAGTCTGGAGTATTTGTTTCTGTCTATCTCTCCAACTCATATACATATGGAGAGTACAGTACTATACTCAAGACCCATCTACTCGAATCACCTCTACTGTTGACCCCCACTCCAGCCACCATACTAAATCCCACAGCATACAATGAACATGCAATCAAAAGGATCAAATCATATTGAAGCAGCTTCGAGGGTATAAAGATACCTATGTAAGTAGTCACATGAAACAAAAAAAAGGAGGAAAATATCAATCAATAAGATAAGTTTTCACTACAAAAGATCCACCATGCACACCGATTTTTCAAAGTGCAAAACTGTGCCGCACAGAATATGATCACTTAAATCCAATTTTGTCCTGTCATGCTTCAAAAGAACAAGAGAGAAAATGTAACTATAAGTAAGGGACTTGATCATTTTCCTATTTCATCAACATCAATTCATACAGGTGATTTTTTTCTTTGAATTGGTAGATAGGAAAGAGAAGGATGGATGGGAGTAAGTTAATGAGTAAAAAAGGAGGAGAAGAAGGTAAAGCAAGTTTAGTTTATCTCCTCTTGCCGAAGCGTCCGCCGCGGATGTTCTTTCGCTTTTGAATCCGTCCATCGCTGGGTCCGTGGGTCTTGGGCATTCCGAGACCGCGACGAGTGGGTTGTTGTTTGGGGCCTCCCTTCTTTGAGGAAGCGGGTTCGTCGCCTTCGTCCACGTCCATGTCGTCTTCGCCCTTAGACTTGGACTTCTGGGCCTGCGCCATCTTGAACTTGCCGCGCTGGCCGCGACGGACGGCGTCGGGTCCGCTGACAGCTGCGACGTAGGCGTTGACGGCGCTGTCACCGGCCTGGGCGTTGGCGTCGAGGCCGCCAGACATCTCGACGTCGTTGTTGTCATCGCCCAAGAGGAGACGGCCGTCTTCGTCGACCTTAGCGGAGTGCTTGCGTCGGGATCCGGGGCCAGTGTTGAGGAAGCGGACGCTGGGTTTGGTGGTGGAGATGCTGGCCAGGGCGTCAGGGGCAAGAAGATCAAGTGGGTTGTCCTCAGGGGACATCTCGCGGATGTACTGTTCGCTTTGCTTGTTGTTGTTGGACTTCTTACCCTTACGGCCACCCTTGTTGATAACGTGAGTGTCGCCATGCTCGTCGACATCGAGCTCGCTTGCATCGTCGTCGGAGTCTGACAAGTCGGAATCGTAGACGGCTCTGTCGAAGGCATTGCCACCGTAAGACTGGACCTTCGCGTTCTTATTATCGGCGGCTTCTTCTTCGTCCTCGTCCTCGTCACCCTTCTCACCCTGCTTCTTCTTCTTGCGACGCTCACGCTGCTTCCGGATGTTCACGACGAGCTTCCGGTCGGCTTCGCCAACAAGTTCTTCAATCGGGGCGGCGCCGAAGCGGCGGATCAGGCGATCCAGGATACCTTTGACCTTGCTGCGGAGACGGCCCTTGTGCTCCTTGCTCCATACCATGAGATTTGGTACCATAGAATTGAGGCGTGTGCGGAGAACATCATCGGGAAGCACGACAACAGCAACCTTGACAAAGCCTAGCACAGATCGGACAATCTCGCGGTTGTTGCTGGTGAGGAACAGCTCGACGGTCTGCACCAGGTCAGAGCGTACAGCGGGTTGAACTTGAGCGTGGAAGTCGAAAAACAGGCGAGACAAGGCTGTCACGGAGGCAGCAACCATGTGTGGTGAGCTACCAGCCAGACCGGCAGACACCATAGTGAAGAATTCTTCCATGGTGGCAGGAGCATCTGGAGCATTGTTGGGCATGTGAGGTACCAGCGAATTGCGGATCTTGGTTCCAGCTGGATTAAGCTCCGAGTCGGTAGTTCTCTTCGCAAGGTGGATGAGTAGATCGAATGAAGCAGTTCTAGCCTTCTCATTACTCTCCTTGCAGCCTAGGACAACCTCAGAAAGGATAGAAGGGATGAAGTGCAAGTCGGAGGTCGGTAGGTACGTGACGAGCTCGTCAATAGCGAGCATACGGTCGCGGCGAGCAGAGGCTGGCGTCTTATCCACCGTGGAAAGGATAAGTGCTTGGAGTTCGGAGCTCCGTTCACGAAGCGCAGCTGCACCAGTCTCAGTGGTAGCCAGGCGGGGGATCAACTTGTACGCCTTCTTGATCAGCTGTTGATCACCAGTATGTCCATTCAGGACAGCCGAAGCCATGGCAAACAAGCTCGAAAAACTAGAGCGAGGTAGATAAATTGACATGGCGATGACCAAATCGATCAAGGTATGGGAAGTCGGCGGCATCTTGTCACCCGAGCCACCCTGCTGGTGGCCTTGCTTTTCTGCAGCCTCCTTCTCCGCAGCTACCGACGACTCGAGCATAGAGGTGACACGTGTAAAGGTATCGTTGAGCTCCTACAGGAGAATAATCAGTATGAAGCGCTAGAGCAGTAGGGAAAAGTTGATTGACTGACCTTCTCAGGGGTGATACTCAGGTAAGCATTAATACACTGCAAAATGTAGCCTCTGTAGTGTGGGAGGGTCTGACTGTACACATTGAAGAGCACAGCCAACAAGTTACTGGAAAAGCCAGCAAGATGAGCGATGTTCTTTGCTGCATCCTTCTTGGTGATCCTCCGCTGGAGAACCAAATCATCGCCCTCGGTTTCGAGAGACAGAATGGCCTGGTTAGACTCGACCAGATTCTGTAAGGCCTTGCAAATGTCTACACGCAAATCAGTTTGCTTGTAGAGCACGTTAGAGAGGAGCTCGGCGAAGGTCTGGTCGAAAGACTCGACCAGGTCCAAAGGCAGCTCGCAGTATCCAGGAAGAATAGACCAAGTCTGCTGAACAAGCGTCTCGAAAATTTTGGTTTCCACGGCCTTCTCTGCGGCAGTGAAGTCCATCACCTTCTGGAACAAGGCTTCGCTTAGAGGGACGAGCTCGGAACGGAAATGAGCAAGGTTGGTATTGGTGACATGGTCTCGAAGCACAGGAAGGAACCAAACACGGCCGGGTTGGCCGGCTTTCTGCTCAATGATATTCAGAGGTAGAATCTCAAGGACCGTTGCAGGGCCCATGGCTTCAATCGCGCTACCGAGAACTTGATCGGCCTCCTTCTTGCCGTGAAAAGATTCATTACTCCGGAGCTCTCCCACAGTCTTCACAATGTCATCCAAAAACGGGCTGGACCGCCACTTGAAACTATCGAACATTGCCGAGCAGACGTTGAACACCTCAATCCATGCAGCTTGGTACTTCAAAGAAAGTAGATTTGTCGCGGCCTTAGCCAACTTCTCGAGCGTTTTCTCGTCGTAAACCGATGGTTCAATAATCACACTATTGGGGATACAGTTGGCCATGAACGAAACTAGACACTCCGATGCCGAAATCCGAATATTCTTCGATGGGGACGCCAAGTAGCTGGAGATCATGTCGAACAACGCGGGCAATTTCTCAAAAGTATCCTCGGGACTGATCTGAGCAGACACATCGTAACCGCGGGACAAAACAGCAATCCATGGGGGAAGCAACTGCGAGTCGTTCTGTGCAGGCTTCAACTCGGAAATCGCATCAAGAAGACGGGGAAGCTTTGACGACGAGAACTCATCGGCCATGCTGGAGAAAATGACCTCAAACACCTCAAATGCACCCATCGTGATATACTCGTTGCTTGACCGAGAAGCATTCATTAACAACTCGCATAGAGGCTCAATCTTCTTGCTCGGCCAACCTCCCGACGCGGTCGCGACCGTCTTTACCAGCTGAAGAGAGTGAATGACTAACGGATCCTGATTATGGGAGTGAGGATCGTTACGGCCCCGCTTCTGTTTGGCTGCTGTGGCGATACTGTCACCCAATGTGCGCAGGGCGGATTCCGCACACATATCTGCAGCTGGGTGATCAAGCGACGGACTGGGAGGAGGGTTCTTCAGAACCTTGATCAAAGCGTCCTGGGCCCTCTTGCGTACCTTGGGGCGGTGATCAACGGACAAACTCAGCAATCCCGCGGTGGCCCGTCGCGGGCTGATCTGAGTGTGGGGGAGATTCCATGCTGCGGCATCCTGGGCGATAAGTAGCGATTCAAGGCAGCCGATCGACGGTCTGAGCAATGGAGCTTCGGATTCAGGCAAAGAGAGCGCGGGAGCAAGACTGGTAAGGATCTGGGAGAACTTGGAACGGAGAATTGGAGCGGGGGCATAGGCGGTCGTGATGTCAAGAAGGTAGACCACGGAGGTCGCTAGGTCTTTGTTGACGATGCCTTGTTCGGCCGAAATCGACTGAGATAGTAGAGCAAGTAGTGCTGCGAAGTAAGCTGTAGGGGAAAAGTCTGCGTTTTGATCTCGGAGCGTGTCTTCCACTGCAGAAAGTACCACAGCCGTCTCGTTGAAAGTTAGCAATAGGATTCGCGGCCGAGAAAATGGTGGAGCGGGACTTACATGGTGCTGATTCTGCAATTTGGGAGACTTGATCTTCTCGAGCTTCTCCGCCAGGGTCGCCATGATGGGCGGATCGACCGACAGGCAGTAGAGAAGTCGTTTTCGAAAGGGAACGACTTGTACGGTGAGGTTGAAGAAAAGTGGTTGGTGAAAGCGGAGACTTTTTTTTCTGAGTGGTGAATGATTTTTGCGGTAAAGTAAAAAAAAAAAATTAAGAAAAAAAAGGTACGGGGATTCTTGGCGGGCCCTATCAATAGCTATCGATAACACCAACCACCCTCTATGAAAAACAATATTGAAAAGAGATTACTCTACTCTATTCTTGGAGTTTCTCGATAGTGATCACTCACAAGACTCGTTTTCATGGTATCCTAAGAGTACGGGGTCAGGCACAACACTGCATCATGCCTGGACCACCAGAGTCCTTATAAAACATGGAAGAAAAGGAGAAGAAAAGCGTAATGAGACATCGAAATCGTCAAACATGGCCGCCATCATCTATTCGTTTGGCCAGAATCCAGCCTGTATCTCGTTCTCGCAAACTCCCCCGCCATACCAACCATATTTAGTCTAACGGTTCTAGTGATTGCGTCAACTCCATGACAGATCACTTCCTATGTGTTAGTCAAGACAGTCGCTACATCCACTGCACCCTTTGTCAAGCCGCCATGCGGCCATGAGCCAAGAATAACAATGGCCTGGCTTCTGCGACGATGCTGCAAGGCATTTCTCTTTGAGCCTCGACGTATCAATTAATCAACTTGGAGACACTTGTGCCCTATTCTCCTTCATGGGCAAACAGCGTCTCGTTCCGTATTCGTCCCAGCATTTTGGAGGCATCGTAGACAGGAATCAGCAGACAAAACCCCCGGAGCTAGCCTAGAACAGGATCTCTCCGCTATGTTCAGGCTCGAAACCGAGACCCTGTAGCTTGCCCTGAGATTTCTTATCCCTATTCTTGCGCTGACTGTCTTCTTTCTTTTTCATTTCAAAAACTTCCTCGAATGGAGCCTTTTGCACGTGTGGTGGGATATCGTCTTCCTTATCAAGGTCCTAGAGTGCGGCGCAACAATTATTGTCAGCATAATCTCCAATGCACGGTAAAAAGGTACAAAAGACGGCAATAGGAAGAGAGACAGAGAGGGATAGAGACGGATCTCTGGAGCCCGTACAATTTCACCAAGAAGCAACACATTCTCTCCTCGAACCAAGAAAATACCCCGCGGGATCTCAGCGTAGAGATTTCCAGCGTACAGTCGCTCAATAGTATCTTGGAGGACAAGGTTTGCTGCGGCAATTCCAAGTTAGGGCGTGTTAGATAATTGATCATATCTGAGTCGATATAATTATCCCATACCGAATTGATCCCAAGTTCTCAGTACTCCGATTAATTTCCTTCCATCACGTAGCACTAGAACGAGTTTCTCTAATCTCATGGTTAATCTGATGCCCAGGCCAGATACATTCGCCATCGAATCAACGGCGAAATAAAAAAAGAACGAGCAGACATACTATCTGTCAAATCCAGCAACTGAGCAGCGGTGGTGAACATTTGCGGCGGTAACTGCGGGGGGCCTTGCGACATCGGTCCCAGCATATTATTTTGCGGTGGGAACCCTGGCGGAGCATTTCCTTGCTGGTGACCACCAGAGTGGTCGTTAATCGAGAGGCGTTCCATAACTCCTGTGACACGAGCCTATATGGAGATCCGTGATGAAAGGGTGGGGGAAGTTGGCAATTCCGTCGTCAATTGCGGTGCGACAGGGCTCGGAAACGTGATGTTGATGATATAGTCTCAATGATTATATGTCAGTGATAAAAATCGCATTCTGCGATGGCGACCAACGGAAGGATTCGAGGTGTGAATTATGCTGTAAGCAACCCAGCGCTGAGTTTATTCGATGTGGTGGGATTGAATGATTGAATATGGATGCTGGAACCGGGTGTTTGTCCTGTTTGTCAAGTCCCGCCGGATGGGAGGTTTACTTGTTATGACACAATTAAACGGGGTCCGTGTTTACTCCATAGCCCTAGTCTATATCAAGAGACAATATATTGCTGTTTTGTTTCGGTACTTACATGGTTTGGAACTGTAGTAGTACTGTATAGCTTGATATTACTAAGGACAAGTCCCGGGTCCAGGAGTCTATCTGTCCCCAATCCATAGACATTTGAAATATTAGGACCATGATCTTATGATCTCCAAAACTTCAGATAACTGTTTTAGAATATAGCAGTGGCCTGACTGTCACAGTCCTCATGCTCTGGAAGACTTAAATCTTCACGTTTGATGGTAAGGCAGCACTCACAGTACTTCTCTGGAGCCATTCCCAACAAATTCAATCTATCAACAACTTCAGTCTGAGAAGACCATATCTTCAATAAGCTTTCATCCATTTCGAGCCTGTTATCAGCTGGCTCAATTCCTCTTACCGTGAATGAATGAGACTCGGAATTGTCGAACCTCTTTGTTCGGTGATTAGATCATATTCCATAAATATTGGCAAGGGCTTAAAGTGCAGCCGTATTGACGTAGCGATAGTTACTCGCCTTCAACATACGTGAGACTTTTCTGTTCCTTTTGTTGTCTGTCTTGGGTCTCTAGATTCGTATCCGATGATCAAGAAGTATATCATTTTACTGTAGATCATGACGTTGAAGGACAGGAAGATCAGTCCCCGCTGGTCACAATGCACGAGGTCAAATAGAAAGCACTTGCAGCATACCTCATATGCATTGAGTATGAAGGAAGTTGTACCTAATCCTCGATATTAGAGGTGTACTTTTGTCCTTACCAGCAGTGTACGAGTCATGCGGGGAAATGCAATGTATCGAAAGTAGACTCGCCTAATGTCCCCCATTCTGCAAAAAGAGAGTGTGGGGGGTATGCTTCAGCGTATAGATAGCACTCTTCAAAGAATTCGTTGAGTTCTTACAAATATGACTACCCTAGCCCCGAAGATCCAAGTATCTAAAATCGCCCTAGGAAATCAAGAAAGACAGAAAACAATCGCTTTAATCGGCTTTTCGCTTTTCACTAGATAAGATAATTCATAACACATTGTAGAAGAGATAATACATGATCTGTCGTGGGACATTGGGTCTGCTCGTTAATACCTCGTCTTTTGACCATCAGTATCAGAAGTTGTTTACAGGAACACAGAAAGGTTCAAATGAAAAAGATATCAGCTGACAGATCCCACGGAACATTCTGAGTCGGTTTCATCATAGAGAAAGTGGAAAGGTCCCATAGTGAGACAGACCATCATTTCATGAAATCATGCCACACAGTCATGGCCCGTTAAAATGGACACGACATCATCCAACGCTGACCCCTCGGCGCTGTCCTCGCATTCTTTGTTCTCGCCGTCGACTATACGGAGCACAATATGGCTCATCTGATGAACCTATGTTTGCCCTAACGGGTTCTTGTGATCGATGATACGCAGGGCTGGACGGCGGCGGCGGCAGCTGCATCACTTTGAACTGGTCAACACTGATGATGCGCAAGCGGTAAAGATACTGCATCAGCTCAAAATCCGGTCGGCTTCCGGCTAGAGTCTGGCCCTGCTGATAGTGTGCTACATCGACGTGGTCGAGCATACGATCCCATCCTTTCTGTTCGGGAGTGTCGCTGAACCGCTCGCCTGGACATAGGGGACATCGGGCTGTTTGCGGGGGTTCGTGCGTGCGGAAGTGACTCAGGATATGGGTCTTCCATTGCTCGACATCGTCGAACGTGTTGTGGCAATCTAAGATATAAAACAGACAGATATATGAGTGATGATATTGACGAGCGGGCCGGGGTGACGGGACGACGAGAGCGCCCGTTCCATCGTCTTCCAGGATCTCATGACCGGCGAGACCCTCCGCCCATCTCGTGTCCAGGGAAACGCTTGATGACGAGGATGATGCGGATGCAGCGTCGCTCGATAAAGACGGAACGGCCGTGGAGGACGGCATCGTTTCGGCGACAGTTTCACTTCCACCACTACAAACACCCCTCGTACTTGATACGTCTGCGGCCAGACGTAAGCCGCCTGGCTCGGAAGAGAACAATGAGCTCTGACGATCAACGGCACCAGGCGAACACCTTGATACGACACGATCAGAAAAAGGAACGGAACGATCCTGTTCCCACATGCTTAGTCTTGTGAGCAGCGAGTGAGAAAGCAGCAGCATCGGTCATTAATTTAGTAGTTTTGCAACCGCACTACCAAACCCCATGCATCAAAGCGGGGCAACAGAAATTGAAAGGAAAGGGTTGGTGGGGGAAAGAGGCCATCATATTACCTTTTATTCTAGGCCATGATAGACAAACATACCCTCTGTGCTACCGGTTTATTTGATGTGGTGGAGAAGTTGTGATTTGGTCTAAATCTCATATGAGGGAGAATCTGGTGGGGGTTTGGATAACAGCCAGATGCTTGCTTTTTGTCTATCATGACAAATTTATTAACTTGTCAGTTTTCTACTCTTATCATCTTTCAACACTTGGCTGGAGCCACGTCCACGGTTGAGAGAACGCCCTTGAAACAACAATGGCAATGATTAGGGTGTTCAAAGGGCGCTAGCTAATATTCGCTTTGCCTCTTTTTTACTTTTGCTTTTCCTGTCCGGACCTTCTTAGGCGTGCTCTTTTCCGATGGACTGGTCCATTACTTACATTGCATGTCGCCTGACCATAAAGTATCATTCGTCAATGAATCTATCGCAGTGAATTGGGTTTCAGATCAACAGTCAGTGTAATGACTGTCTTGGACAAAGAATTTAGGTAAAGTGATGGGAGAGGCAATCATCCAACATCAGTCACTTCTATAATGCTATCTTTCAGTGGTGGATTGAAACTTTTATTTATTGTTTGGAGAACCCTCTCGTCCTGCTCGAGGTCTAGATCGAAGCGAAAATGGACATGATCGAAATGAAATGTATATCAGCAATTATCGGAGGACTCAGCCTCGGAGAGGAGAAGACAAAGTAAACAGTAGCTGTAGAGCAAGATCCTCTTGGGATGATGAAGCAAATCAGGTTTATAGGATAAGAAAGGTATTTTTCAAGACTGGGAGCAAAAGGGGAGAATGAAACAAGAAAAGTCACAGGATATCCCACCCGTCTATCAGCAAGGACGCCTCGCAAAATGTACTCAAACAAAGTAGACAAAAAGGAAAAGCCAGTCACCCTACACCAATGATGCCCATGAACCACACATTTTAAATGCACACAAAGTCTATTCGTTTCGTAGCGCGTTTGGCAGTCACAAAAGTTTTGTTGAGCCAAGGAATTTTATACATTGAAATGATTTCGCAGCGATGGTCGGCTAGAAACGTTCTGCCAGATCGCCACCTGCGACGGAATTATTCGTTGACGAAGTGACAGACGTAAATCCGGCGGCAGGGTTAAGCATATCCTGCACAGCGACCTTGGGAACCTGAGGAACAGGCAGTTTGCGTTGGGTTCCATCGGGTCTTGACATGATATCGCTGATAGTGGGACCGACGTGGGACTGGCTAGGACTGTAGTAGTTAGGGCCATCCGGTTGAGGCTCCATTGGAGCAAGAGCAGGTGTATGATGGAGTGATAGATGGCGAATTGAAGGAAGATGAAGTTCACTGGCTCCCAGTGGTCTCAAACGTGGCGAATGAGCGGGAGTTGCTAAGGGAGTGTGATCTGGGGTAGGGGAGAGAGAATCGTGGGAGAAAGTGGGAGAGGACGGAGCAGTCGAGTTCGGCGAGTTCGGCCTCGAGCGTTTGACGCGATGATGGTAGCCATCCTCGTCCTCGTGGGAGTGAGAACGGCTCATGCTGTGTGAAATAGCGTATGCGGAAAGAGAAGGCAAGCCTCGGCCGGAGTGGTGACGCGAGCTAAATAGATGGTTGCGTGGACCAGCGTGGAATCCAAAATGTTCATCACGCTCAACCTGAGATGCAGCCGTAGCAAGTAGGTTGATGTCCATTCCCGATGAGGCCCGCTCGCTGTTACGAGCGTAAGGTCCCAAGTTTGACCGCATATGACCAGCGTAGTTCGAGAAGGAGTGAGGGGGAGAGATATCCGGAGATCCAACTTGAGAGACAGGCGCGGAGCGGGTCATAGGCTTGTTTGGGGGAGGCATCATCGAGCCCGTGGTGTTAACCATTGGATTTTCTTGACCGGCAGCGGCAGCGGCAGCGGCAGCGGCCAGGTGCTGCGCCTTATTACTCCGTCTGGAGTTGGGGTTGTTGTGGATTCTCGAGTGGCGTGTCAGCTCATCAGAGCGACTGAATCGTTTTGTGCAGCCAGGGAACTGGCAGGCGTGCGGTTTTTCACCTGTATGTGTACGAATATGTCTGGTCTGGTGCTCCAGACGATGGAAGGCGCGGTCACAGAGGGGACACTTGTATGGTCGGGGGAGATCCTGGCGCGCTTCTTCCGTTGCAGGACGAGCACCCTTCATAAGGGGCGGCAGGAGGCTAACGGAGGAAGCCATGGTAGATTTGGACGGAGTACTAGACGGGGTAGAGGGACCTTTGGGACTGTCCACTGTCGTGGAAGGTGCAGATCCAATCTCGTTATTCTGAGGGTTAAGTAGATTTGTAAAATCCACTGAGGAAGCCGGCGGTGTCATGTGAAGCTCGTCCTAACCCAGCACCGAGGAGCGCAGCCGAAGGCGTGGACGGAGCCTGGAATTTAAAGAGCTCAGGAGGGCTGAAGAGCCGAGGCGAACTAGGATTCGTCGTAACAGGGGTAGGTAAATCGGAGAGTCGATCACCACCCGACGACACGGAGACTTGGTCTTGGCAAGAACTAATCGATGGAAGACCACAACGAGTATGTATCACAGGCCTTGCGAATCGTAGGTGGGATGATACGCGATGTAACCAATTTCAGGGAAGAAAGACTTTCCTAATGGAAGAACAATGTATGGAATGTGATAGGTAGGTGATAGGATAGGGGCTATCCGGAATTGGTATTGGCAATATAAGCAGGTGACCCGAGATAGATGTAGTCAAGCAATAAACTCTCGAAGGGGAGAGAGGGGAGAAGAAGAGGAATCTGGAGAATCGATCTGGGGATAGGAGAATATAAAGGAAAAACGGAAGAGGAACAGTGAGGAATGGAGGGGAAGAAGAGAGAAATGGAGCTTCGGGGGAGGGGAGAAAAGACAGGGCGAAGGTGGTAGAGGGGGGTTATCGGAATCGGAGACCTTGAAAAAAAAAAAAAAAGTGGGTGAAAAAAATTAAAATAAAAATAAAAATATTAAAATAAAAAAAACTATGTGCTAGTTGTATGTGTGGGGAGAAATATCGGGGGGGCAAAAAAAAAAGAAAAAGAAAAAGAAAAAAGAATAAAGAAAATTTTTTTTTTGGAAAAATTGGAAAAATTGAAAAAAAGAACGTGCTCAGTCCAGATCGGCTGCTTTGCTTGGAGATACACTGGATTACGGTGGGTGGGGAACACCATAATTATTTTATTATTGATTTATTCAATGGCATTTATTTCCCCTTATGCTTTTTAGCTTTCTTATCTCGATTTCCTACTAGTACTATTGTTGCATCACGAAAGACTATATTAGAAGTGCCCATGCATTTGTTGCCTAGAGAAGGCGTTTCGGGGCTTCTTCCGTGTCGTTCTTCGACCACGCACAGTGAGCAAAAGAAATCCCCCGCTACTACCAACAATTAATTATTTAGATTTATAAAAAAAAAGGTCCTGCCCGGGTTCGAACCGGGGTTACTGGAAGATTTCGAATCTGAGTCAACTGAAGAATTTGTTGTTAGTCTAAATCTAATTGGTTGTCGGAACGGAAGAACATACAATCCAGTGTGATGACCTCTACACTACAGAACCGAATCCGTTGCGAATTTGAAACTATTTTAAATTAGTAGCCTACTTTTGTATTGCCTTTCCGGTACTACCTACAGATGAGCAAGGACCTTCAAAAAAGATTGAGAGTTATTTTAATTTAAAAAGGGTTGACTGAAGTCTGAAGAAAAGTGATTGTTTAAAAAATATATATATATAAAAAAGGCAATGTGGGGCGAACTAGGGCCGATACGGATTTAGGGAGTAGACACTGGAACTGAAGAAGTGGCTGTGTGATCTGGAGAAGTGCGTGCGTGCCCCGTATTGCTGAAATGTACGGTAAAGTAGTAAGAAACGAGCAGGCCGTAACGGGACTCCCGGGCCGGCTATCGCGGATGATGGGGGAGAATGCTCCGTTGACCAAGCGCGGTGGAGGGAATTGCGGAATGAAATTGAATAATGAGAAATACGATAGCTTCACTATTCCCCATGTGATGAAGTAAAGTACCTTTTGTCATATGAGTCTACCACACTGATCGGAGGTATTCCCAAAGGGATTGACACTAAACCAATCCAGTAATAAAAATAAATAAAAGGATAAATTAAATTCATTTAAATATGGAAACTTCACAAGAACACAAAACAGAACAATAAAAAAAAGGGAAAAAAGGGGGACAAGACGGGGCACAATGATAACATTTGGAGTGATGATAATGGAATGAGGTGATGACGCCTTTCCGAGGAATGCTGGGTGTGCATTTTTTGGTCTGCCCCAGCATGTCTGGGGCATACCTGGGGAAAGGCTGTTCGATAGAACATCAAAACTGTCGGTCCAGACCAGTTGATCGACCATTCCACATGAATGGTTGGATACTAAGTTAAGTCAATATTTGCAGGGAGGTACAAGATTGTCGAATGAAAGGATTTCCATTGTCGCGGGTGTGATGGATTCAGCCGATCATAGGCGCTGATGATATCAAAAAGCTCTAACAAGATGCGCGGTGTCCCAAGTCATACGATGGGCGAGATCCAATACTTCATCATTCATCATCGGTCCAGACGGCCTGATGAGGCTGTTGGCGCAACCACTGGCTGAACTGGAGTCCACGAAAATTAGCCGGGATGATGCCCCGGGGTGGGTAATGTAATGAACAATTGTGAAAGCAGCATATCGGTGTGTCATGAGTCACGACGGAGAATCTTTGAGGACCGCTGCCCTACTTTCGAGGAAATCACGAACCAAGGTTAGGGCAAAGATCAGTCCTTGCCCAGGCAATTGGCAATTCAAGTCATTTTTTGTCTTGGAAGAGTCGATCCATCATGTTGCGCCCGAAAAAGGTTTTGCCCGGTGTTCCCAATTAGGAAACATGATGTGATCGCTGACAGGAAAAGTAAAGTAAAGTAAGCCTCAGTCAGCCATAAGGCGCCAAATACTTGAGTCTAGGTAGGCGGACTAGACCCTACGTTCCAGTTCCTTTTTTCTCTAATTAGCCGGAGTCGTGACGTCTCTGCAGACAACCCATCGGGTCAAAATAACCGTTACATAACACTGCTGATAATTCTGTCAGCCTTTCCAACTAATATTAGAGTTCCTATCTCCTAAAGAGCTGTCTGTCTTCCACGTTTCATAAGCCAAGCAACAACCCGAAGGAACAAAGAAAAGTCAAGAAGAGAAAGGAGAATTAATTATTCATTATCCGGGAAATGAACTCCGCCATCCCCAGATCCACTGCTCGGAATGATTTCCCCAGATGGTGAGGTTCCTCTATTTTCTTAATGACTAGCATATCCATTGTTGATAAGGGGGTTATGGACTTCATCACTGGCTACAGTATTATTTTTTTTACTCGCCACTAGACTATTGTCTCAATTTGGAGATACTAGAACAACCTCAGCACGGTCATGGTTCTTCTTCCGATGAACCTGGGGAACCTGAGAAGCCAAGACCCCCAAAGCCAAGCCCACTCTGGATAAAGAAAGATACGGTGTCCGGCAACGCAACTCCAACTAGTCTGACTGCAGGTTGAATTGTAGGGCGCCGCCACAAATATCATTATTCTAGGCACCATGATACCATTATTAATGTTTAAAGTATATTAATTACTATAGAGATTACGTATGAGGACTTTTAGCGTGTCTGGGGAAGCATGGCCGGGGATTCTTTGTGTCTGTGTTCATTCTGGCCTTTAGCTTTCAACAATGAACGTCATAATGTAAGGGTTATTCTTCTGTAGCGAGGGTCCAGAAGGTTGACAAAAAAAAGAAACGCAATTTAGCAGTTAATAGGAGTCCGACAAAATGGACAACATGCACGAAGCCGTCTCAAGTCACTTTCTAGTGGTCGATCACTAAGTTTCACCCCGCGCTGGCAAGGGGGCTTTCCCCTTGTAAAGTAAACAAGGCAATTTTATCAAATAGAGACTGCTAAACATTGATGATAATCATTATCATTTATGTATAATATTTTCACATGGTACATGAAAGGAATGTTCTGATTTGGCCGGATTCTCCTCGGGCGTACACAGTACTACACAATGTCGACTACAGCAGATGCGTAATCAACTCCCACTATCCTGGCCCATTATGCGTCCATATCCAAGAGTAGAGCTCTGATGTTATCATGGAAATGTCCCTAAGCGGGGAAAGCAACGGGCGCCTCCACCCGTCCACCGAGAGATATCACGGGATGCTCTTTACATTTCCGATAGGATAAAGTCGGCTGTTGAGTTTCTGCGATCAGCAGATGTTACATTGTGACCCTGATAGGAGTTCGCTCCCTCTATGGCCCAGAGGTTCCTGGGACTAAGGAAGCGTCGTGACGAGATTCTCATAGATTAAAAAGGAGGGGATGGGTAGCTAATAAGATCTCCCAGATAAGGGTGTCAAAAGTACCCTTGACTTGGGAATACGAGTAATTTGAAAGGGTGTAGGAAGGTGTACGCACATACAGCAACAGGTGGACATTCACCTGGTGGCTGCACATGACATACCAACATAAACTTGGCCAATATTCTTGGGGGGGGGGGGAATAATAATTATATTTTTGGTTGGTATTGATCACCCTTATCTTTCTTTCCCTTGTTTTCTGAGTGAACAAGTTCAGTATACTTCTCTGTATCTTGAAGCCACCTGGGAATGATATTCTAGCACCTGATACCGATCCGGGTGCCGAAAATTCCCAGCGCTCTATTTGCACAGGGGCTCTCAATATCACCCCACCATCGGTGACTCGCAAGGTTGGGGAATGGTGGAACAAATGGGGTACACAGTGGAGTTGACACGCAGGTACCAGTACCCAGTACGTAATAGTGCTTTCATCACTTTAATAAGGTCAACACGTAAGTGACTTGGGGTTTCATGTAAACACATGTATTGTCTCGCAAGTCTCACAAGTGTCAGAGGTGTTGGCAGGCTCACATATTTTCTTTTTTTTTTCCCGCGTTTTGCCGAACAATTGCTTTTGCATAGCCACGAGTTGATTTCGGTCACTTTCACTATGGTTAGTTATTATTGATAATTTCATTACCAATGAGTTTAGTAAAATATGGAAAGGTTAGCTAACAAGCCATGACGCGCTGGCTACTAATACTTGGGGTCGCTCGGACGAGGGCTGGGGCAGCAGCTGTCACGAGCTTCAGAGACGGCTACTGACTGGTGGCCAAGTCGGTGTCGGTAGAATCCAAGCCGGTGAGCCGATTCCATCTACTAATCAGACAAAAGTTGATACCTTGGGGGTACGGCGTACAAGCCCCCATCTTCACGATCTTAGACAGTGAGAGACTGGTGGCGGAAGTCTTAGACAAAGAATTGCTTGGGAAAAGAAAGAAAGAAAATCAGATCCACTAGGGGAAGCCTCCTCACGTCGCATATGCACAGTACTCCGGTACCCTAACATGTTATCGAGAAGATCACAGAGCAGATTGGAAAATGTTTATGATCCTTTTTAGATCATTGATTCTCTTTTTCTACACGTTAGAAATGACCTTCTTCTTTCGTCTTCCTTGTAACCGCTAGGAACTGGGCGGGAAGTTCTTCTGACGATGATCTTCCCCGCGATGATCACTGGTGGTGATCTACACACAGATTTATGGTCACCCCCATTTTAAACGATCGCCCGGTCTTAGGGTTATGGAATCGGTATCGTTTTCGCATTCTAGTATTTACTCCCGCTTCACACCGAACCCTATCCCACATTGATTGCCAAGCAGTGATGGCCCCATATCTTGGAAGTGCGGGATGAGAAGATTGTCGCCAATATATCTGCAAGTTGCCTACCGGTGGGAGCTGAACAATTAGATTAAAATCTTTCTCCCTGCATCCATATTGATGATCATTTAGGCGCCAAGTTCTCACTGGAAGCCGACTATCGGTGGGTCATTACTACAACCTCACAGGTTTATTCCCTCGTCTCTCATCAGGCGATTTTTCTACCCCACCCTGAGATAAGAGAATCCTTCCTCGGTACCACCGTTGTTTACGTATGTACAAGCCACTATCAGTCAAAAGGAAGACACTAACCCATATCGGGGACCAATCTGCGGAGCATATGTCGAGCACATCATCCCGGGGAGGAGGGCTTCGATCAGCCTCGATCCATTAAGTTTTTTCTAAATGCGCCCAATAAGAATAATAATAACCTCATATATTAAGAGGCCAACATCGCTGGGGTATTTAAATACTCTTCTTTCAGACCTCCGACCTCGAAGTAGGGCTGTATCGATCTAATGGATGTGCAACACATCCCGCGGTGACTAAAGACGTTGATCCAGTCCAGACCAAATGTCGCAGAAATCACCCCATGTCTATGAACAAGCAACTAGGATATAGCGTATGCACAGCTGAGGGGAACTGGAGATCATTTCATTGACCAACCGCTTCGTCGGTGTGTGGGGGTTGGAAAAAAAAGAACGAAAAAGAAAAAGAAAAAAGATTTTCCGACATTATACGTGTCGGTGTCTCTGTTCTCTTCTCATTCTTTTCTTTCGTTTTCTTTTCTTTTCTGATTGAGTTTTCTTCTTCAACCACCACAATGTTCCAATTACGAGATATAATCTGACGCTGAAATTGGGTAACATAAATTTGCTATGCTCCTTGCACGGGCGCTCAGCTCTCTCGCTTACTTCTAGATAAATCTCCACCTAGAAAGGCAGAGATAGGCGGTCTTAGTGACGATCGTTGAGGTTACTCTAGTTTGGGCAAATCTGAAGAAGCAATTCCATTCAGCTTTGGATGGACATTTTCTTAAAGCAGAATGTGGTAATGCTATGATACCAACATTACCCCGGAAGGATTTAGAACGAATATAATTTTTTGAGTCTGGGGGTGATTAAAAAGAAATTATTTTTCTTTTCTTTTTCTATGTTTTGGCGCCTTAGCCTCTGTTTAACCCCACACTGCGGTCTTGCAGTTGCATTAGGAATTGACTGAGGTTACACAAGAATTCGACAGCAACTTCATGGAGAACCTCCCGCCCTGGTCATGGTGGTTGTGCGATTGAGTGTTACGATAATCTTTTGCCAAGAATAAATCTAAGGAGTATCATGACGTGCTAGATGGAGAACAATTGACAATGCTACCTCATATATCAAAGCCTTGTTTTTGTTTCCTATACGCCAGACCCATCAATAATTGCGTTTGGTTACGGACATGTACATACGCGTGACTGGTGGAAGCACTGCTACTAAGCATATATCAAGCGCTTACTTAACCCTCAAATGGGGAAATCCGTCACGCAACATCCCGTTACAACCTCAATCTAGCATATTGCGACTCCTTGATCGCCGTTTATAAGCGCCAATGACCAGGGTAACATGATGGGTGCTTGGCGAATATGTGCGGGGATGAAATCCGGGGAAGTAGTATATCACATAGACACTTGGGGACCAGATACGACCCTAAAAGCGTGCGACTAGGGATTTGTATGCAGGGAATGCTTATCCATCGAGCATTGTTGGTTCTGCGGCCGTAGAGGCCATTGAACTTTCGAATCCCTCAGATAGGGCGTTGCGAAATATAGTATTACCCACGTATTATTGATGCATGCAACGCTGTAACGGATTGCAGTCATGCAAACACCACGACCGGCCCGGTGGTAATCCCACGCACCAACAGCCCCCCACAGGGCGCCAAGGCTATCGATCTGGGGGCCCACAAGCTTCTGGAAGGAGATTTCAGCCAGTCATCTTCTACAAACCGTATCACGCTGATATCACCAATTCCCAGGCTCACAGCCACCGCCCCCAGGTTATGCGGGGCCGCTCTTCCGAAATCCGGACACTGCTGTTGTTTCGTTACACTTTCGTGAGTTCCCTGGAACAACCAGTCCGGCCATTTGACGTCGTCATTGGTGGAATTCTGCATATCGTGTTCCTTATCAGCGACGGACTTTTCCCTTGATTAGAAGAGCTTCAAGTTCAGGCTAAGTTGGATGATACCTTATCCATTATCTGGGGATGAGAGATACGGAGTACGATGATCCTAAGTGGGTAAGGTAACCCCAAAGGTCCTTGATTTTACCTCCGTACCTTACCTAAGTAGTATAGTCCAAAAAATACCATCCTGAATTGATGGAAAAGGGAGTGAGAGGGAAATCACCGAAGTTTTCCCACTTATTGGTGCCTACAATAGCCGGAGCCTGCTGGCACAGCTTTGATAATTTTCTTTCTCTCCTGACTATTGATTATTAATTTTTTTCATTATTTTTTTCTCCTACCCCTAGATTTTTAACGGTTACTCCGAATTATGGCAATTGTTGCTGATGTCTGGGGGAGGCTTGGCGTCCACCTCCGTTGGCCGATGACACGTCGCCTGAAGAGAAGGAAGGTAAAGCGATCAGGACGGTACTAATCACTAGCACTCCGTATTTGGATAGTACTATCGCCAAATTCTACACCATAGATACCATGTGCCTTATCTCCGCGTTTTCACACTTCACAGGAGAGGGCTTTTGTGTTTTTTTTTTTTTTTTTTTTTTATTGTCACGGGTGACACTGACAAGTGCTAATTAAACACATGTTTTTAGCAAGGTACTAGCGTCACTAGAGTCAAAGCTTGGGGGAAATGGAATGGAGAATGCGAACGAAAGCATGGAGCTTCCCCTGAATCCTGGTCCAATTTTCTCCATGTTCTAACGATTTAAAAAGGGGGGAGGAGGGATGTTAATCTATTGGGTAGGTCTGTATCTCTCCTTTTGATTTGTATGATACCTGAGCTTCTCCAGAGTCCATTCAGGTACACACGTAGCTAGTGTGAGATAGCTCGTGATAGCAATGCCAATCACATGTTGGAATCACAATATCTGGAGTTTTGTTTATCCTTTTTCTTTTGTATTTTTAATCATCCCGGTAGACGACCTAATTGTAGGTCTACATTCCGTATTTATTTTCTAGAGATTATCTTTAAAAATTTTTTTTTTTTTTGGTACGGTGATTGGGGATATGTCGTGGAGTTTAGGTAACTTTTCCTGTTAGACGCCCTGAATTAGGTACCATTCGATATTTGATACCTATCGAACAGTTGTATCGTACACTGTGGCACAGTAAGTAAAGGTGTTATGTTCTGACCGCTATAGCGGGGCAATAAGCCAAGGGGGGTAAACAAGTGAAGAAATAATAATAATCATAATAAAATTCAAATAGAAAGGGACCACAATCACGCCGCCGGAAGATGGCCGGATTGCGTCATGAAAAATGATTTGCAGCTAATTCAGGAGTCGAGACGATGGGCCTGCTTTAGTGGCGCGCACTGCCGTCTTTCTAGATGACAATCTCCCGTCCGGAGAGGTGGTTGGATAAGCTGATTGGATCTCTCCCTCATAGCCTTCGGTACTAGTAGAACTTCAGATCAAGAAACGCAGAGGAGCTATCCAGCAATAGGATAGTGGTATGGGGTTTTACAATTGTCATGCAATGTTTGGATAATTACTAGTTGATTAGATATGCCACGTAGTAAGTAAAAGAATTTCCTAATGAAAAAAAAAGTTGACCATTAGTGAATTGGAAAAAAGAGAGTGATCTGAAACTGGAAGAAGCGAAAAAAAAGAGTTGGCAGTCCAGAACTCTTCTCTCACGAACAAAAGCCGGAGGCAAAAAATACTACCTGCAAGAGTGATACGGTCCATCGGATGATTTCGGGGGAATGCCGGACTATCTTCCCTCTGGGGCGGTCTTGCGAAAGGAGTTTTATCAGCGGATTGCGGAGAAATTCCTTACCTAAGGGCCTTAATGGACCGCCAGAGAGTGTCACTAAGAGTTTTCCCCTCCTCTCCAGACCCCAAATGGTTCCTCGGTGAAGTTTCTTTCCCCTCATCGTCGTCTCTTCCACACTAGTACAGTAGGTGCTCCGTGTCAGAAAAAAATTTTTCTCTACCCGTCCCCATCACTCCATACTGAATGGACTCCGGGCGTAAGGCTTACTATTCACCCACTGAGGCAATTTTTCCTCGGCATCCCCGAACCGAGTCAATTCCTCTTGTTAGCCCTCTGCCGAGTCTATCCCGAATCCCGTGGTGGCCTGAGACCGATTGACTGGAGCCCTTCCTTTTCAAGGCTTGCCCTGAGATTTGCCCAGTGGTTGGGTTTTCTCTTTTGGGTAATGTTGTAACTTTTTTTCCTTTCCTTTTCTATTCTATTACGATATCGATTATCAATCAGTGAGGCTGTCAACATTATGCTATTGTCCCTCGGCATTTCACCATGGATACTATCCGACTTTTGATGGGTACCAAAGTTTTTTATTTTGCGAAGCCTGATTTTTTCTTTGCTTTGCTTCTCTACGGAGTCCCGTTTCAACTTTCTTCTTGAGGACTGGTTAACGTTGGTTATAGCGGTGAGCCTGTGAAGGTGGGATGGGGAGAAAAAATTTTTTGGCTCCCTTGACGCTAGAAAATGTTGATTTATGGTTATCTCCATTTAGCGTTTCTTTTTCTTTTTTTTCCACCCTCTTTCTAGACCCATCGGATCTAATAGTTGGGGTAAATCTATACCAAGACCTGACTGATCCATGTCTATTAGGGCTCAAAGAGGCCTTTTCAATCACATGTCTTGATCGAAGCACGTGAAGGGGAATACCCTTAACAGCTCTGCTTGTAGTAGTCAAGTTTTTGCCTTATGCTACCCCTCGGCATTGACAAGAACTTGTGATAGAAAGAACTCTAGTGTGCCGAGTGTTCAGTATTCATTGCTTTTAGATTCTCATTGGCATAACTACGACTGCTCCGCTTGTTGTTTACGTCCTGACACCTCTCCCCATACATGCTGGCTATGTATTGTCAGTGTCTGGTAAGTAAAGCGGATTTTATACTGTGATTATACAGTTATACAATACTTTTGAAATTATCGATGAGTAGAGGCCACATACCTATCTATCACGGTAGCGTTCCATGTGCCTTTGTATATATATTCTGAAGCAACTCATATGCAATACAACCAGCCATATATCCAACCCGCGTGGATTGAAGTTATGGAACAAGTTGACCTGCATTATGCTAGTATGTGCTCTATTTTAGTTATTCAAATACCACTCATTTTTGTATAGTATCATGGTAGGAAAGACGGTGAGCTATTAGCTTCCCTGATGACTATGTGGTTGGTAATCGCGTGACCCGCTGATCCAGAAAAAGGGTATCATTCCTCCAGATATTATATAGCTGTTGTCGCTCAGACAACTACCAAATGACTAGATACTTCCAAGGTTGTTTATGCCTAACATGGATCCCTCAGTATTTCATACTTAATCGTCCAACTTCGATGTTGTTTGATGCGCACGACTTCCCAGTTAATGCGCAGCATCCTTTGAGTGCCTTGAGGATATGGCCGCACTCATGCGCCGGGCCGATCAACTATAGCAAAGAACCACAGAGTTTAGAGCTGTTTCCCACAAAATCATCCTGACTGCTGTGTACGACTATATACTCGGTAATATTGCCGAATGCAGAAATGATGTCGTCGCGCTTCTACGATTCTGCCGCGTCTGCCCGCTTTCCCGATAGCCTCCAAAGTTTCTTTTTCATGCTTTGCTTATAGCCTACAATGACCGTCTCTCGGATACTGCTTAGCTCTACCGACAATTGTGGCTAGGATTTCCTGATTGAACTTGCCATTCTTTCACGGGCCCTCAATCGGCCCGGCTATCTTTTATCTCCCTTGTCCGCTCTTGTGTCCTCAGCTGTCATCATGGCTCCCCCGCGACAGCGTGCGACTGCCGTTCAAGACGACTCTCGATCCGAAGGCTCTAGTACTGCAAGAGAGCATAAGTCTGGTACTGGAAAGGGTCGCAAAGCGACCAATAGTTCCGCGGTGGTAAATACTGTCGCGAATGTCAAGATTTCTGCCAATGTCGCCAATGTCACTAGTGCCCCCATGGGGAATGGCGACCAGCCGGACAATCAGCCCAAGGTAAGTTGCTTTCAGCTAAAACACTTCGAGTAATTGCTGCCTACATCAGCACTACTTTGTAAACCGACTCTACAATCTTTTCTTGCCAACATTGACTTTTTCTCCCGCAGATCCATTGGTCCGAGATGCCCCTCGAATTCCTCCACTCCTACCGACATGCCTATAAAATATCTTCACCCAGCGCCTTTCCCACCGAATACTCCCAGCTCCTCCTCTCCAAAGGAATTGGCCTCCTATCCCCAACCTCTATCGCTGCCCAACGGGCCCATCTCCGTCAAAACCAGGACACGAACGGATCTCACAGCAACACCAAGAAAGCCCACCGCCCCCACATCACAAGCCCCAATGGCACCACCACCAGAAATGGCCTACCTGGACATAATTCCAAACATGCAGGCACAAGTGACGGAAAGAATGCCCTAAACCACATTATCGGACAAGACCGTGTGAGCAAGAACCAGCTTGCGCTCACCATTCGCAAACATTTCAATAGTGCCGGCCTTGCGGAGCAAGAAGCTATTGCCCGATTTCTGTACAAAGTTCGAGAAGAAGGAAGAGGCAGACAATTCCGCCTAAGATTTCAACCTTAAAAACATCTGCTTGCGGCTTTGCCTTTTATCGGTTGTGACATCGGCGCTTCGGGATTTTTTCTTTGCTTTTTCTTCATACATCCGGGGCCCGACTCTTGGCTCTTTTTATTTCCTTCCCTCGTTTCCTACGTCACTACCTATGTACAATACACCACGGTTTCGGAAGCATTTCTGCCAGAATTGGTCTTCTTTATTTTGTACTAAACCCCTCCTCACATGATACCCACTGGCGCAGACTGCTTGCTTTGTTTTTTACTCTTTATCTTTCTTTCCTTGTCTTTGATACAAAGATACACTGTACTATTGATCCCCAAACCCTGTGGAAAAGGATACGGCCACAAAGCCTGTCTGATAAGTATTATACCTTCGATTGGCAGATTTTCGCTCGGGTCTAATGGTTCGGTCTATGTTTCTTCTTGGATGTTGGGATACTCTCCCTTTCTTGGCTCTAGGTCCCTTATTCACTACGTCATGTATAATACTGGAGTTATGGGATCCACTGTACTTTTGTCTTGGTTGGTCCGACTTGCCTTTCTGGGTCGAGATATAATAGAGGAATTTCTCGCTGCATTTGGGTAATATTGCTTCAAATGAGTGCATAATTGCATTTAATTTATCAGAACTTATGTATATACAAACATACATTGGGCTTCGAGACAACTAGATCTTGCTGGACAAGAATACTGCAAGGATGACTGAACATAACGTGAATAAATAGCATTAGCGCATATAATCAGTGAAGGAGTAGACGTAACGCCTGAATGCAAATGTTCAGTCCATAAGTCTATCATACTTCATAATTCCATCGCCGCATGGCACCCATTATTTCCATGCGTTGAGACCAGCCCAAGGATCAGCTGAGGAGGGTGCGGGCTGGTTTTGCGACTGTGATGATTGCGACTGTGCTTTGTGATGCTGGCTCGAGCCGTGCGGTCGGGTTTGAGCGTACCCACCAGGACCAGACGGAAAGGGTCCCGTGGATGAAGGATACGTAGCTTGCTGGGGACGCGGTGGCGGGGGAGGAGGGACGTATCCCTGGGGCATAAATTGAGAGGGAGCGGTGGGTGGGGTTGGATTAGAGTAGCCGCTGTACGGGGTAGGTGTTGACGAGAAGTATTGCTGAGTGGGAGGGGGAGAGGCGGATGCGGGAAATGGATAAGCCATGGGATTGTAGCTCTCAGTTAACGGCGCTGCTGCGCCCTGTTGGAAGGGCTGCCCCGGTACGTACGATGCGCCTGTCCCTGGGCTCATGTATTGGCTATAAGGTGCTGGAGAATGAGAGAGGGGGACACCATGTGACTGTCCTGCGACGGGAGGATAACGCGGTGACATCTTTGGGGAAGATATCCCAGGACCCGGATAGCCGGGTGTCTGGACGGGAGGTGGAGGAGACTTGACCTTTGAGGGAACCCCCGAAGATGAGGAGGAAGGAGACGGCTTAGGCTCTGTAGAGAGACGCTCCATCAACTGCCTAAGTTTTTCCCGTTCGCGGTCCTCCTGTTCTGACGCATTGGTCGCCTTCTCGCGTTCAATCTGGCCTAGAAGTTGGGCGCCTTCAGACCTCCGATTGTTGATGAAAGTCTCCACATTCTTCTTCAGACTTTCTACCGTCTCACTCATTTCAGTGTAGAAGGTCTGCGCTTGCCTGATGCCTGATAGCAGACCGTTGAACGAGTCGTATACCTTTTTGTATCGTGCCATGACCGCATTTCTTTGACGGTTTATGCTTTCATATTTCGACTGCTCGGCTCGCACTCGCTTGTCCTGCAGCAAGTCGCCATAAATTTTAGTGAGCTCCTTCATTAGCGAGGCTTGTTTATGGTTGGCTTGAAGCAGTCGGTTTTGATGAGGACGGAACTTTTCCAATTCTGCTTCAAAAAGCTGCGCCTCCTGCCCAGCAATGGACTTTTTGTTCAGTATCAGTACGTTTGATATGTCATCATTGTGAACCTGGTAGCATTAAGTCAGCCTGAGCGAAGGTTGAATAGTCTGGGCATATGCATACCTTCTCTTTGAGGTCCTTTAGAACCTGGGACCGTTCTCGTTTGAGCAGATTCAATTTCTTCAGAATCGACTCAACCATGGCAATCTGTTCTGCTACCGTGCGACTCCCCTCGTCGTAAACATCGTCTATCAGGCTTCCTTCCGAAGTTGGTGCGTAGGGGCTACCGTGGCCATTCTTGCCTTTGCCAAACTTAGACCCAGCCTTGATCATGGCCCGCTGAAACAGTACATCGGCCTCATCTGTTTCTCCCGCAGACCGCATCTCGTCAAAGTCTGCCTCGTATTGTCGGAATGTAGAGAGAAGCTGGGAGTCGCTAGCACTGGCTTCATTGATGGTGTCACGGTATGTCCGTACATCACCACGTAGCGTTGTATTGAGTCTTGCGCTAGGCTGCTGACTCCAGTCCGGCCCGTACTTAGAGCGCATCTTTTCACATACACTTTCCTCCAGATCAAGCTGCTTAGAGCACTGCTCTAGCTGAGCTAGCACTTCTGATTTGCGCTCTTGCAAACTGTCAAAGGCTTTAGTGAAAGACTGATGTCCTGCAAGTTCTTGACACCATCGTCGGAACTCATCATCAACCACCATTTCCTGGTCCATACCGCCCTTGAGGACGTTCAAGCTTCCAGGTAATTTCAGGTAATCTAAACTCGCGGCCATTTCACCATTCGCGGTTTCGACTTTCTCTGTTTCCGCCCGAATCAACTTAGCCTTCTCCTCATCATAGAGGCTGGCTGTTTCCGTAACAGACATAGGTACGAGTTTCTGGAAGATATCCGGTCCGATGATACGCTGGATATCCTGGCCCTGATAGAGTTCGCTGACTGGAATAGCTTTTGCTGCAGGCAGCTTTGCAACAGCAGACAGGCCAGCTTCGTTCGGGACCGGTTGGTGGTATATAAAATCGTTGTCTTTGGAAAATGTCAAGAGCTTGGCCTGGACAGTTGCAAGGTGATATTTGATGATATCCAATAGATTGGACCCAGACTCGGCGCTCAGGTTTGAATTGGGAGGTACGGATGATGGGAACGACTTGGCCCACCCCAATGCAGCGGTTGAGTTCTTCTCAGCTAACTGAAGCCTAGCAATGGCCACACCATGCGATCCACTCTCACTGTCAGCCAAGGCTTGATAATAAGACGCCACCGAGGTCATATGTGCCGCTTTGGCTTGAACCACTATCACCCAGACCTTCTCAAAGACACCCTTGGCATACTCTTGCATCCCCTCCACTGCCTGTGAGTATAGATAGGCTGCTTGGCTGGCGAGTTTTGCAAGAAACCCAGCCTTCTTATCGTCAGCCACTTGTTTCTCGAGGAAGACTTCTTGACCCTGACCCAGGGTGACATTGATTAAAGTCTTGACAGTCTCCCTGTTCAGGTCGGTCGACGGCGCGTGTAGAAAGTTCTCATTGATATAGGTGAACATTCCCGCCGCTGCCTGGAAGGAGTGGTAGGCAGTTTTCAAGCCCGCATCCTCTGCGCGGTTCTGATCCGCAGCATGACAGGATAGAACAGCAGATATATTGAAAATTATCGAGGCCTTCTCGAAGGCTAGGGAGTACTGAGAGGTGGGTTTATGTGTGAAAGCGTCGTACCTGTGACGAGACCATAGATGTCAGGAGGCCGAGGTAACAAGAAGAAAGGGGAGATCAGAAAGTCCAAACACATACCAAGTGAAGGATATTTTGATGTGATTCTCATCGACAGGAAACCTGAGATCTAAGAGCTCTAGCTGTCCATAATACCGATACAGCAAGTCGCGCCCTGTCGCGCTGTCTTTCCCCGCGCCCCTCATATCCTGTCGCAAGCGGTTGAGCGTTGCGCATTCTTGGCCGTACCTTTCCGGGTCTTCACCATAGCTTTGGCGGATGTAGTCTTTGAGAGGCCGGATCCAATCAATTTCGTTGGTCTGCTTCAGCGGACATGAGATCATCGGTGACTGAACCATCGTGTAGGTCGGAAGGAGCGGGGAGCTCCCATCCAAACACGGAGAAAAAGCAATAGAGGCGATCCGGAGGAATAAAGGCGAGGAAGGAGCTGGGTGGGCTTGCGCGGTGGAAGACGGAGGGGAGGATTATCGGTAATGGAGAGCTGTGGGGTAAAGCAGGCAAGAAGTCAACAAGGTTAGCGGTACGTACTAGCTGAGGGTCGTTAGCCAAGAGTAGTGGGGACACTGGGGATAAAGGTAGGTGATCCGGACCCAGGTGATAATTAGAAATGTAGCAGATGCAAAGGACTTGAGATAAGTGGTTGTAGCTGACAGAAAGGTTGGAAGGTTTAATTTACAAGTTCATGACGCTGTGGCCCATTCGACTCCTCAGGCGCCAACATGGCTGAATAACCGGCCCCCGTGTGGCATCGTATGTGTCTATGCCTGATTTCGCTGGCACACATTTCAAGTACCTGTATATATAAAAGAAAGTGGAGATGTCTTCGTCCGTCAGGTCTAATTATACATACATACACAGTCCCAGCCTCTCTATTGACACACAACCGCTTTTGAAACGGTTGAAAGGAACGCATACACAAAAACATCCTAACTCTCGTAAATGGCAAACCCCTAATCTCGCCGGCGCTATGATATTTCCCAAAACAAATACGTGGTGAAAACATGATCCTGAAGAAGTGCATTGAAGCTTTAAATATAAATGTGTCACTGGACCTCCTTTCAGTTCGACTTCTTTTCGCCGTCGTTCTTTTTGGTGTCGCCTGATTCCTTCTTGCTCGATTCTTCCGAGTTCTCGCAATTATTCACGAGTCTGTGCCAGGCGGACTTGAGGAAACCTTCATTTTTGGGGTTTCCGGCGGAAGTATCCGTTCCAGATGGTGGGCTGTAATCTCGTCAGTACTAGTAGCAAGCAACACTATTCAACATCACGCAACTTACCCGTCCTTGTCAATATTCATGACACGCTTGGCCGTCTTGTCACCCATCTCATCCGCAAGGACTTCAAGGATAGTCCGCTGATTGCCTGTTAAGTACTTCGGCATGGCAACCTTGAATTCGACCTTCAGGTCGCCGGTAGGGCTGAAGCGACTCGAACGAGCACTGAGCTTTTTCATACCCATTCCGGACAGCGTAACCTTATCGCCGGTACCAGTACCCGTGGCAACCTTGATCTTAACCTCTCCGTCTAGGGTTGGCACGGTGACTTCACCACCCAGGAGGGCAGTCGTGAGGGGGATCTGAGCCGTATAGAGAATATCAGAACCGGAACGGCTGAATCGTTGGTCAGGAGCGACCCGAATGGATACGTAAAGGTCGCCTCGTTGCGTGCGAGATCCAGGAGCGGCAGAGGTTCCGGTGGGTGGTGCATCTCCCTCATTGCTTACTCGCAAGCGCATGCCATCCTCTACACCACCTGGAATGTCAACCTGGACAGTTTTCTTGTCCCTAACCACGCCATTGCCATTGCACGGGCCACACTCCGAGCCCCTCGGCACAGTAAGACCTGCACCCCCACAGGCATCACAAGTGGCTGCCACCTGGAAGCCTCCCTGCATGAAATGCACCCGAGTACCAGAGCCATTGCATTGACGGCACTGAGTACGCTTTGCGCCTTTCTTCAAACCGTCACCGTTACATGTACCACATGGAGTCAGGGGCGTGATGACTATGTCTTTCGTTGTACCCTTTGCGGCTTCCATAAAAGAGATGTTGGTCTGGACCTCAATATCTTCGCCTACTAGAATCTCTTGGAACGGGCCCCGCCGTCCTCGACCGGAACGACGTGCGCCACCTGTGAAAGCGCCGAAGAGATCTTCAAAATTGATATCTGCTGAAAAGCCGCCAGGGAAGCCACCGCCAAAGCCAGCACCAAAGCCGTGGAAGCCACCGGCGCCAGCAAACGGATTACCACCGGCTGCGTTGGGATCGAAACCACCGTTCTGGTCGAACGCTGCCGAACCAAACCGGTCATAATTTTCACGCTTCTTGGGATCGGAAAGTAACTCGTAAGCTGTCTGAGCCTCGGCGAACTTTTCCTTGGCATTCGGTTCCTTGTTCGTGTCCGGGTGGTATTTCTTTGCCATTCCATAGTACGCCTTCTTGATGTCGCCCGCGGACGCATTTTTTTCCACACCTAGGACTTTGTATGGGTCGGCAATAGCGGAAAGGGGGGCACTAGTATGAAATATCTATACATGCCAGAAGCGAGGTCAGCCATAGCTGGGGACGGGCATGTTTTCGAGATAACTCACCCTTGACGAGGGAAACACAGATTGCTTCTTATTGGATCCACCGCATCGCACCCGTTTATCAGTTGAAGAGGTTGGTGAGACATGGTAGGCCCGCGTCTGAGCCGATGGTCGAACGCTGGTTGCTGGGCTCTTTGAGTATTGTCGCGAAGTCCGGAGTAAACGGGCGGGAAGAGCCGCGGCCTTTGGCATTGCGGCAGAAGTAGCGCTCATGTTGTAAAATGAATGTGCACCAACCCAACGAACGGAGTGAAGCAGAATGGAGAAGGGATCTTTTGAAATCAATGGTGTTGATTTCGAAAAATCCGAGCACGTCCAATGACCGTTTTAAGCCGAGTTTTGCCGCCTCCTGATATGGAGAAACTTAGAAGCTTCGAGTCGTTCCGCTCGAAAAAGTTTCCCGACCGGAGAAACGATGTACCGGGTCGATGATGATGAAAGGCTTCTTGCTTCAGTAATCAATCACTCTACCTCCCAATTAGTTGCTGTCCGACGCTTGCTCCTAAAGCCTCTCCTTTCCCTTCCTCTTACTTATCTCCCTGTGAGGGCTCTTACAATTTTTTTTATCTTCTGTACTTATATAATTTTTTTCCTCCCTAATTCTTCCCTCCTACATATTCGCAGCTACATTATAGCATGCTCCGCGGCCAGGCCCTCCCCTGGAGAGCTGCGCTCCACCAGACACCGCGTCCATTAATTGTTCGGCCTTTGCTCGCATCTCCGAGATACAATGCTAGTGCTCGGTCGATTCTAATCTCCTCGCGCCTCTCCCGCTCTCTCCCTCCCTCTCGTACCTTCTCTTCAAGCTCCATTCGGCGAAGAGAGAAACCCCCACCCGGAGACGAAAAGGAAGCTTCGGATCAGAAAGAGCAGAAGGAAAAGAACGAAGAGAAGGATATTGACCGTACTACTGAGCCTCGACGAAGAGTAGTTGATCAGTCAGGGAAGCATGGCTCCTCAACAGAATCCGGAGCTCCGACAGTGGGATCTACAAAACGGAGAGAGAAACAGGCCGCGGACAAAGAACAGCAGGCATTGGAGGATGAAAAGAAGGACAATAACGTAGCTGAAGGCAGAGGTAACTCCAACGAGTCACCGTCTCCTATTCCTGTCAATGGCGGCTCGTCGGATTCCAAGCCTAGTGGCGCAAACAACGGAGGTAATGAAGATGGGGGGAAGAAGGGTAAGAAGGGCTCTGGTGAAAAGGCTTTGCAAAAGCCTTCCGTTCCAGACATATACCCCCAGGTTATGGCCATCCCCATCGCGAAGCGCCCGCTATTCCCGGGATTTTACAAAGCTATCACTATCCGAGACCCGAACGTGGCAATGGCTATTCAGGACATGATGAAGCGAGGACAGCCTTATGTCGGAGCTTTCTTATTCAAGGATGAGAACGCTGATGGCGACGTAATCGAAAATCTTGACGACGTGTACGACGTTGGGGTGTTCGCTCAGATTACCGCTGCCTATCCCCTTCGTGGAGAATCTAGTGGTGTGACAGCTGTGCTTTATCCTCATCGCCGCATCAAGGTCTCCTCCCTGTTGCCACCAAACGACTCGACAAAGTCTCCAGCAGCGGAAGATAAGCCAGTCGAAAAGCGGGGGGATGTTGTAGCCAGCTTTGAAGAGGGGACTCAAGAACTCGCACCCAAGGATCACTACGAACCTACATCATTCTTACGGAAGTATCCAGTCAGCTTGGTCAATGTAGAGAACCTGGCAGAAGAGCCTTATGATAAGAAGAGCGCCCTTATTCGTGCAGTGACAAGTGAGATTGTCAATGTCTGCAAGGAAATTGCTGGTCTGAATCCCCTTTTCCGTGACCAAATTTCTGCATTTTACACCGATCAGTTCCCTGGAAACTTGAGCGATGAGCCAGCTAAATTGGCCGATTTTGCAGCTGCTGTTTCTGCGGGCGAACTGCATGAGATGCAAGAGGTCCTTGAGATAATGAACATTGAGGAGAGACTTCCCAAGGCATTGGTTGTACTGAAGAAGGAGTTAATGAACGCGCAACTTCAGTCGAAGATTTCAAAGGATGTGGAGGCTAAAATCCAGAAGCGACAGCGCGAGTACTGGTTAATGGAGCAGATGAAGGGTATTAAGAGGGAGTTGGGTATTGAATCCGATGGTAAGGATAAGCTTGTTGAAAAATTTAAAGAGAAAGCGGAGAAGCTTGCCATGCCAGAGGCTGTTAAGAAAGTATTCGACGAGGAAATCAATAAATTGGCGCACTTGGAACCAGCTGCTTCCGAATTCAACGTCACTCGCAACTATCTCGACTGGTTGACTCAGATTCCTTGGGGCCAGAAGAGCGTCGAGAACTTCGGTATTCAGCACGCCACAAGTGTTCTGGATGAAGATCACTATGGCTTGAAGGATGTTAAGGACCGTATTCTTGAGTTCATCGCTGTCGGAAAGCTTCGCGGGACAGTGGAAGGAAAGATTCTCTGCCTTGTGGGACCGCCCGGTGTTGGAAAGACCAGTATTGGAAAGTCAATTGCCCGGGCTCTGAACAGGCAATACTACCGCTTTTCTGTTGGAGGCTTGACAGATGTTGCAGAAATCAAGGGTCATCGCAGGACCTATGTTGGTGCCCTCCCCGGACGCATCATCCAAGCTCTCAAGAAGTGTCAGACGGAAAACCCTCTGATTTTGATTGACGAAATAGACAAGATTGGACGTGGCCACCAAGGAGACCCATCTTCTGCACTCCTCGAACTTCTCGACCCAGAACAGAACTCCTCCTTTTTGGACCACTACATGGATGTTCCTGTGGACTTGTCTAAGGTTCTCTTTGTTTGCACGGCTAATGTCACCGATACAATTCCCCGTCCTTTACTGGATCGAATGGAGCTTATTGAGCTTTCGGGATATGTTGCGGATGAGAAGATGGCTATCGCTCAGCGCTACCTTGCTCCTGCTGCTAGGGAATTGACGGGCCTGAAGGAAGTCGACGTAACCCTGAAAGAGGAAGCTATTGAGGAGCTCATCAAGTCTTACTGCCGTGAAAGTGGTGTCCGGAACCTCAAGAAGCAAATTGAGAAAGTTTATCGAAAGGCCGCGTTCAAGATCGTCCGTGATCTTGGAGAGGACGTGCTCGCTGAGGACAAGGCTCTTACCGATGAGGGAAAGGCTGCACAAGAGGAGTCGAAGAAAGAAGGCGAGTCTGGTGACTCTATTCACTCCTCTGCCGAAGCAACAACTGAAACACCTCGTGTTGCTCTGAAAGTTCCTGAGAGTGTGCAGCTTAGCATCGGCAAGGACAGCTTGACCGACTACGTTGGACCTCCGGTTTTCACCTCTGACAGACTGTATGAGACCTTCCCAGCCGGTGTTACAATGGGCCTTGCTTGGACTAGCATGGGAGGCGCTGCTTTGTATGTCGAATCGATCTTGGAGAACGCTCTGACTCCCGAGTCCCGACCGGGTATCGAGATTACCGGCAACCTGCAAAATGTGATGAAAGAATCTTCCCAAATTGCGTACTCCTTTGCCAAGTCGGTGCTGGCTAAGCAGTTCCCCGAGAACAAATTCTTTGAGAAGGCAAGGCTTCACATGCATTGTCCGGAGGGTGCTGTACCGAAGGATGGTAAGTTGTTTCTTTGCGTGGCTTCCCATAGCTGTGGCTAATAGAATTAGGTCCGTCTGCTGGTATTACAATGGCATCATCTTTGCTATCCTTAGCGCTGGACCATTCTCTTGCCCCAACAATTGCCATGACTGGAGAACTGACGGTGACTGGCAAAGTCTTGCGTATCGGTGGTTTGCGTGAGAAGACCGTTGCTGCTCGTCGTGCTGGTGCCACGAATATCATCTTCCCTGCGGACAATATGTCAGATTGGCTGGAGCTACCTGAGGTGAGTAATTGGTCCTTGTGTTTTGATCTTTTATTCGCGATCTAACAATCTTCCCTAGAACATCAAAGAAGGCATCGAAGGCCATCCTGTGGGCTGGTATTCGGAGGTGTTTGACTTACTTTTTACCGGTCTAGACAAGAACGCAGCCAACCACGTCTGGCAGAAGCAGCTCGCGAAGACGTCCGAAGACAAGTCGACTAAAGACCATGAGGACGATGACTGAGTTGGTTCGCCGGCGCTCTTTATCTACTTTGGTATATACTACGCTTGTCATGGCACCTTGCTGTTTTATTTCTGGTCACGTATAGGCGTTGTATCGCGGAATGCATGGTCGGAGTTCTCGTTCCTTTTGCTTTGGTTTTGATTTATTGATGTATCATTGAAAGGTTTGTAGTTGAACTGTGTTGGGTCTTAGCCTTGGATGCGATAGAAGCGATTTCCTCGGGTATAAAATCGGGTGAAACGGCTATGATAAAGTCCGCACAACGACCACTCACTCCACTCTGATTGAGGTGAATTGGATGCCATCATCTCTTGTATGTATTTTTTATGTATACATATTTTTGTATATATATATATCTCATTTATGATGTATGGCAGTCATATTAAACATCTAATGAGATAGAGAAACGATGGTATGGATTTGTTAGTACAGTACACACATAGCAGACGTGACCTCTATATTTGCCGTCTTTTAACACCCTTTGAGTACTCTATAAATGTTTTGAGATCTGACTCTACGAGCTGCAAGCAAATACCTATAATCTTCCGCCCAAAGGGTACAAGATCAGAGGTACGTGGATTCCCACGACAAAGCCGGACATCCGGAATCTATCATAGGGCTGTACTAGAAACAACTGCTAGCGACACGGCCAATTGACGATGCAAATCTACTAGCACCCTTTCTCTAACATAAACTACAGTAAGGATACAGTAGGGTACGCCTTGGAAGTTGGGCCTTGACCCCGACAACGACGTGTCCAAACCTTAGCATACAATGAATCTTCCAGACCATGGAACAGACAACAGCCCTGTCATTTCTTGGAAACGGGTCTGCCGGGTTCCATAAGACGCTCATCCGAGTTGGACAGCCAGGTCAGTAACCGCCATCTATAGGTTACGGGGGTAGAAATCCCATGCGTATCTGGCGCTAACCACTGTTGTGACAGCGGACCAAATCTCAATGTTTCGGAGGCCGTGTACGGATTATCCTGCTACTCGACAGCTAAAGGGGGTTGTTTCTCGACCGGGAAGCCATTGGGTGGCCCCCAAACGGCCAAATTGGTTGCCATCTGGCGCTGGGTTTTGTACCTGATCGAATGATTGCTAACCTTGCAAGGGGGGGAGAATACGGGCGGGGGCTTGTTGGTGATACTGGATGTGTTACGGAGGGCTAGCTACCTTGTTCTAAAATCCAGGGCTAAAGGCTTGGTTCGGTTACTTTTGACATTGGGTATCCGGTATGGTTTGGGTGATGTCGATGGTTGTACGGAATTCAAGAGGTATTCGATGTGGTATAGGATTGTGGTGGTAGGGGTCTTTGGGTTTTGATGGCTGATAAGAGCATATTGAGGTCGCCTCTGGGGGTTTGATGTGAGTTTTGAATGATAGATTCTGATATACATGAAAGTTATCTGCATATCTGTACAGGGTTCCGGGAGAGAAAGGTACGGTTACAGAGCTTTGTCTTACGTTTGCTGTGTATGCTGCTTAGAATGTGAAGACATTTGGACAGATGTGGAGGGTCAGAAGGCACATATTGCTTTTTGCATGTACTACCGAGAACGCATAGTAGATCCCAAGGTGTCTGCATGGCAGTCTAATCTCAGAGGCGGGCATCTAATTCGATGAACTAGAAAGGGGCTTACTTAATTCGCCAGTCATTATAGTCTCTGCTTTGCCACCTCATGTGCTCGGAGAATTTCTAGTGGAGTCGAGACAACAATCTTGCATCTACTGTAGGCTATGTTGGATAGTTTCCAGCTGCACCTCCCGACCTGATAGGTATCCAGACCGCTTGCTGGTGGTACAAAAAGTCCCCAATACGTTGGTATTTGGACCAAGGAACAACACTGATAGCGTATAGGGGTCTCTGTATCACCAGGAATGTTGATGGATATGATGGCACTTTCAAAAGATCTTTTTCATTATGACGCAGACGTAAGGTGGCGGTCCACGCAGGAGATAACATCTGGCATAATGCAGTTGTATGATTGAATGGCTCGATTTGCTTTCACTGCTAGTTAGCTTTTCGATGCCCCAACATTGATTATCGGCATGATGTGAACCGAGCCGCGTATTGTCAAATGAAATGTTGTTATGACATCATTCTAAACTTGTGTGGCGTAATGCTGGTACCTGAGACGAAGCATCGATTGGAAATAAACGTGTTTTGGGTGATCAAGGGATAGACGTTCCCAAGACCATTCCAGGTGCAATAACGTGGGCTTTGAAGATCGTATACAAGACGGTTTGGTTCCGCTACCCACTTCTCTTTGATATGGGACTAAAAGTGGCAAATCCCACTTAGATTTGCTCTTGAAGTTGGCCATGTTCTACCAGACTCCACGCTCTGTGGAATTGAGTCTGAGTTGCGGTTAGTGTCGGGCGTCCATTGCCTTACAGTTCAGATCAGAAGATACCTAGGTACAGTATATAATGCCATGTCAGGTGACAGCCTCCAGTGACTAGAACAGGAAAGGAAGTTGGCTCCATTTGAACTCGACGTTACGGTTGAACAGGATTTAGTAGACAACCGTCTGGAGCTGGGTGACGAATCAACATCTGGGGCTTATCTTTCGAACAACATTCTCGAGGACACGTTCGAAGGTGCCGACAACTGGATGAAGGCTGATGATGCCATGCCAATGCAGGTGTCCCAAAGAAGAACGTGGGCTGGGGGGATCCTCAATTCTCCGCGAGGCATCTTTAACTGTCTGTTCTCCATGATCAGATTTCTGTCCGCGTCAGGACTGTTCATCCTGTCAGATTATTCCCGGATGTCTTCTGAAGAAGTGAGTGTCGACTATGAGAATGCATTGCATTGCAGCTTTGCTACCCATAGGCGTCCATTGCAGTCGTGCAAAGTGTCCCAAGGCTTGTTTGATTAATATCAATTCTCGTAAGCGGGATGCGATAGAACCTGGAAAGAGAGGAAACAGGTATGAAACGTGACATCGTTCATGCAACAGTTGTCCGGTATCTCTCGGGAGGAACGTGACCTCCAATTATAAGGGTCCTCTTCTGGAGACTGGTGGTCGAGTGAGGTAGCAGGAAGGTGATTGGATGCATTGCGGGGGGTTGAGTTGTTCTACGGGAGCATCACTTTGAAAAAAAAACAAATATGCTGAGACAGACTACCACGATTTGCTACGGACTACTTACTCAATACTAGTTCATAGTCTATGTACAGTAATATGCTTTTGGCAGGTTAAATGTTTTAATCGTAGAGTGCTTGATATGTGGGACTCACCAGATGAGATGTAGAGGGAGTAAGTAATATGGGGTGAGAACTTATTCTATCTGACAGCGTGGCCCGGCTAAATATCTCTCCATATTGGCGGTTAGAGCGACACGCCCGGCTAGTGGGATGTATGTATGCATTGTAGTATTCATCGTCCAGAGCAGGCGAGAATAATCAAACACAGATGAAGCCCATCGCATTGACGAAGACCATTGGCGCCACCTCATAAAAGAAAGCTATGGGTGGACCGCACATTTGGTGAGCAGGAACAGGACTTCGAGAAGAGCCTGGGCTGTGCATCTGCAGTAGTGGGATTGCGTTGATTTGATTGATATTATAGTTATGGTTATTCCTATAAATCGACGTGCTAATTTAGTAGGGTTATCGGGGTTTTTTAGTGTTAACTAACGTGACCATATGCATAGGATCTAGTGAATATGCTAAAATGTCCAAGGGTGGAACAGAAACTATACTGAGGTCTTTTGATAGGGCTGACATTACCGAAAGTGGTAGTCGTCGTGTACCCTAACCCCAGAGTTATGGTCGAAATGATGATATGATAGATAGAGTCTTTTGAGCCGCCATGTCAGATCGATGTGAGTCCTTTTAATATCATGACGTATTAGGAATAGGAATGAAATACTCCCTCGTAGTAATCAACACTCTCGTACCCTGAATATAGCGGTCAATATTATGGTCTCATGCTTGCCAACCGATGACTGGGATGGTTCAGGCACTGTCAGGCCGCAGTGCATCTCCACTTTGGTCTTGTCTCTCATTAGAGGCTTCATGGATTCGATCGGAAAGTAAGGGGATTTGATTTGTGCATGAGATTTCTTCCACAGAGTTTCCATTGGGTATTCTAACTGTGATTCCCTCCTCTCTCCCACCCCCCTTTTTTTGGTAGTAGTAGATGGTTTGTTGTTGGCAATTCCTCTTGTTGCGGTGTTGGTGGGCGGTGAAGTAAGTATTGGAATCCGTTAGGTACCGATTCCAATACATGGTATCAAAAAGCAAAAGCATGGCACTTAAACAAATTAAATGCACCGTTTAAAACCTCCAACAACTTCAAAACAACCCAAACCCAACCACCACTCTAAGCCTTGCAGCTGGGCAACACTCAACTCTGTCGATCAATTGATGACTTACTTTGTTCCCATCTCCTCATCTCCCCCTCTTGTCTGTCTGTTCTGTATCTACCTACTATCTATTTATCAATAAATCAATCAATCAATTACTCTCTCATCTATACTCCCCAATGAACATCTTATCATTGTTACTGTCCTGATCAGTGACCCCGACGTGCGACCAGTGGGACTCTGAGACCAAATCCTGGACAACAATAACAACCTAAAGTCACTCACCGACTTCTGGAGAAAGACGCTCTGATTTACATTTCTTTTTCTTATTTTATCTCGTTTTTATTTTTCACTTTTACGGACTACTCTATTTTTATAATCATTTTCCACTCCCCCTTCGTTCCATACTCTCTTTTTTCTTGGTTTTCCAATTAGGCCGTGTCAATTCGAGCCGCCCCTTTAATAAGATTTTTTTCCCTCTTCCCCTTAGTCCAAGCGAAACAATCCCACACTACTGACTCAAGAGTGAATCCGTCTCAACTCTTATGGACATCGCCGTTTTAGCCACCGGGGTGTCTTACTCAGTCCTTGCACGACCTCAAACCAGCCATCGTGCCGTGCCGTATGGCCATCTCTATCGCCGACAGTTCTTGTAGCCCGACTAGGTCCTTGGGTCTTTTACTGGATCCAGAGAAGACTGACCATCCTCGTCCCAAACAGAGCATGTGGCATCGCTTTGGTTTGCGCAGATGGCTGGGCCGTGATGATCGGGACTCTACCTCTCAGTCCACTGCGGGGGGCGCTTCTTTCCCCAGTCATCACAAAAATAACGCCAATGAGTCTAGTAATGCCAACTCCGGCAACTCCAAACCTCATGATAACCTCACTCGCAAACTCTCGAGAAAGGTCGGTGTCGGTCTTCCCAGGTCCACCACGTTTAAGAGGCAGAATTCCGAGCGTCGTGATAATCTAGCACCCCTTGAGCCAGAGCCCCGTCGTGCCGCTTCCGCCGACCGTCCTCGCACACTGAGCGCCCAGCGGACCAGGAGCCGGTCTCCACCGCCCGCCGTCGACCCCAGATTGTCCGCACCCGAGGTTTCCTGGCACGACCCAGATGAGACCACGGTTGAAGAGCCCCCGGAAGCGAATGAGGACAGCGATCTCCGCTCCGAATGGGACCCCTATCCTGGCGTGGCGGAAGCACCCGAGGAGCCGCCCGAAGATATACTCGAGATGGAGCTGGAAAAACGATGGATTTTGAATTTGAGCATGCACTTCCGAGACCGGTCCGAGCGTGAAAAATTTTTCGTCACATATGCAGAAGCCCCCAATCGATGGCGAAGGGTTACCATCTCTTGCGATTACCGGGGCGCCCTTCCCGATTCGCTTGAGCAAGATCTAAAGGAACTGCGCTACCAACGAGACAAATGCGCCCGGATTTATGAATCAATCCGCGAGTCACTTTTCGAAATCCAATTCTATGACACGGTAACGAATCTGAAATTGGAAACCCGGGATGGCCGCTTGCACGTCCATGTAACCGAAGACGTTAACGAAATCATCCCATATCCCCCTGTCTCCTGTATTGGCCACTTGCCAGAGGCTCGACTCATTCGCGAAGATCAATTGCACTTCGAGGCGCACTTGTCGGGATTTGTGTATAACGTACGGTTGGATGGAAAACCTTATATTAAAAAGGAGATCCCCGGGCCCGACACGGTGGATGAGTTTTTATATGAGATCAACGCGCTTCATGCATTGCAAGGCATCCCGAACGTCGTTCAGGTAGAAGGGGTTGTTGTCGATTACGACGAAGCAGTAGTCAAGGGTCTGCTCCTCAGCTTTGCTGAGAAAGGAGCATTAGTCGACATTCTGTACGAGCACCGAGGGACAATCTCATGGGAACGCCGGGAGCGCTGGGCTAGGCAGATTGTCCGAGGTCTGTGTGAAATCCACGAAGCTGGCTATGTGCAGGGTGATTTTACCTTGTCTAATATCGTGGTGGATGCCAATGACGATGCCCAGATTATTGATATCAATCGACGGGGCTGCCCCGTGGGGTGGGAGCCCCCCGAGATTGCCGCGAAGATTGAAAGCAATCAGCGTATTTCCATGTATATCGGAGTCAAGACAGATATTTACCAGCTAGGAATGACGCTATGGGCGCTGGCAATGGAAGAAGATGAGCCCGAACGGCAACCACGCCCGTTACTACTGGGCCCGGACGTGGACATTCCGGATTATTATCGAAGTCTCGTGGCTGTGTGCTTGAGTTCAAGGCCTCGGGACCGGCTATCAGCCAAGGAGCTTCTGAGTTTCTTTCCCCGCGAGTCTGCGCTAACGGAGCAGCCGCCTCCCTTGATGTATCCGCGACATGGGATAGGGCTGTACAATGGCGCTCTGCCATTATATAATCACCGAGTCATTGCGGCTCCAGGAGCATTTTTAAATCACCATGCTGGGCCAGTAGATAGCACAGGGTTGCATCTCAGTGTCCCATTATCGCCGGACGACGGATACGCCCAGCAATGTCTTGATTCCAATCCACCACTTACAGGGTTTGAGGAGGAAGAATTACGAGGCAGGGCAAGGGAAAGACGAGATAGCAAACCCTTAATACCCAGCATTGGATTGGGGTCACACAGCTTGGGAAACCATATAGATTTAATGCCATCTGCCGCTTCAGTATCGTTTCAGAGGAGTTTGGAGGGCCACCAGCTAGCTCAAGAAAGCGAAGAAAGCGAGTTTGATCTAGACGCGGGTCTTGATCCTCACTATCGGGACCTCTCTTTAAATCGAGCAGCAAGCTTATTGCCATTGGAGGCCGACACTTTATCTGGGTCACTTGCAGGCATTGGCAGTCATCCAGCCTGCTTCTTTAGATCAAGCTCCGCAAAACAGTTGTCGCCGGACTCTGCGAATTGCGGAGAATCCCCTCTGTCTGCGGCGACCCAATCTACCGATCCGTATGCAGGAACTGTGCCAGACTTAGGCCATGCAATGATCCGCGATCAAGACTGGTCTAGTCAGATGCCTTCACGCTCGGTGTCCTCCCTCTTACATTCTATACTACCTATCAATCCTGCCCTTGGCTTGTCAGAACCCAAAATGATGGAGGGAAATCCGGAGCGCTTTTCTCCATTAACTGTTCGGTCAGCACTAGGATACCCTCGGCAGGTTCTCCAGAATACGCCTTACCTGAGCGACTCGCACCTACCCATAAACCCAGCATTTACAGACAAAACCCTTAACCCTATATGACGGGGCAATTAACGTCACTTTAGGGTGAATTTTGTGATACACAAAAAGAACGCCCGCTTCTTACGACAGAATCAGGTTGCTATTGTGATTTGTGGTCCCGAGTATGGGGCTGAGCAGTGCGCGATACCCATTTTTCTAGCTGTACAGATACCTATTTGGCGTGGCTTGTTGATTTCATGATTTGAAACTGCAAGACAGCGAGCATTACGGCGAAACTGGAGTTAGCATTTGGTTTTGGGGTTTTTTTATTCTTTTTCAGCTTCGTTCTCTTGTCTTTGCTATAAAATTCTCGGGTCGAACCCACTTCATCTTTCTTGAAAAGCAATATCTTATTTCTCTTTTTCCTCACAAATGATTTGATGACATACACTTGGTTGGATTCCTCGTTATTGAAAGATGTTTATGTATATTGATTGATGCCGATAAATTTTCATGGCCGTGGCTGTATTAATTCAATAAAGATTTGGTATGTTCATTTCTCGGATTAGATATTCTAAAGCTGGCAGCTTTTACTGATGCATTCATTCAACTCGGTAGAGGTAGCTGTACCAAAAAGGAAGTGCTATATGAGACTATTCGACTCTTTCTCATTCACCATGACTTCGTTGATTCAGATCATCATCACCGTAACCTAGAGCCCCAGCACTCTATATCATGCAATTCACTTCGCCATATCCAACCTTGTATTCTATTCTTGCGCATATACTACTCAACTCCTCCCTAAAAACGCCTCGAAGCTCTTCTGCCACGGCTGAGCGTCCGGTCCAATTCCCCGGCCAATAAGAACAATCTTACATTGCTTCGGACCTTCATCAGACGAAGTTGGCTCGGCATCCCGAATTTCGAATACGTCTCGAACAGCCTGAATGATCCTGCTGGATCCGTCCTCGGTGATCAATACGCCTTTTAGGCGGTGAATATCAAAATCAGAGGGATGAGGCTGAGACTGTATTCCAGACTGGACAGGTGGGAGATCAGCATCCCAAAGAACGGAGCGGAGCCATGCGTCTACGCGGGGAATCTTCTCAGACGAGATGGGAGGTGTCGTTATTGCTATTGTAGAGATGGCCTGGTATAGCCGGTTAGTTTCTCGGTAAACGACTAGATCGAGAACGACTTACCGGATCAATATGGCTATGTCCCTTCTCCCCGAAATCCAGACTAGCCAAGTGATCGTAGGCATGTAGATCCAATACAACCCCTTCAATCTGTGGTGTCTGGCTGTGATCCGTTACATGGATCTTGGCGACACTGTTAATGGCCTGCACTCGTTCTTGGACTCTCTTGAGTTCCTCCGATGTGACGAGATCAGCCTTATTCAGGATAATCACATCCGCATGTGATATCTGCATGTGAGCCATGGATAGTACGGGACCTGAATGAGTATGACCATGGTCCTGTTCCTTTTCGTGGTTGGGCACTGTTTCCTCGGGGGTTGGCTCATCTAGGAGATGCAGGATATTCTTTGCATCGACAAGTGTGACGATTCCATCTAGATAGATCGAACTGCCGAGGTTATCATCGACCCAGAATACGGGTGCGATATTGCCTGGGTCTGCGAGACCTGTTGTTTCTAGTAGAATGTAGTCAAAGGTTCCCCGGCGTTCCATGAGAGATTCGATGGCCATTACGCCAGAGTCTCTGTTTAATTTGGTCAGCCATGAAAGGGCACAGATTACGACATGTACTCACTTGACAGAACAGCAGATGCAGCCATTTCCAACTTCCATCCACTCGGTGACTTCTTGACCATCTTGGTTGACCGTCAAAGGCTTTTCGATGTCCGTGGCTTAATCATGAATTAGTTTGGGCACTAGATTTCCTGCGGTTTACAGTGTGTCCATTCTATATGACTTACAGTCTCCAAATTCTACAATAAATACTCTTTAGTGATGGTCACATGACAGATCTCGAGAACGAACCATTCATTATCACGGCGATCTTCTTGCCATGCTTTTCAGTGAGAATGTAATTTAACAAAGTCGTCTTTCCTGCGCCAAGGTACCCTTAACATACTGTCAGCCCGGAGTCCTCAGAGGGACATACAAAATATCATACCGGTTACAAGCGTGATAGGCACCCGACTTTCTGACGGTGCATTCGTGGCTATGGCGTTCGCCGCATCTTGAGTTTCCACGTTCGGAAGCTGAGAGACATCAACCAGCGCTGGAGGAGCTTCGTCGTCGTCTATATCTGCCATAGTGAAGAAAACAAAGCGTACCACGAGAGTATGGAGAGTACAGTAGAGGATATGATGGACGGAATGACGTTACCCAGAGGGGGTTAGCTAGGGCTTAGGGCACTACCAGTCATGAGCTCCGCGGTAACCTCTCCGTCCCATCGCCTCCTTCCAGAAGCTCCGCTTGGCCTAAGCGCCGCCTCCGTCTCCTTTAATGGCTTGCTTTTCTTTCCCTCATTTCTATCTTCTTTTCTTTTTTTTTTTTTTATTCACTCTCTTATTCTAAACTGTGATTTGTCCAGACATGGCCGCTGCGGGAGCTTCTCAGGCTAGCTCCCCGCGCCTACCCAGTCCTCCTCCGTTTACAGAAGTTCAGATCGGTCCCAAATCGCCATCGGTCGGCGAGTCGTTTGGTAAAGATGCAGAACAGCTGCTGGGAGCTTCCCATGGAGCCGATGAAGGGTCAACTCGGAGAATCCGGCCTGGGACCAAGTCTGTAGACATGGCAGTTGGTCCTCCATTGGTCCCTCTCTCCCAGGTATGTAAACAAAGAAGCTCGCGCCGCATCTCGGCTGACTAGGACCTTCCCAACAGCTCGATTCTTCCTTTCAGCTTCAAGAGCACCTCAAGGCGCTTTATAACCACTACACCAGACCTGAAGGGTCTAACACTGTAGTCCCGATCAATCGGGACGTTGCCATTCAGCTTGCAGAGCCCCCGGAGGGCGTTGACCGGTCGCTTTGGCTCTATGAACTTTGCCGCTTCCTGACGATGAAAGTTAACAATCTGATCATTGCATTCTTCGCCGAAAATCCTCCTTGCTCCGCACAGACATGTCCAGAGATGAGAGCATCGGAATGGCAGTATCTCTGTGCCGTTCACGATCCGCCGAAATCGTGCTGCGCGATCGATTATTCCTGCCACACCCTGGACTGGGCCACCAACATACTCACATCACCTAAGTACTTCCCTAGTCGTCTTACACTAGGCTCGGAGGCAGGTGGTGGCCCACAGGCGAGTATGAGACATTTGACCAACATCTTCCGTCGGCTCTATCGTATCTTCGCGCATGCGTGGTTCCAGCATCGGGAAGTGTTTTGGCAAGTTGAAGGTCACGATGGGCTGTATATCTTTTTCAAGGCGGTCTGTGATCTATACAGCCTGATACCCGAAGACAATTACACTGTTCCGGCTGAGGCGGAGGGCGCCGATCCCGTTCAACCGGCACAGGAGCAAATGGACGATCGCCGAATAACAATACTGCGAAAGGATAGCGGGAGCTCCTTGGTCGCGGCAATTGAGGAGCCACCGTCGGCAACCACTCGCCGCCACAAGAATACACCGTCAACGAGTTCTCGAGTTTCAACTGTCCGCGATGTGACGACTATCAGCGAAAGCGCCGAAGACGACGAGCAGCATTCCAAGCAACAAGAAACCGAAAAGCCAGTAGAACCGGCACAGAAGAAACCAGAACCACAACCTACTACAGAAGCTGTCAGTGAGAATCCTGAGGTGTCTACTGAACAGAATCCGGTCGATAGCGCCGAGTCACAAGTCACTGTTGCAGAAGTGCAAGAAGAAGAGGAGATGGGGGGGATGGTTCCCCAGGCAATCGAAGAACATCCTGAGAAAATCGAACCGGAGGAATCCAAGCCAGGCCCCGTGGGAGATATTGCACAAAGAGATGAGCCCGAAATAACCTCGCCCGGAGAGGCACCAAAATCGGTACCAGAGACTAAGCAGACAAACGAGCAGGAAGCCGAACCAGTATCCGAGCCGGCGAAAGAAACGTGAATTTTACATTCAACAGAGCCCCATGTTTTATTCCCTTCTGATGCCACGCCATGTGTCTATACTACGATTGTAATATGTCTTGCATCATATATCATGCCTCGCATTTACGACTTTATTCTTTCTTTCACTGACAAACTGAACGAGGGAGGTCGCTGATGTGTAATATATGATTTCGCGTATCTGAGTGATTAATGATACCCATTGCCTATATACTGGATTCGTAGCTGCTCGTAAGCCAAAAGTGTTCCGTGCTGTGCACTATAAATTTATTTATTGTTCGGATTTAATCTGTGGAGTCAACAATGACGCCGCCTCCAACTCCGACAATTCAAATACCCCAACTTTCTCCATAACCACAATTCGTCTCTCAGAACAAAACCCTTCAGCAAGAAGATCTACCTTTACATGCCCACCGAAAACCCCAGTTCCACCATGGCCCTCGCCCTCAAAGGGCCGATCCATTTCGGTCCATTCGTTGTCACATCCCAGGTAAGTCGTTAACTTCTGCCCTTTTCCTCCGCACCGACACTGCCATACACTCCTCCAAATCTCCCAAACATAATAACCCATAAATAAATTGTCAAAAAAAAAAAATACAGGTCTTCCATATAACCCCCCTCTCCTTCGCCCTCGTCAACCTCAAACCCATCTTGCCAGGCCACGTCCTCATCTCCCCGCGCCGCGTCGTCCCCCGCGTCTCAGACCTTACCCCCTCCGAAACAACCGATCTCTTCCTGGCCGTCCGCCGCGTAGGACGAATGGTCGAGCGCGTCTATGGCGCAAGTAGTTTGAACATTGCGGTGCAGGACGGGGTAGAGGCGGGACAGAGCGTGCCACATGTGCATGCTCATATCATTCCGAGGAAGAAGGCGGATCTGGATGCGAAGGGAGGTACAGATGCGGTTTATGATATGCTAGATGGGGAGGAGGGGGATTTGGGGGCACATTATCGGCTGCGGGATGGTGGGAGGAGGACGAGGTTTCCTGCGGTTGATAATGAGGAGAGGAGGCCGAGGGGTTTGAAGGAGATGGAGGATGAAGCGAGAATGTTGGCTAAGGAGATGGAGATGGAGCCAGTTGATTGACTGATTCCTGTTGTTTATGTATAGGGTTTGTAGAGTGATAGATGGGTTGACTCATTTGTTTATGCCTTGTTTTCGATACCTTTTTCTTTTTTTGCGGATTCTATCCTGGTTAGTGATTGACTCTTTACACTTTCCACTTGCAATGTGTATGTGACAAGACTCATCGATCGCCCGATGGTATCTATCTAGAGTATTCATGGGTCCAAACGCCTCCACCTGTCTAGTGGTATGTATGCAGCATGATAATAAGAGAAGAGAAACGAAACAAGAAAGAAAACAGATAACTCATTAGGCACCAACGCCATTAAACATAACCGGAAAGAATATCACCCTTATCCAATAATCCATGCTCTCATGCCTGTGTAGCCTTCTTCTTCCAGAAAGCCTCCCGCTCCTGCATCACTGTCGCCGCCCATTCCTTGATCTCAGGCAACTGAACGCGGCTAGCGACATGGCAGAACTCAGACAAATCAAGTTCGTGCGTACGCTCATATTCGAGCATCTGCAGAAGAAGCTCCATCTTATCGATATCGTGCACGTACTTGGCTTCTAGTGTCTCGTTGTCCTCGTACTCCTGGAACACCTTCAGAATTTCATCTCCAGTCAACATTCCACCGGGCACGCCTCCCAGCAGGTTCTTGGAGATGTAATTCATCACGTCAGCCTCACGACGGGCCTTCTCCTCCTTGTTCACGTTGTCCACCGGGGTAATGTCGCCTACGAGCGACTCTGCCATGTCGTGAATGAGGGCCATCTTCATGCAATGGGGCAGGTTCAGTCGCAGGGCGAGCGAAGGTGGGGCGAGCATTGTCATCACCGACATACGATACATATGGTCCGAAATAGATTCCCCTGTTGTGATGCCGAAGCGGCGCCAACCTTCCCGCTTGGTCGTTTTAAGCCTCTCGAGTAGGTGAAAGAAAGGGATAGGAGAAGCAGAGTTCTCCTCCGGGGGATTGGGTAGGGTCGCCAATACTGGTTCATCTTATCAGCTTCTGTTTATGGTTCCTGGGCATCATTGCAGAAATCCTCTTACCGGACTTGGTTGTCCAGAGAGGGTTGGACGGCGTTTCAGAGCCCATTTTGGGTTTTTTATTTTCACGGTATTAGAAGATAACAGATATAATCTCAACGCACGACAATAGAGAGGAGAAGGGTCTAATATGCTTAAACGAAAGTCTGACAGCGAGAGTTGGGGGGAAAGGAAAGCTGAGGAGCAAAAAACTGAGGGGAGATTCTGCGGGGACAAAGAGAGAAAGAAGAAGGCGGTCAGTTCGACCTGATAAACAAAGAATGAATTAAATAAAGGGCACATGATTGGCACTACGTCGTCCCCGCAAAACACTTCGATCTTCTACCTTCTCCCCACTGCTATTCCAGATCAGTTCTAGCATCTATGACCCGCCCCTGGTAAAACATCATTGTCTATGGCACGACTGTCAGCGCAGCTTGAGGATCGCTGGTATACCCCCCTGTTTCTGATTGACCATGTTTGGGGGACGGCTGCTGACCACTTCAGTGTCTCGCAACCATGCAGTCATCCAGGCCTCCATCTCGGCCCAAAATGTCGGACTGGACTCCGCAACCTCCCTTAGCTGTCTTCGTTCGCAACCTCCAGCTGTTGCAACTAGACTATCATGATGACTGGCCAGGCATCACAGTCCGCTCCTTATCTCCCTCATCGCAGAACCAGCGTCAACGCGTCAAGGCCGTCGAATGGGCACTATATCGATTAGTGGCACTTTGGGACCCGGAAACCGCTCGAGATGTATGTGCACTATCAACCTCGCGTGTGTGACATCTCGACTGACAGACATCGCTAGAAACTACGGCCTTTCTTTCCTCCGTTAGAACCATTACAGTCGGTCAATCTACGCGCCGCCCTATTTCGTGTGTTATCCGAATTGAAGAAGAATGGAGACCTAGGAAAAGAGACTATCTTGCGCAAGTCAATGCTTGATGATTGTAAAGGGGAGAAATTTGATGAGCTTCTGGCGATATTCTCTACCGCCGTCCTACGTAAAGCTCTGGCCGCATCGACGGACGATGGTCTTGGGACCCCGGCTGTCAAGCTTTCAATGGCCCCAGGATTGACACAGCAAGAGTATCAATGCATGATTCCCCTCATTCTTGCTCATCGAGTCTCCCTGAAGGAGGTAGGGGAGCGTCGCAGTCGAATTCAGGACACGCACGAGAGTTTCTCGCAGTTGTTGGATCACAAAAAGAACCAACTAGAGCTTCGGTCTAAAGAAAATCGTCCTAAGATCAGCGGCGAGGCGGACTTTAATCAATTAAGCCGGGAAATCAAGGCTAACTGGACGGGCAATGCGGAATGGCCCGACACTCTGCTATATGGGGGTGCTCACAGTAGCAGTGATGCCTTTCTAGAATTACCGTTCTCAACGGCGTGGTCCAAGGCAAAGGCGTCGACGGTAGAGGATCTTAAGACAAGCTCAGCTCCAGATCTGTTGATCGACTTGGAGTCCCGCATCTTGAGACAGCGTGCCCGCTTGCAGAGATGGCACCAGTATCGCAGTTCAATGCAAAGACATGAGCGTGCAGAATCGGCGAACTCGATAAAGGGTCCCTCCCTATCATTCCGGGACCATCAGGCACTTACTATCGCCAGCATCTCCAAGGCGGTTCGACAACCAGTAGAACGCGTTGCTCCCAAGGCAGATGATCGCACCCTCCTATTCTCTTTGACTGAAGCACTTGCTCGAATCGAAGGCTCCCACCGCTCAGCTTCACGAGCCACTCCACTACATGCGCCCGTAGTTGGCATGGACCGCCGTAATCTTGAGCCTGAATCAACGTCTTCGAGTGACACGTCATCTCCTCTAGTGACCCAACAAGATACTTGTGTCAAAAGCACTCCTTCGGGCGGTACATCTGAAGCAGGCGATGATATATGTCGATCTAGCTCTCCCTCAGTGCAAATCACTTCTGATCTGGAGTTCAAACCCACTCAGCGGAAGGAACGCAGCACATACGACCTGATTGAACGAACACGGAAATCCATGTCCTTAGTTCCTCCTCCTTCAAGTAACCCGCGGCCTAGAGACAGTCTGCGGCCTCGTCGTCCGCGGCCCTCCTTCCCAGTGAACCAATTCGAACTAGATGAGAGACAAACCCCTGAAATCAGCAGAGCATCCACACCGCGTGATGAGCTGTTCGAAGAAGAGGCTGACTACGCCAGTGTTTTCAAGTCCCGCCCACGAGTCGCACATAGTCCCATCACCTCACCAGCAGTGCATGTAAGCGCTGTTGAAGACTTCGATCTCAGCATGGACATGGATTCTAGATTGGAGATGAGCGGGGATTTGGGCTTGGATTCGCCCTCGATCAAGCGGCGCGATGCTCAAAGAATTCATAGAACATAATAACCATATAGAGAGTATACCCTTATAACCTAGCTAGCTTGTTAAACTAACCCTATAATACACTTACACCGATCCTAATTACGCCAGTAATTAATCATTGACTCTACCAATATCCCGGATGTTATTACCCCTACCTCGAATCCATTTCCGTCCCTGTTCTACCATAACGTCGGTATTACATAGCTACAAGTTTGTTTGCTGAGACAGCATCAAGATACATATATGATGCAATGCATGGAAAATCAAAACCAGAATTATTGACCCTTCCGCGTCACATTCCGAGTACGTCTACGCGTCGTCGGAGGTGCATACTCAGGCTCAGAATCAGAAACCTGCTCGTCAGACGCCGATACCTGCGGCGGAGAAGAAAGTTCCTGAACAGAACTCATATCCGGAATTTCTTCCCCCACAATTTCCTGCTCATCTGGTTCATTAACAGGCCTAGGAACAGACCGAGAAGGCTGATGACTCTCGACAATCAGACCTCCATCGTCTCCGTCGTGTTCGCCAGGGAGGAGGAACCCTCCGCCACGGTCAACAGGGTCTTCATCCTCCGACGGTTCATGGACATACGGTTCAGGAACAGGAGGACAGGCCTGCTGTTGTCCCGATCTACGGCTTGTGAATGGGTTATGCACGTCACGTTCGTGGTCAAGGGATGATTGACCGTATTCCTCACGGACACGCTCAGCGATACGCAAGCCGAAGAGAAATTTCCGCCAGGTTTGGAGAATCCGAGCCTCGGCTTTGCGGCGCTCTTTTTCTCTCTTTTCTGCAGCGTCGGCGCGCCAGGCGTCCTTGACCAAGTCTTCATTTTCGGCTGCTACGACGACGCCTTCGATGACGGGGACGGCCATTTTGGAGCCGAATTCGAACCCGGTGACGGCTTCGGCGTAGTCGATGCCTAGCTTTTTGCAAATACGCACGGTGCCGGGGTAGGGGATGTGCGCGGCACCTCGGGGGACCATGCTCGGGACAAAGCAATCGATGTTGCCGTAGTCGTTTTTGGGTATGACGCCGTTGTGGATGGGTGGCGGGATGATGTATTCGGTTTGGTATTTGGCGTAGAGGCCCTGTTTGGGCTTCTCGCCCGTTTCTCGCTCCAGCTCGTCGACTTCGCGTTTGCGGAGGAGGGTTACTGCGCGGATGGGTACACGTTTCAGTGGTGCTTCGCCCTTCTTGATCTGTCGGCCTTCCTTGTGCCAGCTTTCGGCGGACAGGCATTTAAGGACATCTGATCGCCGGTAGACCTTCTCTTCTTTGGCTTTGTTTCCTTTTCCTGTTACGAAAGTGCGGACATGCTGCGATCCTGGTTTTAGGGCTTCTTCTCGGCGGAGGAACCGTTCCAGAACAAACTCGGTTGAAGCCCGGAGGCTTTGTAGTGTGTCACGTTCCTTGACAGCCTTTTTCTCCGGTTGATTCGGTACTAAGTCATTCTCCTCGTAGTCATCGACCGCCGTCCGGTCTTTTGCTGGACGCTCATAGATTCGCAGGATAACACGGAACCAGTTGTACTCGTAAAACTTTCCCCTGCGACCCGGCACGGGGATCTTCTCGACTGGCATTCGATAGCCCTTCGTCTTGCCAGGCCAGGTGCGCCGACGGAGATACCTTGTGGTGACATCTTTTGCGGTTTTGTCGGACGAGAAAGCTACCACATAGCATATCACTTGTTTGGCTCTTTCAGCCTTGGCCCCTCGGGGCTCAAATGCAACCTGGAGTTCTGGTGTTGTCGCCACAGCATTCGGGAGCACCAACGGGTCGACGGGGATGATCTGGTGGGTAATAGGAGACACAACTTCTGTCCAATAGATCGGAAACGGGAGATCCTTGTCATATTTCTTAAGATTGTTTGGACGCTTGAGAGTGTCTTGGTCCGAGTCACTGTCTTCTGAATCTACGTCCATAGCATCCTCCGCTTCCCCGGTCTCGGTTTGGACTTCTGCCTCAACTTTGGCTTTCTGCGTGGATGTCTCCGCCTTGGTCCAACCGAACCCTAAAGGCTGAAGACTGGCAACGAGTCGAGCTTCAATTGCGAGAGCGCGGAGCAGCGCCGTGAACAGCTGGGCACCCAAGTCGCGAGACCCTTCCATACGCTCTGCAGCCTGTCGAAACTCGTCCACGCCACACACTCTCTCCCCAAATCTTTCAGGATCATGCTCCTCCTTGTTAAAAGCTGAGATCTGGGCCTCTAGGTGGGACATGGGCCGATATCCATGCTTTCGTAGCCCGGGTGCAGTGATCTTAAACTGCTTCTTCCAAAACGCGGCCAAAACCTTGAGCAACGTGATAATCGGATCTCCTCGACTCATATCCGGCTGACCAGGTTCCATCCGCGACGAACCCTCGCCCCAGTCCCTTTCTGGTTTGCGACGTTGTTTACCCTTCTTCTTCTTCTCCTTGGTAGTGTCTTCCGGAGCCTTTTCGGGAAGCTCAAGACCAGAAGAGACCTTCCATTTTTTAACCTCTTTATGAAGGGCATCCGGTAGCTTGCGGCGTAATGTCTCATGGACCTGGGAATCGTTCGCCCAGGCATTCCGAAGAGCGTTGTGGTAGAGTAAAAACTGGACATGGAGGCAGTGGCTATGAATCCGAATTTGGCGTTCGATTTTAGACGGAGCTTTCTTTCCATCAATAATATCAGACAGGTGTACCTCATTTTGGTCGAGAGTCAACTCAAGATCTTGGACGTGGGCGGGTGTCATCGAAGGAGTGATCGCTGTGGCGCTGGTAGCCTTCGATTCCATTGCATCCTCCCAATCCACCTCATCATCATCTGATCCTGATTCGTCGCCGGCCTCATCCTTGGTTTCCTGAGCCTGAGGTGTGCTTTCGCTAGGAACATCACTTAATGGGGAATCAGATTCGTCATCGAGGGCAGCGATGTCGACACTGGGAATAGCTGTCGCATTGTGACGTTTAGCACTAGGCGGTTCCGCAGAGGAGAGACGCTTGCGAGGGACGAATGGGGGCATGCGAAGGAGTCCAAAGGAGATTAATTAAAGAGAGTAAAAGAGAGAATCTGTAATGAAGGAGCGAGCGAGGAGAAAAGGTGCAAGATTAGATTGACGGAGGTTGTCAATTCAATTATAACGATCAGTAATGTAATAAATGTCAGCCGAGGTTTTAAATAAATCTAGAATGGCTGGATATATTTCCCCGCCTTCTTTTATTCACACACTCGCTCTTTCCCTTTCTTTCCTTTTGATAACTCGTCTATAGTCTTCAAAGTTATTTTCACTTCTTTGTCTTTTCAATCAGGATTCCATTAATTTCCATCCCTTTCGTACAGTTGTAGCCAATATGGAAGCCGTCAAGCGTTTCTTCTCGTCCCCGCGCTTCGCTGTCGCCGGCGCAAGCAATGACACTAACAAGTTCGGTTACAAAAGTAGGGATATTGACCCCCCTCTGCTCCCCCCAAAAGATTTCAATCGATCACTAAGTAACGATACTCTGATTAATTCAGTCCTCGCGTGGTACCACCAACACTCCCTACCAGTCACCCCCCTCAATCCTCGCACCCCGCAGATCCAACTGCCCTCTCGTGTCTACGATACGGTCGCATCGCCCGGTGCCTTAACTACTCCTGCGCAGACATCCTTATCGGTTGTGACCCCACCTGCGGTGACCCTGCCGTTGCTGCAGGAGGCCCATTCAGTGGGGATTCCAGCCGTATGGTTGCAACCCGGAACGTTTGATGATGCGGTCCTGAACTTCGCTCACAAACACTTTTCGGCGGTGATAGCTGGCGATGGCGGAGCAGGAGGTGAAGGTTGGTGTGTCTTGGTGGACGGCGAAGAAGGACTGGAGGCTGCAGGAGTGCAATGGACAAGTCAGAAGCTGTGAAGTCTTCGGAGAAATAAATGCCCAAGGGGTCGGTGGTTTGCGTATGACAGCAGAGTACCGAAAACCAGTTACCCTTAACGATATGTATATAGACTAGGGGTGAGTCAATACACTGGAGTGGGATAATATAGAGAGTAAGCTCTCAAGCATAAAGTCTTAGTATAGATTAGTGGTGGAGAGAGACCTCAGTATTGAGATTGGAGACCATTAAATACATCAGACAATGTATCTGAATCATAGCCACAAAATGCTGGCTTACCTTGCAGCTATAATGATTTTCCTGTACGTTAACATGATGAACTACATTTAGTTGCCTTTTTAGTAGAAGTGCCTATACTCATCAATAGACCAATAAGGATTGGGAAAGGTCACATAGTGGACAATGCTCATTGGGCGTAATGTATGAATAAAGCCATGTCAGAATCAATCAATCAATCAATCAATCAATCAATAATTAATGATTTCATGATTAAATAAAAATAAGGCAAGGTTGTTTGCTTGTGGTGACGAAAGAATTTAACAGGTTTATTATATTTTGGAAAAGGGAAAAGGAAAGCGAACTAATTAATCCCCGCCTCCCGTATTTTTGGTCTTTTTTATTGATTCCATTCATTTAATTTACTAAATAATAATAATAAACCTTTCACTCACCTGAGCTTACTTCTTTCTCTTCCTCCCTCCTCGACCATTCCTTCTCTACATTCAAACATCATTGAAAAGAAAAAAAATTTTACACAATTTTTCCTTGAAAAGAAGGGGAAAAGAGATGCCCACCAGTTCCTTCATCCTCGACTCACCTATCCCTCCCCAACTTGACCTTGCTGGTGCTCCCTCACAGCTCTTCCTGCCCCCGAATCCCTCCGCCTCGTCGGCCCTTTTTCGCTCCATCGCTATCCCCAGTCGCAAGAGAGCGCGGGGAGTGGAGTCGGACCATCGATCATGGCTCGATTCTCCAACCAGTCCCACCTCCTTCGTTTCACCCGATGATCGCCTCGTCGGGGTAGACGACGTCTCCGCCGAGCATGACTACCGACCCAGTCGTTATCGAGACCTACCGCTGAAGCTCCCCCTCGATTCCAGCATAGAATCATTCAGTGATGCATCCGGGGCTCGTCGCAAACGCAGTCGTCGAGATCCATCATCAGTTGTGGCACCATCCCCGTCGGGACCGGAGGATGAAAAACTCGCCCAGAACAACGGCAATGATCTGCAGCCTGCGCCCGTGCGCTGGAGTCGCGCGGTGATGGATGCAGTCGGCAAGGTCTGGGACTTTTGCTGGTCGGGCGCATTCCGGGGGTTCTATGCCGGTGGTGGTCGCGGGTATTCGATGACCGCTGGCGATCCGTCGGTGTCGCTGGGTCCTGACGATCACTTGTGGCAGCAGCCCACGACAGAAAAACACGATCTCACTTCGGCGCCTTCCGGTGCTCATGATTGGAATGAGTCGGCTCCCCTATCGAGCGAGCACCCTGATGACGACCTGCATCACAACTGGGTTGTGGTGGGCCGCGATGAATATGGATTTGAGGCTAGTCCGTCGACCCGGAAGAGAATCCATCGTAGGACGTCTTCGTATGGTCATTTGCGTCGGCGGCAGCCGGTGAAGAGGTCCTTTGTGTCGCATCCCTCGTCGATGTCGGCTAAGTCGCACTTCTCTACGCCGGCTAAGCCACGAGAGAGTCCCGTGTCGGTGGAGACACAACGTTACATGGCCCAGATGCGGCGGATGGAGCAGGAGGAAGATGCTAGTCTGGCTCGGTTGAATCGGCAGTTGCAGGCGATGATCAAGGAGGGGAAGCAGGCATTGGGAACCAGAGTGGAGGTGGACGACTTTATGGAGGATTAGGATCTGTGTTTTTACGTTAATTTTTTCTCGCCCAGGGATACCCCACACAATCGTTTAATGTTTGTTATTTTGGGGACCGATCCGCCGTCTCTCGTTACCGATGGCACGGTGATGGTCTCTATTCGACGAGGACTCGACCTGTTACGATACGATGCAATGTTGTTATTATAGTGATGCTAGCCATATCCATGAATTACGAGAGCATGAAGAATGACAGACATTATCTTGACCACGCCTGGATGTTATATTATGGTATCTCCTGTACCAGTATATGAAAGTTGGAGAGAGGGCGAAAGGGACAAAAACTACTAATTACAATAAGCATCAATATTTCTAGTTACCCTGCTTCGCATCCTTCACGCCTTGAGCATCCTTAGCCCCCTTAGTATCCTTAGCCCCCTTCTTCAAGTCTTCGGGCTTGAGTGGAAGATTGATCCCGTCGGCCACACTCTTCAACATCCCCGAGGCGCCCCCGGATTTCATAATACCATCGAGAAGGGTAGCACCTTCAAAACGTCGCACTATTTCGTTCGGCTGAGCCTATGTTCTGTCAACTACCCAACTTTCAAAGTCCACGGATGATAAGGGCTCTTCGGATAAGGAAGAGAGACAAGGGGGAAGAGAGAAAACATACTGGAGTAGGCATAGCCATCGAAGCTGCGAGGAACAGAGGAAGAGCCGTGACTGAGAGCTTCATTCTGGACAAATATGTTCAAATAGACTAGAATACCAATTAGTGAAATTTTTGTCAGAGTGCTGAATATGAGGGATTACACACGTGCGGTAACTAGGGAAATTGATCAATTAGGGATACAAGAGATACAGGGAATTGAGAGGGCAGGCGGCGGCCGACTTGGTATTTGCTGTTCATATAACTGCTTGTAGCTAGGGACATTTCATCCCTTCATTCCTTGTTTACGTCTCACATTATTTTGGTTTATCTTTATTTCAGGGCGTGAGGCACGCTATCACGGTGCATTATCTATTATTAACAATTTACTGGACTTGTCCCTCCTCACTCTCCCTTCTGGGACTTTATTCTACATTGTAGATTTAAGTTTTGGAATAAGGCGCTTAGGGTGGTGTAAAATCGATTGAAGAGTAGGGCTTCTACAATGGTGCGACGCCATGAGTGGTGATTGATCACGGCGGGGCCAAGTTATAAACCCGGATGTGGTATTGAATTAAATTGCATTTTCCATGGTCCATGGATCGAATAGGAGATATTGATCTAGATAGATGGCTCAAGAAGAGACAAAAAATTTAGAAGATATCTTTTATTCTTCGAAGGTCCTGCCCGGGTTCGAACCGGGGTTACTGGAAGACTTGAATCGAATCAAAATCCAGTGTGATAACCTCTACACTACAGAACCGATTTGTGTGGAGTTAATGAGTTAAAGTGCATTTATATATCATAAAAGCCATCTAGTATGTGGACTATAATTCTAGAATTATTCTGTAGAGAAGGGACCAAAAATCAGACCTTAGGCTATAATTTTTTGTTTCTTCAATGAAATAGCTAATTAAGATGAAAATTCTAGATAGTAAGAGTATCTTGTAACGCAATCGGTAAGCGAGCGGCCCACGCAACCGAGCGGCTCAACACGATCGTTTTCTACGCCCCTAGTTTTTTGAAGCTATTCAACCACCAGCCATATCAATAAAAATGGCTCAATCATCAAAATCACAGGTAGAACGGGAAGGCAGAGTCTTGTTAGCAATATCAACTATTAAGAATGATTAAGTTGATAATATTCGTGAAGCAGCTCGTCTTTTTAACATACCTCGTACTACACTTCGAAGGCGACTAGCAGGGAATACCTTCGATCAGATTTAAGCGCAAATGGTAATGGGCCAGCATATGTACAAGAAATGGCCAATGTCCTGCTTTCAGACCGAGATACTACCTCTCCCCCTACTATTGTAGGAGAGAAATGGGTATATAACTTTACAAGCGTACACTTGAGTTATAGACATGCTTTGCATGTCGCTATAAATATCAACGTGGCTAAATTAGAGGATCCTAAGGTTTATGTGCCTGGTTTGAGCAGGTACATGGGGTTATTCAAAAGAATGGTATAGCCTCGTCTGATATCTATAACTTCGGGTAAACGGGGTCAATGGGCTTAATAGCTCCTGCTAAGGTAGTTACTAGGTCTGATACGCCAGGCAAGCCATTTTTATTGCAGCCAGGGCATCGGGAATGGGTTACCTCCCTGCATTATTTATAAAGGCAAGGCGCATATAGTGGCCTGGTACAAGAATCTGAAGCTGCCACCTGATTGGAGGATTGGACTGAGTCCTAATGGCTAGACAAGCAATGATATCGGCCTACGCTGGCTGCAGAATCATTTTATACCTGCTACCACGGGCCGATCTGTAGGAAAATATCGTTTGCTTGTTCTAGATAGCCACCAAAGTCATCTAACACCTCAATTTGATCAGATCTGCTCATAGAATGATATTATGCTAATCTGTATGCTAGATCACGCTTCTCTTAAGCTCCAACCGCTTGATTTTGCTTGCTTTAGACCTCTAAAACAAGCATATGGAAGCCTAGTTGAATCAAAAATGCGCTGTGGATTTGATCATATCGATAATAATAATTTTTTGGACGTCTACCCTGAGGTCCGTACGCAGGCCTTTACCAGTACCAATATCTATAGTGCTTTTAGAGTAACCGGCCTAGTTCCTCTGAATCCTGAGCGCGTTCTTTCTCACCTGGCGATACAACTGCATACATCTACACTCCCAGGCAGTAGGCCAAACAGCCAAGGCAGTTCAGCACCTAAAATACCTTATACAGTTAAGCAATTGAAGAAGTCGGAATCTATACAGAAAAAGCTACTCGAAAATCGATCTCAGAGTCCTGATTCGCGTACCAAAAGCAGACTAGGTCAATTAGTCAAAGGTGCTGGACGAGCTCCGAATGATTTGATAATTTTAAAGCATCAAATTGAGCAATATCAGGTTACACATGAAAAGCAGCTCAGAAAGCAGAAGCGCTCTACTAAGCACATTGCTTTCGAAGCAGGCATATCAGTATCCGAGGCCCGAATCCTTATAGAGCGCAGAAAACAGGAAGATGAGGCTAAACAGGCAGATAGGGCTTTACCTACTGAATCACGCCCTAAGCGCGCTCCTCGGTATTGGGCCGCTCGTTTGCGTGGTCACTTACTGATTACGTTGTACTGTTACGATAACTGGGTTCGCCATTATTGGCTAGGAAGCAGGTTAAAGCTGATTGGCTAATCTCAACGGAACCAGCATCGCCAGCAAAAAAAAGCTTGGCATCAAGATCCACAGCACTAGAGAATTCTTTGCAGTGGATAACCAACCGAATTCTCAATATCGACAACAAACGGATGATGATCGCAAGCAAAAATCAAAAGAGATGACCGACGCAGGATTCGAACCTGCAATCTCTTGATCCGTAGTCAAGCGCCTTACCATTGGGCCAGCCGGCCAATTGTTGAAGTGCAGTTTTGTTCATAGCAATATGATCATAAGCTCCAATGTCGAGGTTACAGAGTTGGAAGTAGCTATCTCCCTCACTCACAAAATAACCTAATCGTCTAGGAGATAGTACTAGAAGGGCTCTTAGATATTAGTAATCCTCGTAGAAAATGTAGCTCTTCTGTGTTATAGGTTGAGGTAATAAAGACCAAAACTTTAGCATAATGACAAGATACGGGATGCTACCTGTTGATATATATAGTGGGAGGATAGCGATTGGCAGTCCATGCTGAGCAACCACGAGGTAAAACAAATGTAATAGGTGATGGTAATGTATGTTAAATTATGTTGAAACCCATAAGCCACTTCACCACCGCTACCAACTCATCGTTAGCCTAGTGAAAGGGGGCCTGTAGGACCTCGAGGACCATCATATTTTCTCTAAACCTTTCTAAAATGTATAGTGTGGAAGCTACCACATCATTGCTACAGCTCGTACCAGTACTGTTCAACAAAACATCCTCAAAATAACAACCTCCTGGACAACACCCAGAATCCATTTGACATCCACCAGTGCTCCCACGTCAAGATTTGTGTAGCCAGTGAGCAGCAGAAGCTGGTCAACAATATAAACCCAGAACAGAACAGCAGGTAGGTAGAGTGATTCCGAGGAGACACCAGTAATGTGACAAAGATATCTACTATTCAGGGCAGAAGACCTGTCAACTAGGTTAGGATACACAGGCTAAATGAGATAGAGGGATCAAAGGCAGACAGTAGATACTATAGGGACAGGAGACTGATTCTTGACCTCCCAATCCTACTAACAGTCCATCATCTTATAGCTGAAGGCTCCACGCCCAAAGGATCCAGAATCCCCATAGGAAACCTGACCATTGTATGGCCTGATATTCCTCATCAATGGCTCATCAGGGGCCAATTTGTCCGTGCACCTAGGTCAAGGCATACTTTACGGTCATCGGGCCGAATCGCTATCCAATCCGTGATCCAATGGACATTGCTCGTACGATAAGAGTAGACATTAGATCTGGTGACCCAAACAACACCCATGGAAAAGCCATGTACGGCTAGCAATGGCCATAATTCAATTCTTTATTCCTCAGTGTTTACCATACAGACTCGAATAGACCCTAGACACTTTCTGTAGCCCGGCGGTGCAATTCCCGACGCAACTCCCTAGCTAGAGAAACGATGCATCCGAACAGGCTAGAATAGGCACCTGATAGCACACTGCAACTCTCGTCTACTCAGACTCTAAAAGCTAACACTGCCTTATGACTATGCTAACATGCGTTCTGATACGTACATAAGCGCCCAGGACTGCAGCGGCTCACGAGATCGACAGAAAAGCGTCCTCTTCTTCTCCCCCAGCATAGCCTCAGCCAGTACACGTCCTTCCTCGAAGACACCACTTCTGTCGACCCAGGACAGCTTGAACTACCAGACACAAATAGGCTCATGCGAACATGAGAGTTTCCCGCCTCCTATATCCATCCTCCTCCACGGCCGAGGGAGCGACGGCCCTGAATTTTGCCGAGGAGCTTTTTTCTTCCGTGACCTCCAAGAGTAAAAATCTTCCCAATGCTCTTCCGACCTGGCGCTGAGTATTCCCCTCCTTGCGCGGCCGCTTGTCAACACGCTTCCAGGAAGAAATGTTTTCCTGGTTCGATGCATGCATGTTTTCTGATATTCAAGAACGTCAGGAACTGCAAGTTGAAGGGCTAAGGGAGTCTGTTCTAATATCCTCGATACCCTTGAAGAGGAGATAGAATTACTCGACGAAAAAGCTAGCCACGTCTATCTTGGAGGAAATCAGCCAGGGCATGGAGACTGCCCTGTGGACTCTCCTATGCGCAAGGGGAAGAATCAATCAGCGTCTCGGCGGTGTTTTGGATTCTGTGGCTGGCTACCCTTCGCTCATGAGATGGACGAGTTGATTCAGCAATCGGGTGGTACATCTAGTGGATCGGACAAAATCTAAATACAGCGGCTGATATGCGACTTCTGTATCGAGTCGATTGGAATCCCCCGAGCATCTGAGTCAACGGACAGTCAGGGTGGATCTTTACCTCTTTCAGCCACACCTGTCTTGTTGAGGCACGGGACGGACGATGACTTGGGAGCCTGTGGAGTTGAGGAGGCAAAAACGTTGCCAGTTATCAAGGGGCTTACAGGGAATGTTGAGTGAAAAGAGCATGCTAGGGCAGAGGGGGATGGACATTAGGTTAAGGAGCCGGAGGGATTCGATGCCATTTCGGAGATTTTAGAAGGAGGGTCTCAGGCCGCCTAAATTAACGCCCGTGGCTTTATAGAATTTTAAGCCGTACGCTGGTAAAGGAGGGTTAGCAGTATCACAATCTGCGAGTAAAGGCACCAGAATATATCAACTGCTTCGTGTTTAAGGAGCAAACAGGCCCGCCTCTTATAGGTGAATTTAATAACCAGCACATCACCAGTCGAGACAACGAGATATAGCGCACGGTGACGTCCCAATCAACCCTACGTAAACCATAGAAGATTAGGTTTCGTGCCGTATCCTTTCTGATTCAAGGGCTCGTCAATACGAGCTCTTGTGGCCCCTTAATAAACCGCGAGCCATCACGCGTCTGGACATTCTACATTCTTCGCCTCTTTCTGACAACCGTCGGCATTGCAAGTATGAGACAGGCTGAGCTCACACCTGAAATTATTACCGATATCCTCGTACCATTTACCAATATTGGATTATTATAACCTCAAACTCGCCGGGTGTTAATACATCAGACCTCGCTCGACAAACGTCCCGCCGTCTATCTCGCGGCGCGTATCTAAGCGCCCTGTCTGCAGAGGATGCCCAACACAGAGGCTCTACTAAACCCCGCGATGAGGGGGAGATTATGATTCAACAAAGATAGTA